CTAACCCTAACCCTAACCCTAACCCTAACCCTAACCCTAACCCTAACCCTAACCCTAACCCTAACCCTAACCCTAACCCTAACCCTAACCCTAACTCTAACCCTAACCCTAACCCTAACCCAGCTTCTGCTCCTCTCCGTCGAAAGACGCAGAGATTCGCTTGCTCTCGCAACCGTCTCTTGCATCGCGCCGCTGGTTCTCGTCCAAGAGCCGCGTCGCCGAGTTCGGCAAGGTCGCCATGCTGCTTGGCGTCAGATGTGCCGTGTCCTCAGCCCGCGCGTAGGTGATGCCCCTCCACGAGATCGACAAAAGCTGTCGCTGGCTGCCGAGCGCGCTCGTCACGCTTTGATTGCCGACTTCTTGATCGGCAAGGTGCAGAACCAGTTGCCCTTGGGCAGCAACAACCGCAACGTAGTGGCGATGTACTGCGTGCGACGTCCAGTCGGGAAAGTGCTCGCTCGTTGTCGTGGCCACTCCGTCGTGCGGCAGCTCCAGCTTCGGGTGCTGGGTCTGCACCGTCGTCAAGCGCGACGAGGCGACGGAGACGGCTCTCGACTCCGGGGGAGGAGTGGCTCACGCCGCTGCTGCACCACGGCGACATGCTGTCAGGCCAGACATGCTGAACAAGCACGAGTTCTGCAACCTCCGCCAAAAGACCCTTTCCAAGGACGCCGACCGGCCAATCCACAGGCCGTACACGCTCCACTCCTGCCGGATGCTCCTTCGGAAGCTTCTGGAGACACAGACTGAGGTGGCCTAGGAGGCGCCGGTCAGCAAAGCGCCGCTCCTCATTCACGAGGCCGAGCTTCGCCTTTGGCGCACGGAGCAAGGCGATTGGCCTGGCACCGTTCCACGTCTGGTTTGCGACGTCCTGGGTTGCGACCTTGTATCAGAATTGCGGAAGCCAAGTGCACGTCATCTGTGCAGAGCAAATCGCACGGATTACAGAGGTCTTTCCGGCCGCCCACGAGAATGACAGGACGCTCGCGGCCGGCACGACGGCACGTCAGTCGATGCGCTGCCCGTTTGACGCCAAGCACCGTTCTGACTAGCTACGCTGGCTCGTCGTGCTTGCAGACCGTGTCGATGAGCGCACCGTCATTGGCGGCAAATGCAACGTAGTCTCCGCCAATTCAGTCAAGGAGCATCTCTGCGGATGTGTGCACGTCGACGGCGCAAGCCCTGGCATGGCGTGCGTCTGACTCGACTTTGACCACGCCGGGAGCGGCAAGATCCACCGCTTCAAGCGTGTGCGGCACGAAAATTGTCGAGACACTGACTCTCAAGCAGGACGGGCGGCCAGTGGCGTCCGCTCCATGCGAGGAGCGGCACAGCTTTCTTTGGGTGCGGACTCTGCGGCGTGTCTCAGCTGTTCTTCTTCAATAACAAGGAGATGGCCGAGGTGCCCACGATGGCCGTAGCACGCTCTCGTCCTTGCCAGACGGGGCGAGCACGGCGAGTATCTGCTCCGCACGGCGCTTTTGCTCTCCACGGCCCTCAAGGGCTTGGTGCGCAAGAGCGCGGCCATGAGAACATAGCCAGATTGACGTCAAGGCAGAGGAGCCATCCTCTGCCATCTGCGACGCTCACGTCAGGACAACAATCGAGGCGTAGCCAGCCCTCCAGACTCAACGAGGTCGCCGCTGGATGCGCAGCACGCACGGTCAAGCTTGCCATTTGCACCGTCTGCGCACACGAGTCTGTGCTGTGTCGCCGTGCCGTCATCTCCGCAGCAATGCTCGCTTTCACGACCAAAAGGGGCTCGCCGGCGACGACATTGCGAGCTGCAACCGTGCGCATCTCACGGCGCTTGCTTGCTTCCACGCCCTGCGACGCACGCATGGCAATGCAGAAGTCGAGCCTCTTGCCGGCGGCCAGCCCGCACCTCGGCGTCCCAGTCGGGCTTGCGCGCATGGTCGCTTCGTCGCTCTGGGTGACGTTAAGATGGCCGAGGGCGGGCAGGGCAGCGACGCTCGTGCGGCTGAAGCAGCCCCGCACACGTCTCGCGGCCACCGAACAAGCGGGCACGGAAGCAGTGCACGCCGTGTCATGGTCAGTGGCGCTTGACCGCAAGGACGCCGGCGGCAGCAAGGACGACGCAGCAGCATAGACAACGCAAAGGGTCGCTTTGCTGCGTCGCGCCGCACGCTTGAGAGGTCGTGAAGCAACTGAGATACATTGATTGCAAAGGAAGCACGCTCTTGGGCGTCTTGAGATGCTCTTCTGGCCGTTTGCCGCGCGCCCATGACTGGCACGGACAGCGTGCGGCATTGCTCGCCGATAAGCAGCGCTTTGAACACAGCGCTCGCTCTCTGCTGCCGGCGTGCGGGCCACGGCGTTTGCCGTCTGCTGCTGGCGTCGATAGAGCGCAGCGGATGTGCAGGGCAGCAGACGTACGTGCGCCAGTGCGGCAGGCGCGGAGCGGGCAGCGTGCGTGGCCAACGACGATGACCAGGAGCGTGCGGCGTGCGTGGCCAACCACAACGACGAGCTCGCTGCAACAGCGGCGGCAGGCGCGACGGCTGGCGCTCGAGACGCGGCCTAGGGTGCGGCCGTCGAGGTGGCGCCGAGCAAGGTAGCGACCAGCGAGGTTCGCCGGCCACGAGCGAGGTAGCGACGCGTGAGGTGCAGTCGTCAAGGTAGCAGCCTCACGTGCGGCCTTCGAGGTAGCAGCCTCACGTGCGGCCGTCGAGGTGGCAGCCTGACGTGCGGTCGTCGAGACGCGGCCGTTGAGGTGCGGCCGTCGAGGTGCAGCCGTTAGTCACGGTGCCAGCAGCGGCGACGGAGCTTCCGAAGCGGTTCGCTTGCCGGAGCACCAAGCAGCGAAAGAGGACGACGGGCGGCGAGCGCCAGCCCGGGTGGTGCTCCAGCGCTCGCCGGCGGCAAGAGCAGCAACAAGGCACCGTGCCGCAACGGCAGCAGACAGAGCGTGCGCGCGCTGATGACGCCCAAGCAGTGGCGTAGGGAAGCGAGGCGGCCGGCGACGGACACAGTGCTGCGAGAGCACTGCCAACTCGCCGGCTTGCGAGCCACAGATGTCCTCGCAAGATGCCGCCGTCCGCGAGGAAGCAAAAGAGGAGCAGCATGCGCTCCTTGCCGCCCAAGGCGCGGGTGCATGCTTCAACAAATCGCGCCGCTCTCGAAGGCGCAGGCGTCAACGGTGACGCCGCTTCGAGGCTCCGAGGCTGACGTCCAGCGATGCAGCTGCGGACGGCGCCGATGGCAAAGACGCCGCGTCGGGGTTTGCGTCCAGCGATGCAGCTGCGGGCGGCGCCGAGGGTGAACATGGCGCTTCGGGGCTCGCGTCCAGCGCAGCGTCCAGTCCGTCTGCACCAAGAGTGTGCCCCTTGAGCAGCTCGGCAATGGCCGGCTTGCCAACGCGACAGCAGCAGCGACCGACGAGCATGCATCGCCGCCGTCGGGCTCTTGCGCTGCGTCGGCGTTGGCCGCAGCGAGCGCAGTAGCAGATGCGTCTGCGTCAGACGCAGGGAGCGCGGCGGCAGGGACCGCGTGATTGTGTCGGGGTCGTCAAAGCCGCTGGCGTCGGAAGCGCCGTCGCACGAGCCGTCAGAGTCGGCATCTGGGCCCTCCTCCTCGTCCTCGCCGACGACAAAGTCTTCGTCTGCATTGCGCACGGGCCGCGCCGCACAGCTCCTTCTCTCCTCTCTCTGTCTCCTTCTCCGCGCGCACCTTCACGCAGCGTGAGTCTCAAGTCTCTTGGCACCACGATCTCTCATCCACGCCTATGCCTTCGCCCGGCCCTCTAAGCTCTTCACGACAATGCACATCGAGACAGCAAGCGGAGTGTATTGCGGCGCGACAGGTGACAGGGACGGGAAACGGACCGGGTCAGGGTCTCAGCACGGCCTCGGCGACACGGCTACGTGTGCGGGCAGCGCGGCGGGCGATCGCTTAGACGACGCGGCCGTTGCCGTGGAGGCGGGGCGTCGCATCCGTGGCGTACAGCACATGCAGCGACTGCGGCACGGCGCTGGGCTTGCCGCCGTGGAAGTAGGTGCGCGCGCCCTGCTCCGTCGTCGAGCTCGGGAAGCGGCCCGTCGAGCCGGGCGCGCGGCGCAGGCCCTTGAGCGCAAAGATGGGCTTGAGCAGCGCCGGCAGGATCGTCTGTGCAGCACCGTCAGCGCGGGGCGGCGGTGCGCCGGCGCAGCGTCGCTCACCATGGGCACGAGTGCGTTGGCGCCGAGGCCGCAGAGGCGGTACGAGTCGATCGCGCGGCGCGGCTGCACGTCGATGCCTTCGTCCTGACCCACCTGCGACAGAGGCAGGAGCAGCACGTCGCCGCGGTCGAAGCGCAGGCGCAGGTTGCCTGTGGCGAGGCGTGAGCGGGGCAGCGGGCAGCAGCGGCACAGTCTGCTCACCGTCGTTGAGGCCGGCCGCCTCGGTTGCGACGAGGGGCATCGTGGCCTGGACCGGGCTGAGGCGCAGGGCCTGCAGGTGGTGTCAGCTTGGGATTGCCCATCAGCTCTTCTCCCAACTCACCTCGAGCAGGTATCCTGTGAACTCGCGCTTGAGGCCAGCATCCCACGGCGAGACGGCGAGCTCGTGCAGGCGGGTCAGGTGGCGCGAGTTCTCCTCTTCGAGGTAGAAGTCGAGCACGAGCGCGGCCGCGAGCGAGCCGGCGCCGACGATGGTGAGCAGCAGCGCGTGCAGCTGGTGTGCGGCCGCGTCGTGGCTCATGCCAGAAGCCAGCAGGGCGCCGATGAGCTTCCTCGCCATGTGCGCAGGGTTGAAGAGGTGGGCATCGGCGCCTGTTGCGGGTCAGTCAAGGACCTCTGGGCGCCGGGCGTCGCACTCACCAAGCAGGCCGGCGCCGATCTCCATGAGCGGCAGCAGCTGCGAGATGCCGGGCGTGGCGACGGAAAAGATGCGCGCCGAAATGACGGTATGCATCGCAACGCTCTTGGCTGCGCTGAAGAGCTCGACCTGGCCGGGGCTGAGGCCGTGGCTCGCCTGGATGCGCCCGTACGTGTCTATGCAGCCCGAGAAGAGCTCGGTCTCGCTGGGCGCGCGGTTAACCATGCCGGCCGGGATGTGCGAGCCGCGCACGGGCAGGCCGAGCCTGTGAGAACACTGTCAGCTGTGTGGATCGAGTAGGGAGACCGGGCGACGTACAGCTCGGCGGCGACGTAGGTCAGCGCCGGACCGGTGACGGCGAGCACGTCCAGCAGCGACTCGTTGCGGCCGTACAGAGTGTGGCGGCCGGTGCCGATCAGGTTCACCTGGCGACAGAGTGAGCGAGGGCGGCTCAGTTGCGCCTCTCGGGGCGCGTCTCACCGTGCGGGTCTCGAGGTAGCTCGAAGCCTCGGAGGCCACGGCCTCGGAGAAGGCCGCGGCCATGGGGCTGAGGCGTGCGTCGGAGGCCTCGGCCATGACGAGGTGCGGGATGTCGCCGTGGAGGCCGGGCACCGTGCGTGTCATGGGCTTGAAGCGCTGCGGGTCGCTGAGGACCGAGGCGATGGCGCTGGGGTCCTTGGCGACCTGCACGCGCGGCGCGGGTTCCGGCCGGCCGTACGAGTACTGCTGAGCGGTGCCCTTGTCGGCCATGATCCTGAGGCAGCGTGAGCGGGAGATACGTGTGTCATGGGTGCCACTTACTTGAAGCTCTTGCTGGGCACGTGGAAGGGGTACTGCGTGTAGATCGAGTTGGCCTGCGAGTGTTGCGGCAGCGTGTTCATGAAGAGCTTGGCGACGAGGCCAGTGCTGTTCTTGAGCGGCGTCATGGCGTAGTCGTAGCCCCTGCGGTGCAGCATCAGCCAGCGCCGGCGGGAGACGGACGCTTTCGGACTGACCACGACGTAAGTGCCTTCGACGAGAGGTCCGTCGTGAGGAAGCGGTCTCCACGGACTGCGGCGACGGTCAGCCAGCCTGGCCGCACGGTGCGTTGATCATACGCACTCAACGAAGCAGCATCACTGAGGATGCATCGGCCGATGGTGTGACCGGGACACAGGCCCGAGCCACGCATTGAAGGCTTCGCCTGCTCGGCAAGCATTCCGGGCAGAAGCTCGAGCTTGTCGACGTGACCATATAGGGCACGCGCCGCGGCAGCAATGTCAGGGTCAGGGTTCCACTCCTCGAACGACTCGAGGCTGTGTGACAGGTGTCAGCAAGCGGCCCGAGTCAGAGCACACGCGACGCACCGCTTGAGGTTTAGGAACGAACGTAGCTCGTTAAGGGTTGACACGCCCCACGCGCGGGCCGAGTCGATGCCCATCATGTCGACGGCGCGCAGCCACTGCGGGCTGCCGCGCGCGCGGATGGCGCCGGCGACGTTTTCGGTGGCACTGAAGAGCGTCTCGGCTAGCGTGCCGTCGTCGAACTTGCCGTCGATGTCGCTGTGGCAGAGAGGCAGTCAGCGTGGCCGCAGTGCAAGTGGGCGCAGCTGGCTCACCGCTCCCAAGAGTGGAGCTGCCACTGCTTGGGGTCCTTGCCGAGCTTCTCGAGGAGACGCGGGTAGGACGCCTTAAACTCGGCAGGCGTCACCTCAGAGGCCTGCTTGCCGGGGAAGAGCTCGGCAAAGCCCTCCTCGAGCCACGCCTCGTCCTCCTGCGACGCGGCGCTGTGCCAGCGGTAGCTGTGCGGCAATGCGTCAGCCACGGTCGGGACTCTGCTTTCGCTCGCTACTCGCAGTATAGAAAACTCGGCGGCCACGTGATTCCCTCCGGCACGGTCCGAGCGGCTGCCGTCGACCTTGCGGATGTCCGGCGCGGGATCCAGGTACCACTGGTCTCCCGTGAGGTTCAGAATGACCTGCAAAGGAAGGAAGGTGTGTCAGTGGAAGTACATGCGCGAGGCTCAACAGTAGAAACCGGGATGTAGTCGCTGTTGGGCCAAGCGTCAGCATGTGGTAGTATGGACACGCGGCACGGACACTCACCGAAGGATGATCTGCGCAAAGCTCGCGCAGTTGACCAGGCGCGCCGTGCCGAACAGGTAATCGTCACGCTTGGCCTCGTCGGTGAACGACGACACGATCTGGCCCTCGTCGATCTGCTTGAGCTGCGAGGCGATGTAGTTGTGCTGGCGCGAAAAGAGGATGGCGAGCGACGTCGTGGCGGGCGTCATGAGCGCCATGCGGCCGTCGCAGATGGCGTCGGGGAAGAGCAGGCCGTCCTTCTTGGTGCGGATCTGCGCCAGCTGCGCCTCGTTGTTGCCGTAGACGGGCGACAGGTCGAGGTACGACGACGTGTTGTTCACCTGCGGGTCGTCGTGCGACGTGTCGAAGATGGAGTGGATGATGACGGTGGCGAACGCAAACAGGAGGCTGCGCAGGGTGTCAGGAGGTGCTGCAGCGCATGACACACACACGCTCACCTCGAGATCTCCGTGGGGTGCGGCACAAAGTCGCCGCGGCGGCCGAGGAGCATGTCGAAGACGAGGGCCGGGTCGGGCAGCACGTCGTAGCTCTCGATGCGCTGCGCCGAGCGCGCGTAGGGCATGCGCGCCTTGCCGACGTCCGGCAGGAACGGGTTGTTGCCCGAGCCGTCGGCGGCGCGGAAGGGCGCGCGCATCAGCGTCGACGCCGGGTGCGGCAGGTCATGATAGAGCGTGTCGATGAGCTGGTGCTCGATCAGCGTCGACACCTTGGTGCCCGCCGTGCTGGCGAGCAGCGCGACGGTCTCCTCGAGCAGCAGCTTGCGGTCGTCGAGCGGCTCGGGGCCCTTGAGCGCCTGCGCGGCAATGTCGACGAGCGCCTTGAGGTCGAGCACGATGTCGCGGCCGCCGCGCACGGTGCTGCGCAGCGAGCTGAATGCGGCGCTGACCATGTCGCCGCCGGAGTGCAGCAGCGCCGAGGCCTGGGCGTCGTAGGCGCGCGAGTTGGTGCTGAACAGGTTCGACTGCTGCTGCGCCGGGCGCTGCTGCTGCGGCGGCGCCGACGACTGCTGCGGCTGCTGCGGCTGCGACGTGCTGCCGCGCATCTTGGTCTGCGTGCCGCCGGGCGGCACGCCGCTGGACGCCATGGCGGTGGCCGGCATGGCGCGGATGGACTTGAGGGCGTCGGCGAAGGACGGCGCCTGGGGCGGGGTGGAGGAGGCGGCGGACGGCGGCGCAGCGGCGGGCATGTGCCCGGGCGCCAGGGAAGTGGAGACGGCGAGAGAGGGGTGCGGGTTGAGGGTGCGGGTGCGAAGGGCGAGGGTGGGAGTGGGAATGGGGGAGGAGGGTGGGGAGGAGGTGGAAGCAGCGCCGCCGAGGGCCGCCTTTTGACTTCGAGAGCGAGCGCACGGCGGCTGCCATACGCGATGCGCTTCAGGCGGCAGCACACGCCCTCGCCGGCCAGCAGCTGTTGCGTGCCTCGGGCCAGCCTCGGCTCGAGCGTTGTGCGGGCACCCCCAACAAGCGGGCGACCCGGCTGTGCCAGGAGTGCTCGGCCGCATGGCCTGTGCGAGCGAGCCGGGCCGAGGCCGGCGTCTTGCTGCGCGCAGCCCGCCTCGGGCGCCTTCATGCTGCTGCGCTGACCGTGACTGCTTGCTGTGATGCACTTCGCGCTTGAACCCTGCACATCGCTGTCACATGTGATGTGGGGCCGCTGCGGCAGTGCAACGCTTCCTGCTTCGTCCAGCGTCGTCGGGGTGCCGAGCGCCGCCCTTGCCGCAGCCGCATTGAGGGTGCCCGCTACGAGCCGCGGGCGTGCCTGACGCTGATGACGCTTGACGAGGACCCTCGAACTCAAACGTGCGCTGCGCTGAGGTGCCGAGCTGTGAAAGCGAGCACCCTCAAGGACGCTTCCTTCTCCCCGCCGCGAGAGGAGGCGCGCCGCTCCGAGGTCCACTCTACGGATGCCGCGGCTGCTCCACGTCGTGCCTGCTTTGTGCTCGTGCGCGAGACCGCCACGGCCGGGCTCTTCCTCTTTGCAGCGCAGCTGGCTCGCTTTTGGGCTTGCTGCGGTTGCTGGGCAGACAAGCTGACGCTGCTCGGGGTGGGCGCCGGAGCTCTCGGCGCCTCAAAGGCCACGTAGCGCATCAGCTCGCCCGAAGGCACCCTTCTCGTGCCGCACCGGACTCTTGCACACGGCTCAAGCACAGCCGCGCTCAGCAGCTGACAGCCGCCAGACGCAACGTGCTGCTGACCAGATCGGTGCGGAGCGGCGGCATGCGGTCTGCTTCGTTGCTTGGGCTGCTGCTCCCCCTTGCTCAAGAGGCGCTGGCTCAGGCGAGCATCGGCATCGGCGAGCGTGGGAGCGCAGGGCCCGCGCCGCCGTGCCACGCTTTCAGCCTCGGCGAGGGCCGGCTCGTGCCCGGGCGGAGGGCGTCTCGCCGCCGCCGCGCTGATGCGGCCCTTGAGCGTGAGCGGCATGCGCCGTGCGGCCTGCTGGAGGTGACGCTGAGTGCGATCACGACGCTGCAGCGTGCGCGGTCGATGCTGGTGGATGCAAGGATGGCGCGGAGGGGCGACGCATGCAATGGCGCATCCGACACACAGGCGCAGCCGCAGCGGCCGGCAGCGGCATCACGGCGCGCCGCGGCGCTGCACCTCTTGGCTCGCTCAGCAGCACAGCGGCCGCTGCGTCGACGCTCTCGCACATCCTCTCGACGTCGCCCCAGCCGCATCTTCTCATCGCCGAGATTGCCAAATCTGATACTTCGCGGGCCGGCGGAAAGGGAGGCGCGCGGGCGATCGCAAGACGCCGGGCCGTGCGCCGCGCCGCCGCGCGCGTCGCTCCGCTGCGTCTTGCGCACCTCCACCATCGCGCCTCACTCGCTGCCCTGCGCCTCACGTTTGCGCCCCTAGTCCACGCTCTGCCGCGCTATCTCATCGCCAGGCTCATCCCGCTCTGCAGCACTTGTCGCTCCCTGCATCGTCGCCCGCCATGCCGGCCGCCGTGGTGCTCGACACGCCGCGCGAGGCGGGCGCCGGCATCAACATTCTGCTGTGCGTGTGGCCGCTCGTGTGTGCGCCGCGCCGCACTGCTCACCCGCGCACGCAGCCACCCGCTGCCCGTGCTCTCCATCTCCGACCACCTCACGCGCGCCACGGCGCAGGCACAGGGCTCGCCCGGCAGCAGCGCCGGCGCGCGCGTCTACGGCGCCCTGCTCGGCACGCAGACGGGCCGCGACGTCGAGGTGCAGAACAGCTTCGAGATGCGCATGCACGGCGACGGCAGTGTCGTCGATGCCGCCTGGCTCGTCACGCGTCTCGCCAGCTGTGAGTGGAGCAGCAAGCCGGCTGGCCGCAGCGAAGGCAGCCAGGTGGAGGGCAGTCGCGGCGAGCACGGGCCGATGTCTGAGCATGCTGCTCGCTTGCCGCCGGATGACAGCTGTGCCCTGCTGATGCCTTTGACCTGGCGCAGACAAGCAAGTCTTTCCCACATTCGACTTCCTCGGCTGGTACGGCTGCGGCGGCGCACCGTCGGCAACAGACCTGGCCGTGCACAAGCAGGTGCGTGTGACGCCGCTCGCCCCGCCTGCCGCCGCTCACCCTCCACAGCTGCTCGAGCACAACGAGTCGGCCATCTTCCTGCAGCTCTCGCCGTCGCGCGCTGCGCTGCACGACGCGCGCAGCCGCGCCGAGCTGCCCGTGGCAATCTACGAGGGCGTCATCGAGCTGGCCAAGGCGGCCGACGAGGACGCCGCGATGGCGCCGCCCGAGGGCGCCGGCCCCGAGCTCTTCTTTGTGCGCAGCGCATACCGCCTCGAGACGGGCGAGGCGGAGCGCATCGCCGTCGACCACACGAGCCGGCCGCCCGAGGGTGGCACGGGCGAGAGCAGCCGTGAGTCGCACGTGTACCTCTGCGCCTCCACTGCTCACCGATCCCAGTTGTGGCGAACCTGACGACGTCGCACAACGCCATCTCGATGCTCGCCGAGCGCATCCAGCACGTGCACGCCTACGTGCGCGGCGTGCGCGAGGGCAGCGTGCCGCGCGACGAGGAGGCGCTGCGCCAGGTGCGCGCGCTGCTCGCCAGCCGGCCACGCATGCGCCAGGTGCCCGAGTGGCAGGCCGAGTTCGAGACGGCGAGTGTGTCGTGTGCGTCGTCCGCGTCGCTGGCTGACACGGGCGCTTCAGGAGTACAACGACGTGCTGCTCACGTCCTACCTCGCGAGCATGACCAAGGGCCTGCACTCGCTCAACGAGGTGAGCAGGCGACGTACACGCAGCCTTGCCCACTCGCTCACTCCGCCGCAGCTCGTCGACAAGTTCGACACGGCGCAGAGCGGCCGCGACGAGCTCGACGCCGCACGCGGCGATCCCCGCTCTGCCGGCCGCTCGCGCAAGCCGATGCACGCCGCCGGCTCGGCGTACTGAGCTGCCTGTTGGAGCGCCTCTCATCAGCGCCGCCCTTGTATTTCTACCTTCACAGCGTCTCATCAATCGCAGACGAGATCTGACGCCGGCAGAGCAGACGTGTCAGGCGCAGGTCATAGATTCGTGGCAGAGACGAAAAGGGCTGTGGCGGTCCCGCTGTCGAGCGCGGCTTGACGCTGGAGGTGATGATGAACGGCTCAGCGGAAGTCAGAACGATCGACGGCAGGAGTGAGCTTGTGCTGGTTCGAGACGGAACGAGGAAGACTGAACGGACCGCCGCCTCAGCCGCTCGTCCACGCGCGTCCTTGGAAAGAACGTCGGCTGTCGTGCGGCGGCAGTCAGAGACTTTCGGGTGACGTGGACAGCGCTGACTCCTCACATTTGACCTCCGCTGTTCGTGTAGAGGATGCAGAAGGCCAACAATTCGGCGCCGTAGACCTGGAACTCCCAGGCGAAGTTGAGCCTGAAGCACGCTTGGTCTGTTGCTGTCGCGGGCAACAGCTCCTTGGCTTCCGAGACTTCGTCTCTCGTGAACTTGAATCTGAACGTCTCCAGGAGCTCGAAGTCGCCGGACTCGCCTGTATCGATGTCAGCTCATGCAAAAGGTGTGCTCGTGACACGGACTCACGGTCGATCCAGTTGGTCTTTCGGCCGCTCTTGCACGCGTACACCTCGACGTACGTCTCCAGCTCCGGCGCCTCCACCTGGTCCGCGGTGAAGTAGTCCTCGAAGCGCTGGATGGCTCGATCCTCTGCTTCCTTTCCTCCCCGATCTCCCTTTAGGCGCTGTTGTTGAGCGACGCTCCAACGAGAAGGGCGTAGAAGCGGTGGCTCACCTTCGACACCAGTACCGCGAGTCCGTCGGGATGAAATCCAATGCCTTTCGACTGATCATACACGACGGCTCCGTGCGGGTCTGAGAAAGGGCGCTGCACCTCGATGCCATATTGGAAACGAGACACGTAACTGACGGCCGAGTTTCAGCAATGCGATGTTCGCCGCATCTGAACGCCGCACGCACCGTGTGACGAAGCCGTCAATAGAGGCAGCGACTGCGCCTTCCGCGACCGCTTTCGTGCAGGGCCGGGGTGGACGCTCGAACTTGAGCTTGCGAACGTGGCTCATGCGTGCACGAATTTGCTCGCTGAAGTACGGATTCATGCTCAGGCCGCCGGTGAGCACGATAGTCAGAGGTTCTATCGGCGCTGACTTTGGCCCAGGACGTCTCTCGCGCACTTCCTTTACCATATTCACGGCCTCCTCAACAGTCCGTGAGATGGACTCTTCGAAGAGCTGGCTGATCTCAGCTCTAGTGACCGTCAAGTAGCCGTGAGGAAATACCACTTTCCGCTTGTGCTTCGCCCCGCAATCGTAGACCGGCTTGTGACAAAGAAAGAGCTTGTAGTCTTCCTGGTCTGCGGCGTATGCATTCTTGATCGAGAGCCAGCTGCGCGAGAGCTCTAAACGCTGAGACTCTCGCAGCTTTACTTTCTTGGCGCTCAGCTGTGCCTGCACGAACTTCCAGAAGCGCTCGTCGATGATAGTCGAGCCGCCGGTGATGCAACGCGCGCCAGCGCTCTCGTGGAAGACGTCACGGCCATCCTTGCCAATCTCGCCGCGGTAGGCGCTCCTGTACAGCTGGGATTGAGAAAGGGGACGGGAGGCAGAGCTGAGGGAGGCAGGGCCTACTGGCGAAGACTCACAAATCAATCGTACCGCCGCCCGCATCTATCAGCAAATGCTCCTTTCCCGCGACCAAATGGCGTTCGCGTTCACACGCGTAGCCGTTCAGACACGCTTCGCCCTCGGTGGTAAACTCAATGTCCACCCTCTTGACCTTGACTTGCTGGAGCGCTAGCTGCAGGGCGTGCAGGTACTGATTCTGCTCGACCTTCCCGCAGTCTGTCACAGCGTGCAGAGTTGAGCAAGGTCTACGCTTCTGCCTCTCCGGACTGACCGTTAGGGTGCGTCACCATGATACGGATCGGCGTCACGTCCGTCACTTCAAGCCCCGCTTGCTCGTGACTCCTGACATGCTTCTGTGGAGGTGCTATGAGCAGTGCGTCGACGTCTCATTGATGAAAGACTTCCCAGGCAGCCGCGCAGCACCATCGTCATGAAGTCCGTCATCTATAAGTCGGGGCTGGTCAGTAGTCCGGACAAGAGCGCGTCGCAAGCTCTTTCTCACGACCTTCTTCGGATTTAGGCCTGCTAAATTCTCGGGCAAATTGTTGAGATCGTCGCCGCGAGCATCGAGCGGAGACTTGCGCAGGAAGGGAAGCTTGAACATTTGCGCCATCCGCGCTCCCTGCCCGAGCCTGTATTCGTTCTCGGCGCCGGCGTGCTCCATAGTCTCTCCCTGGCTGTTGTAGTAGATCCGCGTGGCTATGCGAGGGTTCTCGTCTGCGCAGTGCGTCCATTGATCGACGGAGTAGATCTTCGGCCTGAAGCCGTCGGCAAGCACGGCGTAGCATACGCCAGCTGTCTGCCTGTCAGCCGCGAACGCAACTAGACGGACGTGGCGCTCACTGTTGACGGTGCCGATGTCGAGACCGAGCACGATGGCAGTGGCGCCGCTGTGCGCCGGCCATCTCTCGGAGGTCGTCATAGCGGCAAGGCGAGTGGAGAGAGATGACTTTGTGAAGCCTGCTGAGCTGAGATCAAGGCGATGAGAGGGCAGGTGGACGAGCGTAGCGAGGACGAGAGAGGCGGAGCAGCGTGATTTGAGGCTACGCATGGGCCGCCGCGCGTGTGCCCGCGTCAGGCAGCGGCGCCCCGCAGCCGCGCCGCCGCGCGGGGCGCGCGCAGTCAGAGTCGAGAGAAAGCACGCAGCGAAGAGGGCGCGACGGCTTGCGCGTTGCGGCCCGAGCGCTCCTGCCACAAGCCATCAGGGGCCCATCCGCACCCGCCGCACGTGTGAGCGATCGATGCACGTACGCCGAGCGCTGGCACGGATGCAGCGATGAGGCCCCACATCGACGGACGCCCGGCTGCTCCAGTGCCTGCGCCGGCGCAGCACCCGTGTTCATGCCAGGCACCCGGGGCGAAAGGCCCCACGCGGCTTGCACGCGGCTCATAAGAAGAGGGGCTGGAGTGTGCGATGCCGGCCCCGAGACCCAGTCCTCTTCCGAGCGCCTCTTTCCCTTCCGCATCCTGCGGCTACGAGCGGTCTCTGAGCATCGACGCCGAGCAGTTTCTGCGCCTGCGCACGATGCCTCCGAAGACTAGAAGCCGCGCGAAGAACGAACGCACGGTGAGTGAGCGCTGCCAAGCATTTGAATGCTCAGCTGAGCATGCTCTCAGGTGACCGTAAGCCAAGCGGCGCACAAAGGAGGTGCGAAGGCTCAAGTCGCGAGCCGGACGAAAACGACACATGGAGCTGCGAAGCCGCAAGTTGCCGAGCAGGTCAAGAGCTTGGACGTCCCAGCGATGCTTCAAAAGGTCGAGCAAGAGAACGATGCACTGAGAGTCACGCTGGAGAAGACTGAGCTCGACCTCGCGCTGGCCCAGTCGAGGCTGCAGATGTTCCGACAAGTGAGCGACGCTTTGGGCTGCGCGACCAATCGCGGCGCCGCCTCCAAGAGCGAGCTCAAAGCAGCGCTGCTGCGCTACAACGGCGGCGTGGACGACTTCGTTAACTCCCTCAATCTCGATGGCGAGGTCACGTATTTTGTCCAAGCAATGCGTTGCATCTTGCTGCCGGACGCTTTCGAAGGCACGCAGCAATATATCGCGCAGCTCTCCAGCATGTCGGGCGCAAGCGACCGCGGCAGAGTCAAGTTGACGGTGAGGAGGAAGGTCAGACAGTGCTGTGTGGCCCCTCTGACCGATGCTGGACGCAGAACTTCCTGCGCGACTGCATCCACCGCTTCGTGCATCATCGCTTCGCGACCACCTTCTGCTGGGAGGCCGCTCAAGACAACAGACACGCGCTGATGACGTTCGAGCATCTCGGAGCTTCGTCAGAGAGTACGTAAAGAGGAGAGCCGGGGATCATGTGAGCGCTCTCTCATGCTGCCCATCCCCGTAGCCCTCCCCGTCGCGAGGCTTGTGCGCGCATGGTACCACCGCGGACAGCGCGAGGTCCTCAGTGGGAACTCGCAACATGCACTGAAGCTTCTGACGAAGCAGCTGGCCAAGCGCATTGTCAGTCACACAAAGCACCTGCTCGAGGGTCAGATCGAGTTCAGCGACGATGAAAAGGAACGACTTCAGCGACGTGTGCTCATTCCCTTCACTGAACTACACAAGACCATCCGCGAGGACGCCGTCGTGTCAGACTACGATCTCTGCGTGCCAGAGCCTGCGGAGGGACGATTCTGCCTCGCTCTCGGCCTCCACCACCGGCAGGACGGCGGCTTTGTATTCGACATCGAGCCGGTCGCCGCTCCCTGAGCGCTGTGACATACTGAATGACATTGAGACGAAGCAGCGTGTGCCTAGGAACGATTAGATGTGACAGGCAGAGTGCAGCATGCGCCGTGGTATGTGGCGCCGGCGCGGAAGGCGACCTGAAAGAGAGTGACGGTGACAGAGGAAGATGGGAGCGCAGCACGGGCTCACTTGGCCTTGGGCGGCGGTGGCGGCGGAGGAGTGGCCGAGGGTGCGGTCGTGCATGGGTCGGGTGAGCTGGCGCTCATGGCGGACATGAGCGGATGCGAGCCGGGCGTCGCGGGCTTCGGCGCCGGGCTGCCGCCGTCCATGACCATGAGCGGCACGACGTCCGAGACCTGGTGCGCGGGCACGGCTTCCCAGGTGAGGCCGCCCGGCGGCGGCGACGCCGTGCTGGCAGGCTGCATGTACGAGTCGGTGCTGCGCACGCTGGGCTGCGGCGCCATGTTGCTGCTGCGCCACGGCGAGTCAGGCGGCATGCTGAATGCGCTGCTGCCGCCGGGAGAGGCGGAGCGCATGGCGCCAGCGGCGAGCGGGTGCGACGGCTGCAGAAACGACGCCGCCTTGGGCGTGCCCGGCGGCGGCGGCGAGCTCGGCAGCATCGACGTGCTCTCGCTCTTCTCAGAGAGATGCTTGCCAAACGGGTCGGCGAGCATGGTGGAGGCGTGCGAGACGAGGCTCGGCCGCCGGAGGCCGCCCTGTAGCGGCAGCTCCTCGTGACGACCGTCGGTGCTGTGCAGGCGCTCCGACATGCCGCCGCCCTCCATCAGGTGCGGGCGCGAGATGAAGGGGCGCGACGCAGCGCCGTTGCGGCGACGCCGGCGGCGCAGGAAGAAGAGCAGCGCAGCCAGTGCCGCGACGCCGAGCAGCACGCCGACGACGGCGCCTGCGATGGTGCCGCCAGAGCTGCTGCTCTGCTGCTCGGGCGCGGCGCTCGAGGCGGCGCCCGGCGCGACGCTGCTCGTCGGGCGCGCCAGGAACGACGGCACCGCGACGCCGAGGCTGTAGCGGCTCGTCCAGCCGGGGTCGGCCTGCGTGAAGAGCTCAAAGTACTCCTGCGAGAAGCTCGACGAGTCCGAGATGGCGAACACGGAGGCGAGGCTCTTCTCGAGCGCCTGTGCCGCAATGCTCGTGCGGATGCGCCCGAGCGCGTACGAGCCGTACTGCGCATTCTTGTTGGCGTTGAAGACGCTGTACGCCGTGCCGAGGTAGCCGTCGTACGTCGAGAGCGCGGCAGCGTCGCCGAGCACGGAGCGCAGCGCTGCGATGCCGCGCGTGTCCGTCGGCACGGGGTACAGCGCGCCCGGGAACTCGTACACGACCGTCGTGTACGGCGTGGCGGTGAGAATGCCCGAAGAGGTCAAGTTCTGGTTGAAGATCTGCGTGCGGTGTCAGCAGCGGGAGTGAGGCGGAGCGAAGGCGCGGCTCACCTGGCTGACTGTCGTGGCCGCCTCGCTCGCAATCTGCTGCCGCTGTGGGAAGTGTCAGCAGGCAGCCAAGCTCAGCCGCAGTGGACGTCACTGTGCGCCATGCATGTGTGCGCAGCGTCGCTTGCACAGCGCCTCGCTCTTGCCCGCCAATCCTGCACTCACACGATCCAGCTCACGCGCCATCACCGGCCGCGGCGTCGCCCGAGGCGCCACTGCCCGGGCATGCTCGGCGTCTCGCCGCTGCTCCGGCGCCGGGGCGGCGGTGCGGCGGGGCAGCGCGGCGCCTCGCTCGGCACGCGACTCGGGAGCGCCGGCGGGTGCGGCGCACGCACCGGCGGCGAGCGCCAGGAGCGGGAGCGCGAGGGACACGCGCATGCGGGGTGAAGGAGCGGAGAGGGGAGAGGGATGGTGGTGCGGAGCAGAGGCGCGCCCGCAACACAGCCGCAGCAGGCAAGAGCAAGAGCTGATGCTGCACCGTCCGCCGAGCCAACAGCGGCAGCAAGCGCCTGCGCTCTGAAGTGCCGGCTCCTCTCCTCGGCCCGCCTCCTCTCCAACGGCGCTCTCCGCTCCCGCTCCCGAGCCGTCGAGCCGCCGGCGCAAGATGCACCCGTTCCTTCTCTTGCCGCTCGCAGGAAAGCACACGGGCGCAGCGTGCATGATCGCCATGCGCCGTTGGCCCGCCGCGCTCTGTTGCGCCCCGCTGCATCTCGGGCGCAGCTGCACGCGCCGCTCGCGTGGGCCGCCGCCGCAGCACTGCAGCCGCAGAATAAGCATCAAGGCTCACGGCTGGGTGGGCAGGGGCAGCCTGCCTTAGCCCTGCTGCTCCCAGGCGCAGGTCCTCGAGGAGGACCACTCTGTCTCTGATGAAGTGCAGGCGGCAGGCGGAAGGCCCCTGGCGAGAGGGGGCCTGCTTGTGGCTTGATTGCCCGCCCTGTCGACGAGGGGCGCCGACGCCGATGCCTCGCTCCCTCGGCCGCCTCAAGACGCACATCGTAGCATGGCTCTGATCGCCACACAGCATCACAGAGCACAAGCATCACACCTCGCCGTGCTGCAGCATTGCATTGCTTGCTACCGGAAGCACTCGACGCGGCGGCGCACCAGCTCGCGCGCCACGCGCAGCTCGAGCGCCTCGGAGACGTCGAGCGTGGCGCGCAGCGCCGGCCAGCCGCGCGCGTCGTCGTCGGGCTCATCGAAGAGGGCGCGCGTGGCCTGGCTCAGCGTCACGCCGCGCGCCGCCTCCGAGAGGCCGAGGCGCTCGGCCGTCGCGGCGGCGGCGGCGGCGTGGCTCGCCGTGGCGCCGGCCGTCGACGTGGGCAGCGAGAGCAGCACAACGGCGTCGCGCAGGCGCTGCCACGGCGCTTCTGGGCGGCGACCAACGCCGGGCAGCCGCGAGCCGGTCGCGCTGGCCGCCTGCGTTGCGCTGGCCGACACCTCGCGCACGACGGCGAGCCAGCCAGACGTGTAGTCTTGCTCGAAGCGGCGTGCGCCCTGTGCGTCGAAGCGATGTGCGCCGCCTGGCAGTGGCGTGTGAGCTGAGGACCATCGAGCGACTGGTCCTGGAGACGCACCGCTCATGACCACTCGCTCCACTACGGCGCCTGCGATTGCCGTAGCGATGGCACGATAGATCGGCAGGCACTGCACCGGCTGCAGCACAGGCACGAGATGCAGCAGGTGCGACGACAGCAGCGAGAGACTCGGAATGAGCGACGGCGTCGGCACGTCGGACGGATCATCCTCGTCCGGCGAGCCGTCTGCGCCGCTGCTGTCCTCCGTCGCGTCGGGCTCCACAGACACTTGCCGTGACGGGGCCGACGCGTCCCAATGCCTGCAGAGAGTGTCAGTGAGAGTAAGTGTGGACGAGCGTCGCACGCACCGCATGGAGTAGTCGCGCATCGCCTCGGTCGTCTCCGAGATGACCAGACGCTCGAGCCCTCTGCTCGCGCGAGCCGCCAGCTCGCCGAAGCGCACCTTTGCCTCGCGCCAGACGTCTGCATCTTCCTCGGAAGCAGCAGTCTTTGCCGCTGGCGCAGCTGTTGCATGGCCTCCGCCGAGTGGCCGTAGGGAGACGCCAGTGCGCATGCCGCGGCGCACCAGCTCGCCAAGGCTGGCGCCGTCGACCTCGCGGTCCTCGCGCTCGCTCCGCCAGGCGTTGCGCGTCTCTCGGGCTCGCTGCGCCTCGGGCGTCTGCAGGCTCAGATCAGCGCCGAGCTGCACCGCCGAGCCCTCGGTGCCGGCGCGCTCGAGGTGCGCTTCGATGAAGGAGGCCGACAGCAGCGCCTTGAGCAGTCTGCTGGAGCCGCGCAGCCCGCGCACCATGTCGGCCTCGCCCGTGTCGGATCCCATGCCGCCGGGCAGCGCACGCGCAAAGGCAGACGAGAGCGACTCGAACGCGTCGAGCGAGCGGGACAGCCGGCCGGCGTAGGTCCGCAACAGCTCGTCCTGGATCGCGAGGAAGCCGATGCGCTGCGGGAGCGAGCGCAGCGGCGCAGCACGCTCGGCGAGTGCCGCCTGGAGTGTGCAGATGCCGCGTGCAGAGTGTGTGGTCTGCACGCCAGCCGTGCGTGCCTGCAGAGCGGCTGCTTCCCACGTCTGTGGCTCGTCGTCTCCGTCCGTGTCCGCCGGCCCGATGGCCCAGGCATCGGGCGACGAGAGAATCTCCTCGAGCTGCTCGGTGGCCTCGGACCGCTCGCCTTCCAGCCAGGCATCGAACGTGGGTGCATCGTTGAGGAGCGTGTCGGCAAGCCGCTCTGCTGGGCCGAGCGAGGGCACGAGGCCGCGCAGCTCGTCGTCAAACGCCAGCAGGGCGCCCACTGTGTGCGCCAGAATCGCCGGGCTGGCCTGCAGGACCTGCCGAGCAGCCTGCGTCTTGACACGCAGCGGCACGAGAAGAGCATTCACGAGCTCGCGCGGGCCGACGCCAGCATAGCCGCCGGCAGAGAAGAGCTCGAAGACGGCGCCGCGCGGGGTGAAAAGCGCAGAGTGCAGGCGCAGCAGCGAGGACATGTGCGCCAGCGCCCACTGCGGCTTGTCCAGCCGGTTGGTGCTCTTGTTGCCATCAAAGTGGTAGGCGAAGCGCGCCAGCAGCGGCGCGCACAGCACCTGGGTCGCGAACAGGGGCGCGTACGAGACGGCGCCGGCCGGCTCCTCGCTGGACGCCTCGTACGACGGCGGCGGCACGAGACGTGCGCGCACGGCGACGCGCTGCAGCCGGCAGAGGCGCAGCCAGGCTTCTCGCACTGGCGGCGCAGCGAGTACCTCCGCACCGGTGCGTGTAACCTCGCCCCGGGCCTCAGCGACCTCCGCTGGCGCTGGCGGCCAGCCGGCCTGGTCCAGCGCAGTCTTGAGCCCGTCTTCGAGCTCCGTGCGCAGCCCCGAGAAGGCTGCGTCGCGCTGGTCTACCAGATACTGCGCTGCGGCCGGCGCGATCGTCTCGAGCTCCTCCTCGTCCGCAGCGCAGGCCGCGCGAGCATCTGCCAGCAGCGCACACAGAGTACGCAGCGCCTCCAGGCGCGCCTTAGTGCTCTTGCCGGGCACGAGGACGGCATCGCGCAGCTCGTCGGCGCGCGCCAGGAGCGTGAGGTAGAGGCGTGCGGCACTGGCCTCGGCAACGTCGTCGCGCTGGCGCAGCAGCTGTTGCAGCGGCGCGTCGGGCGCGGGCGTGCTGCGCGACAGGCCGGCCTCGGCGTCAGCGTCGCCCGCCGGTGCGTCGTCGAGGCCGAGCTCGGTGCAGAGCTCGAGCAGCGCATCCTCGGCGGCCTCGAGCTGCGCGGGCAGCTCGGCGAGTGCGGCGCTGTGGGCGCGCGACTGCTCCTGCTGCGCTGCGAGCTCGGCGAGCAGTGCACGGCGCGCAGCATCGAGGGCGGCGCGGTTGGCGGGCAGCGTGGCCTGCTCAAGCTCGACGATGGCGGCATGCAGCTCGGCGCTGCTGGGCGCGCCGCTGAGGAGCGGGTGGGCGAGGAGCGCTGCGGCAGGCGGCGGCGCGGGTGCCAGCGCCTGGAGCAGCGTCGCCATGCTGCGGCTGCGACGTGTGGGTGGATGCGAGGGTGGATGCGAGGGTGGATGTGGAGCGGAGCAGAGGCGGCGCGAAGGAGCGAGCGAACGCCGCGATGCGTTCGCGGCATGATGCGCGCGTCCGTGCACCGCGCCTCGTCTTCTCCCGCGGCCGCTGCAGCGCTGGCCTCTTTCCCGACCACATCCAGGCAAATCGCAAGCAAAGCTCAACCTCGGCGCATGGGCTCGTCGGCGGCTGCGGAAATTCCCGTGCTGGACGAGCCGCCGTCGTATGCAGACTTCCGCGTGAGCTCCGCCGGTGTGCTGCTGCGGTGCGAGCTGACAAGGGGCGCAGAGGGACTTCCTCGAGCCCAACCGGCCATGCCTCGTGCGCGGCCTCGCTGAGCACTGGTCTGGCCGGCAATGGGTGCATTGCTCCTCCTCGAAGGCTGGCCCGCTGCATCCTGCCTTCGCCGAGCTGCAGCGCCTCTACGCCGCGCACACTGTGCCGCTCGTCCAGCCTGGCGCAGCCGCGGAAGATGAAGAGTGCCGCAGGTCCGCGCTGCTGCCCGAGGCGATCGCGCAGCTCGCGAAGGGCCAGCGCGGCTACATCAAGGACTGGCATCTCGTGCAGCAGCTGGCGCCGGGCGAGGCGCCGCCCTACACGACGCCCGACATCTTTGCCGACGACTGTGCGTGGCGCAGAGGCACAGCTTGAGAGGCATTGCTAATGCTGACAGTGGCGAAGGGATGAACAACGTGGAGCGAGGCGCGGACGACTTTCGCTTCTGCTACGCGGGGGTGCAGGGCAGCGGTACCAGTCTACATCGCGATGGTGAGCTGCGTGGCTGGCCTCGCCGAAATGAGCGCTGACCGCCGGTCTCAGTCTGTGCGTCACGCTAGGACGCAGAGCAAAGGAGAGAGCTCACACAGCGCGCAGACACGTCCTACTCGTGGTCGACGAACCTCGTCGGGCGCAAGCGCTGGCGCTTCTTCCCGCCGGAGAGCGGCCCAGGGCTCCATCGTCAGTGTCCTCGCTTGCGGCTGCCGGCTAGCGCTCACGCCCGGCACAGGCTTCCCTGACAACCCCACCTCGGAGCTCGCGTCGTCCATCGATGACATGGACGCGCGCCATGCTCGTGGCGAGCTGGGCCTCTTCAAGGCCGGCAAGGCCGGCTGGCACGCCTGGGCCGCGGTGCGCGGCTCGTGCACCGAGTGCACGCAAGAGGCGAGGCGTGGAAAGCTGCTCTGCTATCGCTCTGCTGACTGACACATCACAGGAGGGCGAGACGATTTTCGTGCCGTCGGGCTGGTTTCACGACGTGCTCAACCTGACCGACTGCATTTCAGTGAGCATTGCTCTGCCCATCTGCTGCATAGTCTGACACCCTCCAGCTCAACCACAACTGGATGAACGCGCACAATCTGCCGTCCCTCTACGCCTCTCTGGCGCAGGCCGTCGACGCAAGCGCGGCGGCGCTGAGCGACGTCGAGGAGCAGCTGCGCGCAACGAGCGCCGACGAGGCGAGCTGGCAGCGCGAGTGGTGGTCCATCGTGCTGCAGCTCGTCGCGGCCGATCAGGGCTGGGCGTGGGCGGGCTTCTGGCGCATCGTGCGGCGAGCGCTCGAGCACGCGCCCTGTGAGGTGCGTCCTCGAGGGATCCTCCTTGATGCCTGCTCACGCTTCTGCCAGGCTCGCTTGCGGCCCCCAGACGCCTTCACGCACGCCCGCGTTCGCAGCTGCGTTGAGGACTTCGGCCGCCGTGCGGAGGCCGCCTGGGTCGACGAGAGCACACGGGCGGATGTGCGACGCTGTGTTGATATTATTGGTATGCAGGGCAACACAGTCGTCCAATGAGATGCTCGCGCTACTCATGCGTCTGCCTGCGCCGAGTCGTCCTCGCGCACCATGGCAATGACGTCGTCCATGCCGTCGGTCTGGATGACGCCGAGCTGCCGGAAGCCGTGGCGCGTCCAGAAGGGCAGCGCCGAGCCCGTCGGCGCGGCGTCGAGGTAGATGGGCAGCTTCTGCGCGCGTGCCTGTGCCAGCACATGCTTGAAGAGGAACGTGCCGGCGCCGCTGCGTGCCGTCTCGGTGTCGACGCAGAGAATGTCGAGGTCTATGGTCTCTGTCAGCTGGGGTGCAGGACCACTGGAGCAGCGCACTCACGGACGTGCTTGCGGTCGTCCATGTACTTCTTTGCGTTCATCTCGAGGCTGTGGAAGAAGGCGTCGTGCAGCTCGGGCTTGGCGTCCGCCGGCCACGGCAGCGGCTCGGCGTAGTGCGGCTCGGGCGCGTCGTAGCCGCCGGCGTCGACGATGCGCCACTGCGTGCACGCAAGCACCTCGCCGTCGTCGGCGCGCGTGGCCACGTCGAGGAAGGCGTTGCGCGGGTCGGCGTCGCGCTCGGCTAGGCGGCGTGCCAGCTGGGCGTGCCGCAGCGCCTCGTCGGCCTTGGTGGGGCCCGAGGGGAGGATGGGCGCCATGATGGGCGTGAAGTTGGCGCTGAAGATGTGCGCCAGGCGCGGCAGGTCGGCCTTCTGCGCGGCGCGCAGCTGCAGCGAGAGTGCGGCTGCCATTGTGTCTTGTGATGGTGGTCGGAAGACAAGCGCCGGTGTCGCCGCTGCTGGACGTCATCCGGCGGCTGCCAAGAAGTTGCGAAGCTTGCGGCCCTCCACGCGAGCTGGCCCGCGGCACGGCAGCTGTTCCCACGCGGCTCGCCAGACCCTCGCCGCCAGCGTCACGTGCGGCGCGCGCGCGGATGCGCCGGGTTGGCTGCGCCGCCAGAGGCAAGCTTCCAGGCTGGCTCGGCCCCTCGCGCCGGCCTCGCCTTCGCCATCCCCACACCACCGCTCCCGCCCGCACGCCCGCCGCCGCCGTCGCTCCACGCTGCACTAGAATGCGCTGCGCGGCCGGCTCATGCGCCCCCGCCTCTCCCCTGCGGCGCTGATCCCGCGCCGCTCGCCGGGCAACTCCTCCTCCTCCTCTTCCGTTCCCGTCGCCTCGTCCTCGGCCCTGCCTTCATCCTCTGCTTCCGCCCACGCCTTCTCCCGCGACGCTACCTCGCCGCTCTCCTTTCTCTATCCGCCGGCGTGCCACGTCTTTCTGCGCCGCGCCTCGAGCAGCAGCGCCGCCGCCCGTGCCGCTGCTGCCTATGCCCACGCCGCCTACGCCCGCGACGAGGCCGACGTCCATGCGCACGACGAGCACGTCTCGTCGGCCCTGCAGCGGCGCGAGCCGGGCACTGGCAACTTCTTCACGCGCCTCGCGCCGCCGCATCCTTCTGTCGCTGAGGCCAGTGCCCAGCGGCGAGCCGCAGGCCGGCAGCACGACGGCCAGGTGACGGCGGGCGCGCCGGATTGGGAGCAGGCGTCGGAGCTCGCGGAGGGCAAGGGCAAGGCGGCGGCTCAGCAGCCCGGTGAGATGCCGCAGGGTCAGGAAGCGGAAGACGCGGTCTGCCTCGCCGTACGGGCGCTGGTGGCTCAGGCCAAGCCTGTGAAGGCGGCCCGATTACTTCTTCAAGACGTTGCGAGGCACTCGAGAACAGACGCCGGTCATGCCGAAGCGCAGTCAGTAGCGATGCGGCAGCTGCACTCGGACGTTCTCTCAGCGCTTAGTGCCGAGATCGCGCTGTCCGACGCACCAGCGGCGACAGCCCGCTCGCTCGCTGCTCAGCTCTTCGAGGCTGGGCGTGCTTCCGCCTACTCCGAGGCTCACTACATGCGCAGCCTGCTGGCGCGGAGCGAGCTGCTGGGCGCCATCAAGGTGCTGCGAACGATGCTGGAGCGCGGTCACGCGGGCCGGGTGCTGCTGCGTGACCTCCGAGCAGCGAAGCGGAATGCGCCGGGCCACGACGCTGCGGTCATGGAGCTCGGCCGGCTATGCGTCGAAGGCCTGCTGCCGCTCGAGCAGGAAAAGGCGCACATCGCTCGCAATGCCTCGACGAGCATCGGGTGGATCCTGCGTTCGGTGGCCAGGCTCTGCTCGTCGCCAGACCAGCGCACAAGCTCGGCTGCGCGCCAGTTGCTCTCCGACTATGTTGCACGGATACCGCGCGAGCCGGTCGCTGCTGCACCGGGAACTGAGAGGGCTTCACGCGCTGCGTCGCTGCCCGACGCCTACACGCTCAACACGCTCGTGCATCATCTGCTGCAGAAGGGGCAGCCGCATCAAGTCGCCGTGGATCTGCTGCAGGTCTACATGGCGCATCGAGGCAGCCTCGACGACGTGACGATCAGCGTGCTGCTCCGCCGTGCGACCGTGCTGGGCAACCCGCGGCTCGCCAACGCAGCATTGATGCTCGGCGCTCGCGCCACGAGGAGACGCCAGCTCATCGCCAAGGGCCGCGCAGACTTGGCCGAGCGCGACGGCGCGCAGCTGGAGCTGAAGCAGACGACATCGCTTGGCTCGCAGCTGCGCGATGCGGTCAGCCGCGGCGACAGCTGGAGGCTCGTCGCGCTGCTGGCGCATGCTACTGCCACTGGGCGCTTCAGGCGCGCCGATCCGCCACCTGCGCGACTCTCGCGGCCGAGGCCGGGCACGCCTGCGCGAGACAGCCCGCCGTCGACGTTGCCCACGCAAGGACGGCTGCGCTCTGCACCTCCGCCTCGCAAGCAGGCGCGGCAGATCGTCAGGATCCTGTATCCGTCGCTGCACAAGTTCTCGCAGGGTGTACGCGCACGCCGGACACAGCTGGCTCACCTGCAGAGCGCAAGTCCCAACGCTGCGGAGCTCTTGCCCACGCAGCCGGATCCAGCCTGCGTCCTGCATCCGCACGTCCTGTCAGCAGCTCTGAACCTCTGCGCCAAAGCGGGCCGCACGGGCCTTGCCGAGCGCGTCTGGCGCCTCCTGTGCCAGACCGTCGGAGCCGCTGCAAGCAGAGGTGGTGCAGGCGAGCTGCTAGGCGAATCCGCAGCCCAAGGCTTGGCGCCGAGTCTGGCTTGCTACGTGCCGGTTCAAGCGGCGACGTCGATGCTGCAGGTCTACGCGCGCGAGGCACGCAAGGGCATGCCTCTGCACCTCCGCTTCCCTGCTCGCCGAGGCGGACTGCAGCGCGACGTCCGCGGCCCTGCGCGTCGGCAGCGGCTGGCCCGCACTGCTCGCCGACGATCAAAGTCATGGGCCCGCGGCTGGACGCCTCGCTCGCGCGGCTTCGCCCTGCCTCGCTGGCTTGCCGCACGCGTCTCTGCAGCCTCGATGTACCGCCATCTGCGGGCGCACTGGCAGCTCGAGCAGCACGCGAACGCTGTACCTGCGGCCACCAGTGCGAGGCAGGTGCTGCCGCCGCGACCTGACGCCAGGATCTTCGACGTGTTGCTCGACATCTTCGGCCGGCGGCCGGGCATGGCAAGACGCAGCTCGCGTCATCGCGGACGTCACAGCAGCCTGCAAGTCAGCGGGTCACCGACGCTGAGCGCCGACTCGGACGCTCCGCCCGCGCCCTCGTCGTGGCAGGATGTGCTCGACGACGACCCGAAGCAGGTGGCACTGCACGGCGCCTTCTTGCCACGGACGCTGGACCCCTTCCTGCTCCTCGTGCTGGCCGACATGGCTCTGCTTGGCATTCCCGTACCGCCCGCGTACCGCAAGCTCGTGGCCGGCGGGGATCAGCTGTGGAAGGCTAGCGAGTCGCATAGCGGCGGTGCCTGGCGCGTGGACGCGCGTCTGCGCAAGCGTGGGACGGACAAGAGGTGATGCGTCGGGAGGCAGGGCTAGCGGCGGACAGCCCACACAAATAGAAGCTAATTTTGCATGATGCGGATAGGCTGAGCAGGTATGACGAGACAATGGGTGTGACGGAGGGAGCGGTAGCAGGGCAGAGAAGTTTACGCGGCGGCGGCGCGCGCCTTCTTCTTCGCCGGCTTGCCGTTTGGCCTGTCGTCGGCGCCGTTGGAAAGCGACGAGGCGGCCGGCTCGTCGCGGACCGACGACGTGGGGACTGTCGCATCGACGCCGTTGCGCTCCTCCTCGTCTTCCCGCTCGCGCTTGAGTGCCCAGAGCCGCAGCGCCTCCCACACCTTTGCGCGCTCGCGCTTGATGGCCGCCAGCCGGCCGCGCACCTCGTCGAGGCGCTCGACGTACTCGCGCGAGTCGGCGCCCAGCTCGTGCAGGCAGTCGAGCGCAGCGCGCACGACGTCGCGCTGCTGGCCGACGGTGAGGACAGCCTGCGCCGGCGCCGGCTGGCCCTCGACGTGCATCTCGCCGATCGTCGCCGGGTCGGAGCCGAGCGGAATCGGCAGACCGGCGGGCGTGACGAAGAGCTCGTCGAGGCGCGCAAAACTCGGATTGAGCTCGTCTGACGTGAGGCCCGTGCCTTCGGCGCCGATGGCGTCGGCGTCGATGACGTGCCGGCTCGGCCCTGCGCCCGGGTTGCTGTGCTTGCTCTCGTCGCCGTTCGTCTCGGCTGGCTTCGTCTCGCTGGCGCCCAGCGTCATCTTGCCCTCGCCGACCTCAGCCGAGCCGAAGCCGACGTCGTAGCGCTCGAGCTCGGCGAAGGATCGGCCCAGCGCGCGTCCGAGCACACCCTCGCTCTCGCGCAGATCGAGCGCCGTCTTGCTCAGCGCTCCGATGTGCGGGTTGCGGAAGGTGTGCCGCAGCGTATGTGACTCGAGCAGCGCGCGCGCAGAGAGCACAGGCCGCAGCAGCGCCGGCGCCAGCGCGACCGAAGTGAGCAGCGGCTCGTCTCGTGGCGCTGGTGGCGGCGGCGCCGGCAGTGAGAGGTGCGGCGAAGGCGCAGATGCCAGCAGCGAGCGGACACCAGCGCGCTGGAGAGAGGCGATGCGCAACCGCACGCGGTCGTCGATCTGTGGCTCTTGTCAGCGCCAAGGCAGCATCCCATGCTCAGCGCGCTCACCTCTTTCTCGCCCCGCGCCTCGGTCCACGAGCCCAGCTTGCCTCGCCGCACCCAGCGCGCGCCCTCTTTTCGCTTCAGCTTGTTGCCGCGGTTGCCCGTGCGGTTCGAGTGGTCGTGGCGCTGCCGCTCCTCGTCCTCGTCCTCGCTGCCAGCCTCGCGCGAGGGCTGCGTCAGGAAGCCGACCTGCATCACCTGGCTGCGGCTGCCAGTCGGCTGTGGAGAGGACCTCGGCGATGAGGAGGCCGACGTGTCGGAGTAGTACGTGTGGTGATCGTTCGATGGCAGCGAGCTGCGACAGCACGTGTCAGCCCGGGCCGCAGTAGGCATACCACGCAGTCACTCACAGCCAGAGCAGCCTCGCCTCTTCGCTCTCTCGCGCCTGCGCTGCCTGCAGCTCGCGCGCGTGTTCACGCTCAAGCTCCTGCTGGCGGCGCAGCGGCGCTTCTTCCCGCTCGCGCTGCTGCCGCTCACGCTCTCGCTGCTCTGCGGCACGTCGCGCCTGCTGCTGCTGAGCCGACGCGTGCGACGACAGCGCTGCTGGCGACTGCAGCTGCTGCTCTGCCGACGGCCGCGCTGGCGCAGCAGGCTGAGGAGTCCGACTCGCCTGGCTTGGCGGAAGGGGTCGAGCGACAGCTGGAGCCGCGGCAGGCGTCGAGGGCGCCGCAGAGGAGCGCGACGGCCGCGCCACAGGAGGCGAGAGAACGCTGCGAGCGGGCGCTGTGCCGCTGGCAGCTGCGCTAGAGGTGCGTGCGCCAAGAGGCGGCGCCTCGAGAGGCTGCTGCGGAGCAGGCGTGGCGGCCGGCGCAGCGCTCGATGCCGACTCTGCGGCCTCGGGCTTGACAGGCCGAGTCGCGGCCTGCGATGCGTTCTCGGTGGCAGCGAGCGGTGCAGGCTTGACCTCTGCTGCGCTCTGCTCGCTGCCCTGCGCTTGGGCTGGCCCAGCACCCGATGCAAGCTCGCGCACCTTTGCTTCCGTCGCTGAAGAGCCTTCGGAGACCGGACGAGCATCGAGCACCGGACCGTTGCCCCTATCCGTCTCTGCTGAGCCCTGAGCGCCTGGCGTGATCGAGGTCGCAGCAGAGGCATCGGCCATCGCAGCATCTTGCGGCTGAGTGCTTGCTTCGGCTGTCGGTGCCGTCGAAGACTCGGCTTTGCCGGGTCCAGAGGCGCTTGCGGCGGGCACATTCGCCTCTGTGTCGGCCTGCCGCTGCGCACTATCACGGGCGCCGGTATCAGCACCCGTGGTCTGAGCATCGACGTCCATCGCCTCGGCAGCCGGCGGTGCATCCTGCGGCACGCCCGGCAGCGGCGGCGCCTGCGGGTTGGCCTGCGGAGCGGCGCGAGGCTGCGCAGGCGAGCCGGCGTCGCGCGCCACACTGGCGGCCGGCGCAGCGAGGGTGCCTTCGGCAGCAGCAGTACCGGGCTCGCTCGACGGCGGCGGCGGCGGCACGGCGGCGGCGCTAACCGACGCGGCTGTCTCCTCGGGCGCAGCGGCGGCGGCCGACGGCTGCGCAGACAGCTGCGTAGACGGCACATGCTGCGCCAGCGGCAGGCGGTCGGCCGTCTGCGCCGCGGCTGCGGGGTCGTCGAGCGGCGCAGTGGCCAGCGCCGGCTCGTCGGGCTCGGCGAGCGGCGGCAGCGGCAGCGGCACGACGTACGCGGCGCTGTCGGCGCCCGAGCCGGCGTCGGCGCTGCTGTGCGCGGGCGCGCTGGCGGGCGGCGGCGGCGGCGGCGAAGGCATGAGGAGAATGTGGGGCTGCGGCGCGCGCCGGAGGAGATGGAGGTGGGAAGGAAGGCGCACGGCACGGACGAGCAGCCGCCTCGTCGAGGCGCGCGGCGCGGCAGGCAGCGCAGCCCGGCGACCGCGCCAGCAGCAGCGCGCCTCTGTTCCGCCGCGACAGCGCTGGGAGCGCCGCGCGACGCGCCGACGTCGCTGCCGCGACCCTCATCTCAGCACTGCGTTCGCACTTTGTTTGAGAGTGACGGCGCTCCGGGGAGCTAGAAGGCTGTTCAAGTCTTTTTGAAACTACTGCGCGGCGACGGTGAGCCATGCAAAGGCTGGACTCTGCCGTGGACCGCACAGCAGTCAGATAAAGCGCACGAGTCAAAAAGCGCGGACAGCCTCGGCTCTCTTGTACCCGCTCCACCACATCTTTTGGGCGCTTACCCCGCTCTCCTCCACCAAAATGTCGCATCCCACCCTCAGTGCGCCTCATCAAGGCGCCACCAGAATCATCATTGGCCTTGATGTGGGTCTGACCTTCAGTAAGCAAGCCGAAGCTGCGTCTGTGGTGCAAGCTGATGGCACCTGACACTGTCGCAGCCGGCGCATGATTCGCTGTCATGCATGAAGGGCGCCCATGCCACATCAAGCCTGTCTCACGCTGGCCGCAACACGAGGAAGCGCGCATTCCAACGCAGGTCCTGTACAAAAATCGGCAGCCAGTTGGCTATGCAGCAATCATGGATGACGACGGAGATTTTGAGATGGCTGAAGGGACTGCTGACGTCGTCACAGCGGATCTCTTCAAGCTCCACTTCCTCAGCTTGTCTTTCACTACGGGCAAAGCGCTTGCGCAATGGCAACGGCCAGCGAGGAAGACGCCGGAGGAAGTGATGCAAGACTTTCTCACCATGATCCGCAGCGACATCGACGAGATTGTTGAGCAGAGCATGCCAAGCGGTGTCAAATTGGACTCTTCAACGCAACGCACACTTGTTCTAGCTCATAATAATGGTAAGTCACGCAGTAGTAGTCCCTTTGCAGTGTCTCATGGCCTTTCCATAGGCTGTGGTGCGGTTCAGCAGGAGCGCTTGCGCACTGCGTGTACCCAGGCAGGATTTCACGACGAGGTTGAACTGAAATTTGCGGCTGAGGGCGAGGCCAATCTGCACGCCTGGGCGCACAACAACTTCGCACGAATTCATCAGGGCCTCAAGGTCGTTGTCATTGATGCTGGTGGTGGTACAGTTGATGTGTGAGTTCCTATGTGCAGCCTCTTGGCTTCATGCCTCATCCTCGCCCTGTAGCTCTGCGTATTGCGCTCGTCACGATGAGGCTCAGCGGCTGGTCTTCGACGAGATCGCTCCGGCCGGCTGTCTGCGCGCGGGCTCCACTACAATTGACGAGCAATTTTGGGACTTAGCGACCAAGAAGCTGCCCTCTCTGCGAGGCGTAGCTCGTGCGCGCAAAGACAAGGTAGTGAAGAAGTGGAGCGCATTCAAGAGGCGACTCAAGGGCAAGAAGGGATGCGTGGTGCCTCTTCAAGAGTGTCTCCATGGCGAGCCTGCCATGTATGGCGCGGAAGGGTTTGACACCAAGAACGGCACGTGGATGATGACGAAGGAGGACGTTGCGCATGCCTTTGAGCACTCCGTGGAAAGCACCACAGCCACCGTCATCAATACGCTGCGTGCTGCCTGCTCGAGCGGCGCAGACAGCTTTGACATCCTCTTTGCAGGAGGCCTGAGCGAGAATGACTACTTCCGAAGCGAGGTGAGCAAGCTTAACGTGCCAAGAGGCTCACAGCTGACTCAGGACATAGGTCCAAGCGCGACTGAAGGCACGCAAGCCATGCAACGTCAAGGAGCTTCGGTATGAACGTGTTGAAGCGCCCTATCACAAGAGCGTAGCCGAAGGTGCGGTACTGTGCGCCGTCGACAACATCATTGCAAGGTGATTCTATTCTTTCAGCTCCTTGAGGAGCAACGCTGAGCTCCTCGGTGTCAGCTACGCATCGCCGTGCCACTACGGTCAAATTGGACAAATCACATTTGATGCTAGCGAGGCTTCGCACCCCAGACGACAGGAAGAAGTATACATTTCTGATGTGACGGGAGAGAAGAAGCTCGGCGGCGCCTTCCATGTCCTGGTCCCAAGGGTGAGGATCAGCTGGGTCACGCATATTGTCAATGGCTGAGACCTTTGCACGGCCAGGGTCGCAAAGGAAGCATCGAGTCTCAGGCCGCCAAAAGTCTCATCATTGATTTCCCTTTGAGAGAGCATCCTTATGGAATGTCTCACACATTCAAGATGTACGGTGATCGGCGGGAGGAGCTGCCCGACTGGCCTGACAAAGACGGTGAGGCGGCGTCAGACTTGAAGTTGCTGGCGCAGGCTGATTGCTTGACCCCAGAGATGTCTCTGCATACCGCCGTCATTCGCGCTCAGCCCCATTCTGACCACCTCCCTCGTGCAGGGAGATCGCTGCCGAATGGTCCTTGACGCTCTCCGCTGCAGAGATGTTTCTAGCACTCGAGCCACGACAGGTTGGCGACGGCCCACAGCATTACCGCTTGATGTTCGCCTGGAGCGTTCAAGTCTTCGGCACCGAGCTCAGAGCCAAGTGCGAGCTTCGCACAGGAATAACTGATCGGCACGTGTGAGTCTCACAGGCCGCTTCGCTGACGGCAAGCGCTGACGACGCCGGGCGCAGCCGCACGTTCTACTTCCGTGGGCGCTCTGCAGTTGCGGAGCGATCGATCTCGGAGTAGAGCCGCGTCATCAGTCTTGTCCTCGAGCCTACGTTTCTCTTCCTTCTCGGCAATCGATTCCTGCTGTGATCTGTGAAGTCCTTGTCCCGGACTGCGAGCGCTGAGTGGATCCATTTCTTGGCGACATACGTGCGTCGCGCCGCCCTGCGCCAGGCGGAGGCAGTCGCACGCGCTGGCCTTGTGCTCCCGCCGCGTCGCTGGCGGCGTGCCGCGGCGGCGCGGAGCGGCGCGGGCAGGCCGCCAGCCTCCGCTCGCGCGCGGCGCCTGTGCACGCCGCCTGCACGTCGCACGGCCATCCAGCTCATCAGCTCCCGCGCCTGGCCGTGCGCTTCTTCCTCGACCACCCCTCTCTCCTCTCTCCCTCCGCCCTCTGAGCCTCGTGTCTGCTCCTCTCCTTCCGTGTCTCTCTCCCTCTCCTCAGCGTCCGTCCTCTCACGCACCCCTCTGCCTCTGCCGCGATGGCGTCGAACGGCGCTGCTGCTGGCGCCGCGCGCAAGAAGCTCAACGGCTACGTGGGCTTCGCCAACCTGCCGAACCAGGTGCACCGCAAGAGCGTGCGCAAGGGCTTCACCTTCACCTGCATGGTCGTCGGTGAGTGGCGGCGCGGCGTGTGCGGCTGGATGGCGGATGGCAGCAGGGTGCAGCGTGTGCGGATGGATGGCGGGTGCGAGCAGGCGACAGTGGATTCTCGCATCCGCACTGCGCTGCCGATAGCCCAGTGCCGCGCTCGCTTTTGTGCGAAGCGCTGAGCAGCAGGTGGCGGATGCTTGCTCCTTCTAGCGCTGCTGTGCGGTCTTGCGGTGCGCCAGCGGACGCCCGTTCTCTGCTCGCGAGCACGGCGGCATGCGCTCGCAGCTCGTGCGGGTCAGTGCGCGCCGACGGGTGTCGAGGTCGGCGTCGCAGGCAACCGCACGCGAAGCCCACGTTCAGCCGAGTTGCTCGACTGCACGCTGTGCGCTGCATTGTTCGCTCTCTGGTCCGTGCTCTCTTCGCTCCCGGGCCGCCAGAAGGCGGATCGTGCGCTGCAGCCGCACGAAGCACGCCAGTGCGCGATGCAGTGGGCTCGCGTTGCAGCACTCACTGCGCGTACAAATTCTGGCAGCGAAACCGACTGCAAACCTCTCTGCTGCGAAGTCGCTGTAGCGCCGACGACTGACGCCTCGTTCTGCAGGCGAGTCCGGCCTGGGCAAGTCGACCCTGATCAACACGCTCTTCAACACGCGCCTGTACGCGCGCAAGGAGGTCCCACCGCCGCATGCCGAGCGGCCAAAGACCGTTGCCATCGAGAGCATCAGCGCCGGTGAGTGAAGGACAGCCGACGGCAGGCGGCGGAGCGTCGAGGCACTGCAGCGCGTAGTCGCGCGTGTGTCGCGCGCAGTTCAGCGTCCGCTCACACGCATGCGCAGACATCGAGGAGAACGGCGTGCGCCTGAAGCTCACCGTCGTCGACACGCCCGGCTTTGGCGACTTCATCAACAACGATGACAGGTGAGTTGCGACGACAGGGTCGGGCCAGGCGCGCGAAGGACGGGTTGGGCTGGTGCGCCCGCTCTGCTGGCAGTGCAACGTGCTCATCTTGCATCCGCAGCTGGAAGCCGATCGTCGACAACATCGAGTCGCGCTTCGACGCCTACCTCGAGCAGGAGAACCGCGTGAACCGCGCCAAGCTGCTCGACAACCGCGTGCACGCCTGCATCTACTTCATCCAGCCGACGGGCCATTCGTGAGTCGTGGTGTGTGCACTGTCTGGCCTGCGCAGTGCTGAACTCTCCGTGCTCTTCAGCCTGCGACCCATCGACATTGAGTTCATGCGCCGCCTGCACCAGAAGGTCAACCTCATCCCCGTCATCGCCAAGTCGGACACCCTCACCGACGACGAGATCCTCTCCTTCAAGCAGCGCGTGCTCAACGACATTGCGCACCACCGCATCGAGATCTTCCACGCGCCGGTGTACGACAACGAGGACGAGGAGACGATTGCGGAGAACGAGGAGATCATCGTGAGTGCTGCGGAGAGCGGTGCTGAGTGGAGGGGCGTGAAGCACGGGCACGCTGCGCAAAGACGCGCAGCACTGCACATCTCGGCCCTATCGCCGCTCACATGTCTCCTCCAGCGCAAGATCCCCTTCGCCGTCGTCGGCTCGGACCAGGAGATCGACACGGCCGACGGGCGCCGGGTGCGCGGCCGCGCGTACCCGTGGGGCGTCATCGAGGTCGACAACGAGGCGCACTGCGACTTTGTCAAGCTGCGCCAGATGCTCATCCGCTCGCACATGGAGGAGCTCAAGGAGCACACGCACGACGCGCTCTACGAGAAGTACCGCTCCGAGAAGCTCGTGGCGATGGGCGTGACGCAGGACCAGTCGGTGTTCAAGGAGGTGAACCCGGCGGCCAAGATGGCCGAGGACCGCGCGCTGCACGAGGCCAAGCTGGCCAAGATGGAGAACGAGATGAAGCTCGTCTTCCAGCAGAAGGTGGCCGAGAAGGAGGCGAAGCTCAAGCAGAGGTGCGTGGCGCTGCTGTCTGCGGCGTGGGCATGAGCTGACACCGTACTCCACAGCGAGGAGGAGCTGTACGCGCGCCACCGCGAGATGCGCGATGCGCTGGAGAAGCAGCGCATGGAGCTCGAGGACAAGAAGCGGCGCCTCGAGAGCGGCCGGCCGCTGACGCCCGAGAAGCAGAACGTGAGTGCCGCTCGCAGTGTCTGGCCCATAATCGCTCACACCTCGCCGCCGCAGCAGAGCTACCAGCAGGCGACGAAGAAGAAGGGCGGCTTCCTCAGAAATTAGGCGGCCGCTGCAGCGCCGTAGCTGCTGCGTGCTGAGCGTCGTGCCTTGCGGCCCTCGACGGGCCGCAGCGCACAAGGTGCCAGTCCCGCCGGCTCTGTGATCTGGAAACAGCCCGGCGGCCTTACCCCTTCCGCCGCCGGCTGCCGCACCCATCGCTTCCTTCTGCCACTCTCCTTGACGACGCTTCTCGGCGCCGAGCGGGTGCGACCTGCCCGGCGGCCATCCACGACCCTTCCCTCCTGTGCCTCCGTGATCCCCACCCGGCCCATGCCCCCTCTCCTTTGCGCCTTCGACTGTGCTTATCGAAATTACGAATGTACTGGCCCGTCGCTGTCGTTCCTGTGGAGAGGCACTGCCGATGCGATGCGAAGGAGAGATGCGGGCCCGCGCCAAAGGGACGCGCAGCCAGCATCGCGGGCCTCCTCGCACCTCTCGCCGCTGCCGCGCGCGCCGCCTTCGCCGCGCCGCCGCGCGCGCGATTTCCACGGCTGGCGCGCCGAGAAGCGCGTCTGGCTCAGCTCCACCCTGACCGCACCCCGGCGACGCCTGCTGCTGCTGCCTGCCCTGCACGGCGTCTCCCTTCTCCTCACCCGCCGGCCACGCACACCACCACCTCGCTGCACGTCTCGGACGCTCGCAGCAGCAGCATTCGTCGACGCAGCGCGCTGCCGTAGCTGCGCGCCCCGCGCACCTGCTCTCTCCACCTCGCAGCGCGCACGATGGCGCCCGCATCGTCTGCGCCCTCGCGCGGCGCAGACGAGTACTTTCCAGTGCACGGTGGCAGCACCGGCATCGTGCACGAGACGCTGTACGAGGACGACGAGGCCTCGTCGGGCTCCGAGGCGGACGCAGCGCGCGACGGCGCACGCAAAGCGTCCGTCCGCTTCGGCCAGCTCGACGCGGCGGACGCCGCGGCGGCAGAGAGCGACGGCGCCGGCGCAGGCCCACGCTCGCTCTCGGGCCGCCATCTCTCGGAGAGCGCACGCTCGCACGCCGCCGACAGCGGCGGCGACGCCAGCGGCAGTGCCTCGCCCTCGTCGTCGGCCAAGCGCCTGCCGGCCGCCGGCGCAGGCTCGCGCGTCGGGCCGCGGCCAGTGCCAAAAGACTCGGCGTCGCTGCGGCACATCTCCTTCCGCTCCCGTCTCTCGGGCATCCCGTCCGGCTCGGGCTCCAGCAGCGCAGCAGCAGCCGAGGTGGAGCCGGCGGCCGCGACGTTCCGGCGCAAGGAGTCGCGCGGCAAGATGGCGCCCGACTCTGATGAGGAGGACAGCCTGGACGACGAAGACGACGAGGACGAGGATGGCAGTCAGCGCAACGGCGTCGGGCGTGAGTCGTGGCAGCGTGACCTGTACGGCATCCACAAGGAGCGCGCCGACCGCAAGCGCAACTCCAAGGCCGCAGCGGTGGAGGAGCAGAGGACACGCGGCGCGCTCTCAGGGTCCAGCAGCTCGGAAGCGAGCGACGGCGACGGCGAGATCGAGGAAGACGACGGCGAGGCGAGCGACGACCATCGGCATGAAGGTTCGAGCTCGCGGCAGCTCGAGGCGCCGAGGCCAGACCGGCCCGGCTTCTCGAACAGCCTCGCTGCACAGGCGCACGAGCGCCGCACCCGGTCCGTACGCCGTGCGCCCTGGCATCCTCGCGGGCCATTAGCCGACGGCGAGAACTCGCCTTTGTTCCCGCCGCTGGCTGGAGGTCTGACTACGCCCGGGCCGCAATGGCCACACGGCGTGAACACGCCGATGGGCACTCCACCAGGTGAGTTCAGCACTCGTTCTCGTAGGCCCGACACGCTGACGCTCCTGCAGATGCCGTGTCGCCCGAGATCGAGCCGCGTGCGCGCCTCGAGTGGCAGACAATGCTCGAGTCGGTGCTTGCGTCCGAGGTGCTGCGCTCCGAGACGAAGCGCATCACGTCTGCCGACGCAGCCATCGCGACGCGCGAGGAGCAGATGTACGCTCGCTGGCTCGACATCCGCGCTTCGCTGCGCGGGCGCGGCCATCTGCGCGGCGCTGTCGAGGCCGAGGAGAAGCGGCTGAACGAGGGCTGGGCCGTCATGGTGCGCGATCTGATCCGCGACATCCACGAGTGCCGGCCCGAGCAGGACCTGCCGCCGCGCGAGCCCAAGACGGAGAGCACCACGCCGGAAGAGCCGCGCAGCGACGTCTCAGAAGGCGAGGACGACGACGGCTCGGCTGCTGCTGCAGTGGCCGCCGCTGCGGCTGCCACGTCCGACGCCGACAACCTCCTCGCCGAGGTCGGCGCCTTGCTCGCGCGCGTCGACTCGGCAGAGGAGCAGTTCCCCAGCAGCCGCAAGATGCAGGAAGTGTGCCCAGAGTGGAACGACGAGGCGCTGCGGCACAAGCTCGATGCGCTGTACAGCTGGCACAACGTGACGAGCGCGCTGCGGCTACAGCTGCGCATCCTGCAGCAGTGGACTGGCAGCGAGACTTTGTCCATCGAGGGCGACACCAGACCGGGCGCCATCGAGGGCGGCGATGATGGGCCGCAGACTCCCGCTCTCGAACAACCTGAGCGGCCTCGCTGGGGCGCAGAGATTGACGCGACGGGCACGTTCGTCGAGCGCATCTTGCGCGAAGACTCTCTGCAGGGCACGTTTGAGAAGCGGACGCTGTCGGCACTCAACGCGCTCGTGCTCAAGGCGAAGCGCGTGATTCTCAAGTACCACGAGGCCTTCCGGCGCATGGCTCTGCCGTCCTTCGAGCCGCTGCTCGTGCAGCTCATCAACTTCCCGACTCGGCTGGTGCTCGGCGCCCTGCGCCTGCGTCTCGACTACGCGGGCAAGCTGCGCGAGCCGTCGCTGCTCATCGTCGACTCGCTCACCGATGACCTGCGCGCCGCACTTGCGCTGGCGTGTCGTGTCCGGCTGCAGTACTCGGCGACGATGGTGCCCGATCCCGACGCCGGCTGGGACCTGCCGCCGTGCATCGGCGACGGCTACGATGCGACGCTGCGCGAGGCGCTGCGCTTCTTCTTCAAGCTGCTCAACTTCAAGCTCAAGGGCGCCGTCTTCTTCAAGGAGACGGAGATCCTCGAGCCCGAGTGGCGCTTCCTCAGCACGGCTGCCGAGGTCATCCAGGGCGGCGACCTGATCGTGGCACGGAGCGTGACGAAGATCGTCAACAAGGTGAGGCTGCGTGTGGAGATGCTGTGACAAGGCGCGGCACTGACGCTCATTCAACCAGCTCTTCGCGCGCATCGTGACGTACTTCGAGCGCGAGCTGTCAGCACCGAGTACTCGGCGCGGCGCACGCTTCGGCGATGCGCCAGTCGAGAACAACGGCTTCGGCCCGCAGTCGACGCGGCCAGGCGTCATCGGTGTCGGTGGCGTCGAGGGCGTTGCTGGGCGCGGGCCGGCCACGGCAGGCGGCCTGACGCGCGGCAAGGTGCGCATGACGCTCGAGGAGAAGGTGAAGTGGATCCACGCCGTCTTCGAGAACGTGCGCATCCGCTCGCGTAAGCTGCTTGGCTTTGCGCGCGACATCCGCAATCGTCTCGACAACGCAGCCGAGTACGACCTCGGCAGCTTGCGCTCGCCGCCCGAGCCAGGCAACGGTGAGAACGGCGGCAACAGCGTGGACCAGGCGAGCTCCATGGGCTCGAGGGCTGGCGGCGGCGCAGCGTCGAACGCGAATTCGCAGACGGGCGCCGGCATGGATCTCAACGGCTTCCTGCAGACGCTCATCAACGCCGGCTACTTCCTTGTGCTGACCGGCAGCTTTGAGCCGGAAGGCATCTACCTCATCGCCGAGCCGAGCTTGCACGACAAGCCGGAGCTGATCCAGGAGCTCTTCTGCCGCTGCATCCGCCGAGGGAGTGCCGCAGCCGACGCCGAGAGCTCGGCCATGGCCGCCGAGGCCAACCTCGCGGCGTCGGTCCTGGCGGGCGGCGACGCAGCAACGACAGTGGCCGGCGAGGAGGAGGCCGCTTCCGACGTGCAGGATGCCGGCGTCGCTGGCGCATCGAACGTCGAGACCGAGGCACCGCGCTACCTGCTGCTGCTCTCGCCGCGCGACGCCTTCATGTGGACGGGCCGCATCATGACGCTGAAGATGCCGCGCATCGGCGTGGATCTCAAGGACCGGCGACTGCGGCTCATCGCAGACGGACCAAAGGGCCGCCTGGCTGCCTGCAAGGCGCATCTGTACTCCGTCTTCCACGCCGCTGCCGCTGCTTCTGCAGCCGCTCACGCTCCCGTCGAAGAGCCCACTTCAGCGCCGCCGACTGGGCGCAAGGGCGCCAAAGGCGCCGCTCTCGCAGCTGCAGCGGCCGCAGACGCGCTGGCAGCGCAGGTCGAAGACCCTGCCGCCTCGTTTCCCCTCGAGATCGTCAACGAGAACATGGCACACATGTTCGCGGTGCAGACGGAGCTGCGTAAGGTCAACAAGGGCGTGTACATGCTGTCCGACACGGTCATCCGCGCGGTGCCCAGCATTCGCCGCAATCTGCGAGGCCGACACGTCGTCACGAGCCCGCCGACGGAAGAGCGGCCAAAGCACGAAGCGGGCGTCCGTGTGTCGAAGGCGAGCACCAACTGCGACGAGCTCATCCAGAACTGCTTCGGCATGGCCGCCGAGCAGGGCTTCCGTGCGCTGCCGTTCATCGAGTCGGCGCGCCTGCAAGGGCAGATGACGCTCGCACTCGCGCGCCTGTCGATCGACTGGGTGGCCTTCATCTGCGACGACTGCGTGCCCGGTGACCGGCGCACGTTCAAGTGGGCCGTCGCGGCGCTCGAGAACGCGATGCAGGTCACGCGCAGCGAGAACATCTTCCAGCTCAGCGAGGACGACTTTGGCCTGATGCGCACAAAGGTCGCGAGCTGCATGGCGCTGCTCATCTCGCAGTTCGACATCCTCGGCGCGCGCAGCAGTGTCGCGAAGGCGCAAGAGGAGCAGGAGCGCCTCGACCGCGAGAAGGCGGAGCGCGACCGTGCACGCAACCTCGAGACGGCCATCAGCAACGCCCAGCAGCAGTCGCCGGGCCTCGTCGCCGGCGCGCAAGCCGCCGCGAACCTCGAGACGGACCGCAAGGCGCTCGCAGCCAAGATGGTGCACGACATGGGCGGCGCCGGTGCGCCGCCGATGCTCAACCGCCAGGACAGCGGCATGCAGGCGACCGAGGAGCGCTGGGTGCAGAAGGTGATGGAGTGGGACGCCGCGCGGCAGTCGATCGAGGCCGAGCAGCGCCTCATCGGACGCGTGCTCGACGACGCCAAGCCCGAGGACCGCGGCCTGCAGTTCCTCGCCTCGAGCAGCAGCCGCATCCAGATCCGCTGGCAGCAGGGCCGCTTCATCGGCGGCGGCACGTTCGGCACCGTGTACCTGGCCGTGAACCTCGACTCGGGCGGGCTGATGGCCGTCAAGGAGATCCGCTTCCAGGACATCTCGTCGACGCCGAGTCTGTACAAGCAGATCAAGGACGAGATGACGGTCATGGAGATGCTCTCGCACCCCAACATCGTCGAGTACTACGGCATCGAGGTCCACCGCGACAAGGTGTATATCTTCGAGGAGTACTGCCAGGGCGGAAGCCTGGCGCAGCTGCTCGAGCACGGGCGCATCGAGGACGAGGCGGTGACGCAGGTGTACACGCTGCAGATGCTCGACGGCCTCGTGTACCTGCACAGCAAGGGCGTCGTGCACCGCGACATCAAGCCGGACAGTGCGTGGTAGTGGGCGTGTGTCCCTGTGCGTGTGCTGACACGTCCCTCTCAGACATCCTGCTGGACCACCTCGGCGTCGTCAAGTTCGTCGACTTTGGCGCGGCCAAGATCCTGGCGAAGAACTCGCGCACCGTCCAGCGCAGCCGCCGGCCGGGCGTCGTCGGCCCCGGCGGCGTGGGCGCCGACGGCAAGCCGGGCGTGCCGGGCGTGCCGGGCGCCATGGGCAGCTTGCAGGGCACGCCCATGTACATGTCGCCCGAGGTCATCAAGGGCGACAACCGCGGCCGGCGCGGCGCGATGGACGTGTGGAGTCTCGGCTGCGTCGTGCTCGAGTTCGCCACGGGCCGCCGGCCGTGGAGCCAGCTGGACAACGAGTGGGCCATCATGTTCCACATCGGCATGGCACAGCAGCACCCGCCGCTGCCCGAGCCGGGACAGCTGAGCGAGCTCGGCATCGACTTTATCCGGCAGTGCCTCATCATCGACCCCTACGACCGGCCCTCGGCGGCAGAGATGCGTGACCATCCCTGGATCCAGAACCTGGTCGACGAGCTCAACGCCGCCAACGAGGAGGAGGGTGAGTGGCTGAGGAGGCCTGACTACTGCGCATCGCTGACTCGTTCCCCCAGCCGCTGCAGACGCCGCAGTTGCGCCGCATGACTACAGCTCGCACGGCAGCGACAGCGCCGCCGGTGTCGCAGCACTCGCGGCCACGCCCGGCACGCGCTCGATCAACGGCTTCAACTTCAACCGCGCCGCGCTCGGCAGCCTGCAGCGCAGCGAGACGGGCTACTCGTCGTCGACGTGGTCGCGGCAGTCGGCCGGCGGCATGCCCGGCAGCGAGGCGACGAGTGTGTCTGGTGGTGCGGGAATGCCGAGCAGCGGCGCGTTGAGCCAGTACGCCTCCTACGCCGGCTCCGAGGCGACGGACATCGACCGCGGCACGTTTGACGAGGACCCGCACATCCACGTGCCGTACCGCGACGAGCACGAGGGCTCGTCTGCGTTTGCGGACCGCGCCTACGACCGCGAGCGGGCCGAGCGGCATGCCCTCGGCGCCCCCGACGGCGAGCTGGAGGAGCTCGATGCCGTCTCGCCCGACACCGAACGCCTGTACTAGAAAGGCGCATGACGCCGCCCGTGGGCGCCGTGCCCCGTGTATACTAGCCTCATCTGAATGCACAAGTCGTGCAGGAGTCGTCGGTGTGCCGGCTCGTGCTGGCGCTTCCGACGCGGCCGCTGCTGGCAGTGACGAAGCAGCAGCAGCATTTATCCGAGCCCAGGGGCAGCCACTGCGACGGCCTCAGCGAGCTTGCACCGAATCTTGCTGCACAGAGACGATGCCGGGCGAGAACGTGCAGAGATGTGTCGCACGCTTGCTGCCGAGAGACGCAGCCGACGGAGGAGAAAGGAGCAGGAGACGCGCCTGCGTCTGCACCCCTCCCTACCCGGGGGCCTTGTCTCACATCGCGCGCTCGGCTCCGAGGCGCTCCACAGCGCCGGGCCCACGTCCGATGCGCCCGCGAAGACTCCGTGCCCCACTCTCTTACTCTACTGCAGGCGGAACTGCGGCTGGGGTGCCTCGTCCTTGCTGCGCAGCATTCGCCTCTTCCCTGCGTCGCAAATGCCCGTCCCAGGCGCATCTGATAGCATCTCGGCGCATGAGGGCGACCTGTCAGGATGCCGCAGCGGCAGCGCGTCGCCTTCTGCCGAGAGGCGCGGGCTCCTGAGCGTCACGCTGCGACTTCGCGGCGTGCTGTTGCAGGTGCAGCAGAGTCTGGCCGGCGCCGTCGATGGACGTAGAATCACGAACAGCGGGCTCGCACGCACGTTGTCGGGAGATCACCGACGTCCGTCGTTCAGCCCAGCGCTTCCACACGCCAAGGCGCACGGACGCAGCGCGACTTTCGAATTCGCACCGCCGCACCTCGTCATGAGCGATGCTCGCCAGCGCCGACGGACCATTGCCGGGCCTCCGTCGGCGCCAGTTCTTCCGATGCGCTCGCTCTTGCTGCCATCTGGGGCCAGCTTGCAAAGAGTGACGCTGGACGTCGCACGAGGAGATGCGGAGCCGCGAGCCGTCCTAGCGCGGCGAGGCGCGGTGAAAAGGCCGAGTGCCCTGCCCTGGCATCTCGCGGCCATCTGTGCAGCCTTGGAGCTTTCTTCCGCACATCTATTCCCCTCAAAATCCTGCTGCGAGCACAGTGTCGCTACTCTCGGTATGCTTTGGGGCGATGGTCTCAGCCTCAGGGTGGAAGGCTCGGTCTCGGATCCGTGTCGCTGCAGCTGCCTGTTGCACCTCTTCAGCCGCCTCGCTGTACTCACCTAAACTCGCTCGACTCGATTGCGCACCCTTTATGCCGACGCTGCACGTCAGCAAGCTCGCTGCAGAGGCGTGCGAACCTTGTGCGGCCCTACGCCACGGCGACGGCAATCCTGCACCTGGATGCGGCGGTCACGGCGCTGCGCAGCATCGAGATGCCCGCCAGAGCTCATGCGAGCGCCTCGCGGCCATCTCGTGCCGCGACTGCGCTGTGCCAAGGGCCATCTGGGCTGCCCAAGGGCCGAGTCGAGGCCGCGGCTGACTCGGGCTGCGGCGGACGGCCAAGCGAAGCTCAGGGACCCGCCACGGCGACGGCGCAACGGCACCGCCTCGCGCCCCCGTTGCCGCGGCAGGGGCTCGAATGGCCGGGCGGCGCCGCAGGCGTGGGAGTCCCCGCGAGACGGCGCAGCGGCGGCGGCGCGGCGCGCGGCATGCGGCTGCGGCCGGCGGGCTTGGCCTCGCCTCTGCGATGCTGCGGCGCCGATGCTGCGTGCTGAGGCAAGCAAGAGCCGCACAGCGATGCCTCGAGCTGCGGTGCGTAAGGTGATGCAGCGGCGTCTGTGCTCGCTCGATGCAGCGTGCGAAACGGGCGCAGGCGACGCCCGCCCGCACCCGGCTGGCGCTCATGCGGTGCTGGGCGGGCGGTGTGCCTGCCTCTGCGGCTACTGGTGCTGGCTGCGCGCGGACCTCCCCGCCCGCCTGCACCCTGTCGCACGGGCGGTGCTCGGTGCGTGCCGCCGTGCGGCTGATGCTGCGCTGGCGCGTCCGCGTGCGGCGTGCGCGTGCGGAGATGCAGCCTCAGGCACGCCGCCCGCGCTCCGCCGGGCGCCGCTGATGCCGCGCTGCGCGCTGGGGTTGCTGCTGGCGTGCGCGCGTCACGCGGCTGGCGCTGCGGTGGATGCTGAAGCGGCGGCGGAGAGGGGCAAGCAGCAGCGCGCAGCCTCGGGCTCTGCACGCGCGCGAGGGGCGCTCGACAGCGCCCGGCGCGGCACAGGCGGCTGGGTGCCGCAGCATGCAGCGAGCGCAGGCAGGGCAAGGCGGAGGTGGGCGGTGCAGCGGCAGCGGCGATTGAGAGGGTGCCAGGTGCAGCGGGCGCAGAGGGCATCGGCCATGCGGTGTTGCGCTGCGTGCGGCGCGCTGTGAGCTCGTCGCGCGCCGCTCCGCCGCCGCGGCGCCGTCTCCACAGCCGCGGCCCGCGCGCTCGCTGCTTGCCTTCCCACCTCTCCCGCCCGCTCGCCGCTGCTCCGCTCCGCACTGCCCGCTCTCCGTCCGCACCGCATCCTCCTCTCCTCTTCCTCTCCTCCTTCGTGCACGCCTGCTCGTCCGTCTCCCACCACCACCACCGCCGCCGCCACTTCTGCGCCCGTCTGCGCGCCTCTGCACAGGCCTCGTGCACCCAGCGCCTTCCTTCGCTCGCTCCGCTCTGCGCTCGCCGGCCTCGCCGCACACGCTGCTAGGCACTGCTCTAGCCTCTCTGCGCTTTCCCACACGCTCCTCGCTCTGCTGTGCCGCTGCGCCTCGCTCGTCATGAGTGGCAAGATGATGATCTACAAGCTCGTGGTGCTCGGCGACGGTGGTGTGGGCAAGACGGCGCTGACGATCCAGGTGAGTGGCGTGGCGGGACAGGCATGTGATGCAGACTGCTGGCCTGGGCTGCGCGCCCTCGGTCGCTCGCTCGCAACGTGGCTAGCACTGCGCAAAGAGGTGCCAGCTGTGCTGCGCAGGGAGCCTGGGCCGCAGGCTGTGCGGCAGCTGCTCCCGCAGCCACACCTTCTCGAGCCACGTACTGACGCATTGTCTGCAGCTGTGTCTCAATCACTTCGTCGAGGTGAGCAGCAGCGAAGTGGCACTGAGAGGATGCACGTAGCTGAGCCTGTAATTCGCAGACGTACGACCCGACGATTGAGGACTCGTACCGCAAGCAGACGGTCATCGACGACCAGCCGTGCATGCTCGAGGTGCTCGACACCGCCGGCCAGGGTGCGTAGCCTCGCGGTGCCGCAGTACGCTCAGCGCTGCCGTCATGCGCCACTTCACTCACGCAATCCGGCACGCAGAGGAGTACACTGCGCTGCGGGATCAGTGGATCCGGGAGGGCGAGGGCTTCCTGCTGGTGTACTCGATTGCCGCACGCGCGACGTTCGAGCGCGTCGAGCGCTTCCGCGCACAGATCTCGTACGTGGCGGTGAGCATACGCCAGACTGCCTCGTGCTCACATGACGCGCGCGCACAGACGGGTCAAGGACCAGGAGCCCAACACGGTGCCGATCATGCTCGTGGGCAACAAGTGCGACAAGGTGGCGGAGCGCGAGGTGTCGCGCGACGAGGGGCAGGCGCTGGCGAACCGGTTGGGCTGCAAGTTTGTCGAGTCGAGCGCAAAGACGTCGGTGAACGTGGAGCGGGCGTACTACACTGTCGTGCGCCAGTGAGTGCTGCGTTGCCGGCTACTGATGTGCGCGTCAGGGCTGACACGAATGTGCACAGCATCCGGGAACAGCGCGACGGCATCGCGGCCGGCACGCCAAAAAAGCCGAAGAAGCGGTGCATGATCCTATGAGGCGCGTGCGCGCCGGCAGCCGCTGGCGTCGAGCCTCGGTGCAGGGCAGCAGCGTAGCGGCGGCGCAGCTGAGTAGCAGAAAATGGCGCGGGCTGCGCCGAAGGATCGGACACGCACAAGCTGGAGGCGTCGGCTGCGCAGAGAGCGGCGTAGCGCATGAGGTGGAGCGCTGCCCTGCTCGCGCGAGACGTTCGTGCATGTCGCACCTCGGGAAGGGCTCGACGAAGGCAGCGTCGAGATGCATGCGTTCTCTCGCCTCGAGCTCTCGTCAAGGACTCCTGCTCGGGGACTCGCGCCTTTGCGTGCGCCGTGCGCCTGTCTCTCTCGCCATTGCGCTCATCGACCGAAAGCATCCGCGCTACATCCTCTTTCGCTGCGCACCTCTGCGCCTGGCTCGCCGGCATTTCGCGTGGCGGCTGCCCGCCTCGCAGGAGCCGCCGACTTGCACTTCTCGCTCTCCTCCCATTCACTGCCTCGTTGCCTCGCTTCGCCAACCTCCCCTCTCTCGTTGCCCTTCGCCTCTCCCGCCAGCTGCCCATCTCCCTCGCCCCCACCCATCTGTGTCTATCCACCCAAAGCCTCGAAGCCGCGTGCGCCGGCGTGCGCGCGCGGCCAAAATACCCGCCGTCTCACGCATGCGCCAGGTGGTGTGACGAGGTCTGTGACGGTGACGATGCATTAAGAGGGAAGGAAACTAGCACGGGACGCCAGCGTCCTGCAGCCGCCAGACAGCTTCTGCTTCGGACGAGAACTGCACGGCGAGCAGGCCGGTCAGGGCTGTCACACGCTGCGCACATGGGCGCTCTGACTCACCGGAGGCGGCTCGAGACCATTGATGCGCCACAGGTCGCGCGAAGGCTCCTCGATATGGAGCTGTGCGCTGCGTCAGCCACGGCATACCCTCACCTCGGAAGCGGAGCTACTCACCTCCCACTCGTAGCCGCGGTCCTTGATCCAGGGGTCGAACTGGCAGCCGGGCGTCAGCAACAGTGCGCGTCAGATGACGTCCCGCCTCCACTGACCTTGGCGCAGAGCGAGTCCGTGCCGCGAGGCCTCCGGTCGCCGACCATCTGAAGCGCCGCGAGACAGTGATCAGAAGGGCACGACAGCAGCGTTGCAGCGACGCAACACCCACCGTCAGCGCCAGATGCTGCGAGACGACGCGCACAAACGGCTTGCCCGTCTTGCGCTCCCGCTCCGCCTGGCTCACGCCGCCGATGTAGAAGTCGGCCGCCGGGTCGACATCGTGGAAGATGACGACGACGTAGAAGGCCGGCAGCCCAAAGCTCGTGCTGAGGGGAGCGAGGTGTGAACTGAGGCGTCGGCCGGTCGGCTTCCCGCGACTCACTAGTAGCTCGTGAGCGAGGCGGCAATGTCGGCCCTGCTCGTGGTTAGTGCCTGTCGACCGTCGTACAAGCCGCCGCACTCACTTGTCCTTGGCGCTGTACAGGCCAGGCGCGGCATAGATACTGTGATGGAGTCAGTCCAGTGGCCCACGACGGGCTCTCAGCTCGACACGCACCGGTGGAACGGCATAGCGTAGCGAGGAAGAGTTGAGTTCCTGGGAAGGGCGCAGGGCGGAGCAGTGTGTGTATATAGACCAAGCACTGACGCTGCTCGCCGCCGCTCGCGGCTGCCTGCACTCAGGAGCCTAATCTTGCGCCCTCTCCGGCGGTACCGGACGCTCTGACTGGCTCACGGCTCCGACACACGCGCCTGCAGCGCGGGTGTGCCCTGCATCCGGCCAGCGCAGCGGCTCGCACACAGTCCGAGGCGCAGGCATTCATCCGGACCTCGTCGCTGGTGCTGGTTGGCTGCTTGCCACACGCCGGCGGCGAAGGAGCGGACTGCAAGGCGTGCCGAGCGGCATATCCGACGGCCGCAGCGCGTACCCCGGACTCCGGCGCTCGCTCGGACTCCGGACGCTGGGCACGCGTGTTGGCGCGAGCGGGCTCCGGCGCGTCCGGTGCGGATCCGGCGCCTGCCGCTCTGCACCCTGGCCGCCGTCTCTGTCTCTGCACCGCTTTGCCGCAGGCTCCGCTTCCCGCTCCCGTCAGCCACGTCGCCACTCCCGCGCAGGCTGCCAAGTCGTGATGCTGCGTGACGTAGGGTACAGGTGACTGATGTGTGTGGAAGACCGTTGAGCCGCGCGCGGATGGGTTCACTCTCGAGCGCCACTCGTGCCCCTGGCGCCGGCGGACGCCTCTCTACGCCTCGGCTTGCGGCGAGCCCAGCGCCTCCTTGCCGTCCGACAGCAGGAAGCGCACCGGCTCCTCCTGCTGGGCGTGGCGCTTGAAGAACTTCAGGCGCTCCGCGTCGAGCTCGCGCTTCTCCTCGAGATGCGCTGCCAGCGCCGCATCGTCCTCCTCGTCCATGCCGATGCCCATCATGGCGCTGCCGCGCGGCGAGCCCCACTGCTCCAGCAGCTCGACGGTGGCCGAGTCGGTCGCCTCGCCGGGCGGCGTCGGCGCCGGCAGGCCAAAGACGCGGCAGAAGGAGGCAAGGTTGGCGGACCACGTTGCGTGGTGCTTGAGCGTCGAGTCGAGCGGCGGCGTGCTGAGCAGCGTAGGCTTGCGATCGTCGTCATCATCGTCTTGGCTCAGCTCCGTGTCGCCGTCGTCAAGGTGCTTGACGACGAAGCGGCTGAAGCTGCTCTTCTTGCGCGGATGGATGGTGAAGCGATGGTACTGCCAAATGGTCTGTGCCTCCTCGTCGAGGATCGAGCCGTACCTGCGCTCCTTGATGGAGCATGCGCCGAATGCAACGGCCGAGACGGTGAGACGCAGAACGATGCTGGCGGCGATACGCTGCAGAGGGCGTCAGCTGCGAGCCAAAGCCGCCAAGCAAGCCACGACGCACCGCAGCATTCGCCTGGTCCTTGCAGTCCTTGCCCTTGACGATCGGCAGCGACTCCAGAGACCAGTCACCGGTCCGAAGCAACACCTCGAGCTCCTTCTGCGCCGGCTCGCGCAGCTGCACCTTGAGGTCAAGAGGCACGAGAAAGACGCAAAGCGCGTGGCCGAGCGCTCGAGCGATCGTCTGCGCCATCTCGCTCAGGTGTGCCTCAAGCTTGACGTCGTCGTCGCGGATCTCGTTGAAGGCGCGCAAGCAGTTGCGTGCCAGCGTCGAAGGGCTGCTCGACAGTCAGCGTAGAACAGAGGAGCAGAAGTAAGCGCCACTCACCACGACGGTGCCGGGCGCACGAGCTCGCACACCAAGGCAGCCACGGCCATCACATCGTCAAAGTCAAGCGACTCGTCACGATCATCGCCGTCGTCCTCCAGCTCCTCTCCCTCCTCTGCGTCTTCCATCTGCTCGTCGTCCGGATAGTTGAGGTCGTCGTCCGACGCCTGCGCACCGGCCCGCTTGCGCTTCTTGACGTTGGGCTCGTCGCGGCTGTCGTCGCCAACGGTCGGCTCGCGCTGGCGCGAAGAGCCCGACGACTTGCCCTTCGCAGGGGATGCCTTGCTCGTCGAGGCCTTGCTCGAAGAGGCTTTGCTCGAAGAGGCCTTGCTCGAAGAGGCTTTGCTCGTTGAGGCCTTCGTGCCCAGCGTCGCAGCGAGGAGACGTCAGAATGTGGAGTAGGCCAGCAAGAGTAGCTGCGAGCGACGTACCGCCTTGCTCTTTGCAGCCGGCGCTTTCGCAACGCTCTGGCGCTGCTTCTTCTTCGGCGAGGCACCGCCGGTGCTCTCCTGCGACGCATCCTGCTCTTCCGGCTCGTCGTGGACGGCGTAAGTAGCCTTGATGCCGCTGCTCTTCCTCTGGCTTTGCGGTTCAGCGCTGGTCGCGGCTATCAGGACGGTCGGCTCACCTTGCTGTGCTGACTGAGCGGCGGCTCTTCCTCTGCCTCTTCCGACTCCTCTTCGTCGGACATCTCCTTGCTGGCCTTGCCCTTGCGTGCTGCGCCGCCACTCTTGTTCGCGCCGCGCTTCTTTGCCGGCGGCTCTTCCTCTTCCTCATCGGACTGCTCTTCATCGGCCTGCTTGCTGGACTTGCCCTTTCCCTTGCCTGCCGCGACGCCGCCACCCTTCTTCGCGCCGCGCTTCTTCGCGCTGGCCTTCTCCGCCTCCTCCTTTGCGGCCGATGACGAGGGCGAAGCTGTGGCGCGCTTCTGCGTCTTGGCGGGCGACGAGCCTTCTCCCGCCGGCTCGGGGTGGTAGTACTCGCGCTCGTACCTGAGTTCAGGTGCCGTACCTTTGCCTCGAGTCTTGGGCGCCTTGCCGGCCGGAAGAGACGCGGCCTTGACGGGCTTCTTGCCCTGACGGGTCGCGCCCGCTGGCGGCGCGTCCATCTGTGAGAGGTGGAGCACGGCCGGCGCGCCAGCGGACGAGGGTGCGGCCTCGTCGCTCGCCTCGGCTGGCGCGGCGTCGTCGGCTTCGTCGCCTGATGCAGCGTCGCCGTCTTCTTCAGCTGGCGCAGCATCTTCGGCTTGCTCAGCTTGCGCAGTGTCGTGCTCTGCGAGGTACGACTCTCCGAGCTCGTCGCGCTCGTCGGCGGCCGTCAGCCGCTTGCTGGACGACGCGCCGGCCTTGGCATCTGCCGCGCCGGGCTTGACGGGCGACGAGGCGGTGGCAGAGCGGTAGCTGGCGCCCGTCTCGTGCCACTCGCCGCCGCCGGGCACGGCCAGGTGCTGCTGCTGCTGTGCGGGCAGCAGGTCGTCGACGGCGCCGGCCGAGGCGTCGGGCACGTCCTGCGTCTGCGAGTCGTCGGCGTCGGCGGCTGCGTCGGCCGGCGCCGGAGCTGGCGCCGGCTCGTCGAGCTGGGACACGGGCGCGGAGGAGGGCATGGTTGGCGTGCGCTTTGCGGGCGCAGTGCGAGGGCGAGGGCGGCAGTGCGAGCAGGCGCGGCGGTGGGAGTGGGGATGAGGGAGCGGCAGCGCACGGCCGGGCGCAGTTTTGCCGCGCTGCACTTCACTCTGCGGCGTAGTCCTCTAATCGGCGGCTTGTATGCGGCCTGTAGTGCTGCCCATGAGGCTCAATCTGGCCTCAGGGGCAGCGGTTGGTCTGACGAGTTCGGGTTGCCCCATCGGTCTCGTCCCTCCTCTCGTTGCTTTGCAACGCGCGCTTTGCGCGTCACGCACGCACAGCTCGAGCTGCATGCGCGTCAGGATGTGGAGGCGCGCCGGCTGCAACACCTGCTGAGCCAGGTGCAGCGCCGCGCCCAGCGACCACATCCTCGTCCTCCTCGCTGCAGCGTCACTCCCTCACACCTCGCATCCTCGCCGCACATGTCCACCTCGGCCGCACCCAGCGCCGCGGGGCCGTACACGACGCGCCAGTCGTTCTACCTGCGCGTCTCGGCGCACCTCGTGCTGCACACGCTCCTCTACCTCGACGCACGCGACCTGCGCTGGTTCAACGCGCTGCCGGCGTCGCTCGACGTGGCGCTCAGCGGCGACACCGACGTGCCGTTCGGCGACGTCGTGCTGGGCAAGGCGCTGGCGCATCTGCGCCGCAGCCTGCTGCCCAAGCTGCAGCGCGAGCGCGGCCCGCCGAGCCGCGCCAGTGCCGACGGCCTCGCAAACACCAGCGGCAAGGAGACCGTCGACGTGCACGAGGAGAACGGCTGGCGCTGCGCATACTACCTGCGCGTGCGCGAGCGTGGCCGGCATGCCGTACTGCTCAAGGTGTGTGGAGCAGAACGAGTCTTCTACGGCCGCTACAGCCGGGTCGCAGTGCAGCTTCTAGGGCATGGCTGCGGTGGACCTGCTACGGCAGGAGCTTGGCGATGCGGGAAGGCAGTGCGAGCAGCATCGCCATGATGGCCTCAGCCGCCGATGCTGACACCTCGCCTCGCAGAACAAGCAGCTGCGCTTCCCGCACGAGGTCCGCGCCGGCCGCGTGCGCAAGCAGCGTGCCTCGGCCGCTGTGGCGCCGCCGCCAGCGGCAGCAGCACCCGTGGCAGGGAGCAGCCGCGAGGGCGAAATCCAGATCAAGCCCGACCCGGACGCAGAGGACGGCATCGACGAGTGGGGCTTCGGCACGGGCCTGAACATGGGCGCAGCCACGGCAGGAGGTGCGGTGGAGGAGCCGCAGGAGGATGAAGAGATGGTCTTTGAGGACGATGAGGAAGACGATGACAAGAAGCCCGTGCTGACGGTCTCGTACCGCGGCTTTCGCATGTGAGTGCGCCTCTTTCCGCACCGCCAGGTCTGCGCTCACGCCATCATGCAGCTTCGACAAGCTGCTCTACCTCGTGCTCGAGCCCCTGCCGTCCTACCGCAAGGCGCACCCCGAGCTCTTCCGCGCCGTCTCCGACGCGCCAGCTCGGCAGCTCTCCACAGTGCCGCTGCGCGCCTCGTCTGCACGCACACCCACGCCTGTGCCCTCCTCGCGCGGTGGCGGCCTCTTCCGCGGCGAGTCCGTCACGACGCCCAGTCCGAGCCCGGCGCCCGAGCAGCGGCGAAGAGAGGCCAGCGTGGCATTTGGCAGAGGCGACGAGGAGGCGGATATGGTGGAGCAGGACGAAGAGTCGGGCGCTGTGGGCCTGGCGAACCGGCTGATCGGTCGTAATGACCAGGCAGGGCGGGAGGTGGGCGACGGCGAGGAATGACATTGCAAGCACAGCGCACAGAGGCCTGACTACCGCGAGGCGCTTGTACACACGCCGCTGCGCCTCTCACTCCTCTTCCTCCTCGTCCACAGCCTCGCCGGGTATCGCGCCCGCCTCGTTCTGGCTCAGGTACAGGTTGGCCATCATGCGTGGCGTCGTGGCCTCCTCAGGGCCCTTGTCGGCGCTGTCGCGCACCTTGAGGAAGCGCGGGAAGCGCAGCGACAGCCCGCGCGCGGGCGAGATGAGGCCCTTGGCGCAGTTGTACACCGGACTCAGCGTGATGTCGGCGCCGCGGATCTCCCAGACTTCGCGCGGCTCGAACCACACTGCGCGAGGGGCATGGGTCAGCGAATGAGAGGTAGGCGCCGAAGGAGCACGCACCGTCCGGCCGCAGCCCGCCCGTGTCGTAGTCGTGCCGGCAGTCCTCGGCGCGCGCATCGTAGCACGCGTCGCCGTTGAGCTTGAAGCGATCGAACTTGATGCTCTTGTACTCGACGTCGGTGAAGCCCGAGATGCACTTGCACAGCGCCACGTACTGCCCCGTGTCGGGGTCGTACGTCGCCAAGAGCACTACAGCAAACGCATCAGCTGCGGTGCAGCACAGCTCGCGGCGCAGTCACTCACCGGGCGACCACCACTCGTTCTTGCGGCCCATGCCGTGCCACGCGCCAATCGGCACGAGGTCCAGCGTGTCGCCAATGCCGTCGACGTAGTCCTTCTTGACCTTCAGCCAGCTCTCGCAGCGCTTGTCGGGCTCGTAGCTCGAGAGCAGCGCCTTGCCGCGCCCATTCACACCCTTGCCCACCGCCGTGCTCAGCTCCACGTCCGGCTCGGCCGTGTCGAGATCGGCCTGCGTCACGTCGTCGCCGACTTCGTCTGCGAGCTGCTCCAGCTTTGGCGCTGCTGCCTCGTCGTCGCCCTCGCTGTTGGCTTCCGCAGCCGGCGCCCAGTGATGATCGAGGCTCTTGACCATGATGCTGCCCTCCTGCGTCAGCGAATGGGTAGGTCTGCGTTCGCCGCAGTGACTCACCCCTCGCATTTCGAGCTGCGTGCCTCGTCGAAGAATTTCTGCGCGTTGCGAATCAGCAATGCCTAAAGGCTGCCCTCCCTCTGCGCACTCACCTTCACCTCGTCCGGCTCGGTAGCTTCGCACGAGCGCACGTGGGTGAAGCGAGCCAGACGGGCATCGCCAGGCGTGAGTGTCGGCAGGCGCGTGTGCAGCAGCTTGCGGCGGACGCGAAAGGACTTCTTGAGCAGCTGCTGTCCATCCAGCAGCATCAGGTCGAACGCGAAGATGCTGCGGACAAACGTGAGCGAGGCAGATCCGCTTGTGACGGGCGGAGTGAGCACTCACCCGACGCGCACCTTGACGCTCGCCAGCGCCACGTCCTTGCGTCCGCGAGAGGCGAGCGTCTGGAACGGCAGCAGCTCGCCGTTGGGCCCCAGCGCGACGACTTCGGCATCGACGACGAAGGACTGCACAGCCCGCCGAGGCGCATCCTTCGGCACCTCGCTGCTTCCGGCGTCGCTGTCGACGCCCATGAGGATCGGCATGGCGTCCAGAATGTCCGGGTACTGCGACGTACGATGTGAGCCCTTGGCCACCTGCAGGACTGCGCCTGGTTGCCTGCGGCTCACCTTGTCGGTAATGTCCTCAAGGTGCCGGCTGAACAACCGCACAAAGACGTCGGCATTCTGGCCTACCCAGCGGCCCTTGCCGCCCTTCAACTCCGCGCGTCGCCGGTCTGCGTCTTCGGCGTCTCGCGGCACATGGCAAGCGTGGATCTAGAAGAGTTCGTCAGGATGCCGCTCAAAGGCGTTGCAAGCACATGACTGACCTGCACGCGCTGTCCATCGTACTTGAACTCGCTCACAAACTTGCGCGGTCCGAGGCGCGAGTGCATGTCGGGCAGGGAACGCGTGATGCTGCCGAGCATCGGCGCCAATGGCGTGCCTTGGTCGAAAGTCAGCCCGATGCGATGCAGTGCTTGCGCATGGTCATGCTCACCGATACGCAACGGCACTCGCTCCGAGAGCTCGTCGATGCCGCCCGCCGACAGTGCAGCTGCAATGCGTGTGAAGTCGGGACAGCGAGCTCGCACCTCGCTGAGAATCTCCGGCGTCAGCCAGTGCCTACAGTGAAGCGCCGCCAAGCACGACTTACCGGACTGTCCGCTCGGCGCGCGCAATCCTGGCCGAGAGCTCCTTCCACCGCACATTCTCGCGCTCCTTGGGCTTGGCCGGCTGCAGTCGCAGTCCGCTGCTCTCGTCACGCGTGATGCTCAAGCTCCCCTCGCGTCCCGACTGAGGTCCGTCGAGCACGAAGGCACGCGCGAGCGCTGCGGCAATCGTGGTGCGCACCGCTCGGATGCGCAAATTGCCATCGAGCGTGCGGACCAGGAAGCGCGTCTCTTCGTCTCGTGCCGCCACGAGCAGCCGTGTCACCACGGCTCGCTTCTGCGCTGCTGAGCCGGTGCCTGACATGCGCGCCATGGCGTGCAGTTGTTCAAACTACGGCTGCGTCAGTGCCGCTGTTTGGTGGTGATCCGGTGCACTCACGAGCTTGACGATGGTCAGCGGCGCAGGCTGCATGAGCGACTTGACGCCGCGGCGCGCCTCGTACGCCACGTCTCCGGGATCGCCGTGTGCGTTCCAGAGGCTCTTGAGGCGCTGTGCGCTGACGCCCGTCACCTCCTTGACGGCGGCCGTGATGACCGAGCCGCCGATGCCCATCTCAATCCCCTCGTACGGCTGCGACGCGCGTCAGCCAACTAGATGCCACGTGCGGTGGACGTGAGGCTCACAGGCGCAATGTGGTTGCTCAGCAGGTACGCTGCGGGCGCGACAGCCGCCGCGTCGTGGTGGATCAAGATGCGCAGCGTGTTGACGCAGACGTTCGAGATGAGGATGCGCGAGCGCGTGCCCGAGAGACTGGCGCATGCGATCGAGAGCAGCCGATACGGCGCTGCCGTGGCGCCAGCGGAGGTGCGCGGCCACGCAGACGTGTCGAGCGCCGTCGGGTCGAACTCGAACGGATCTTGCGTCAGGTCCAGCGCGTCGAGCGCTCCGTAGAAGCTGCTCTCTGGCGCTGCGTTCCAGCTGCCCGCGCCTTCCTCCACTGCGCTTCGTGCGTCCTGTGCCTCCGCCTTGATGCTTGGCTCGGTCTTCTCGGCGCGCGGCTTCTTCGGCGACTGGAAGAGCGGAGCGATCCTAACGCCGCTGCCGCTGGCCGCGGTCGGCTCACTCTTCACAGCATCAACGGCGCCAGTGCCAGCGCCTGTGCTGCTCTGCTCGCCCTTGACGGCGAGTGCAGCACTGTCGGCGGCGTCCCACTCCTGCTGCAGACGGCGCGCCATCTGCTCGTCGCTCTCTGGGGTCGCCGGGCGCGCCGCTGCGTCATGCTCCGGCACTGCTTCCGGCCGCTGCTCGCGCGCCTTGCCCTTTGCCTGCGCCTGCGCGCTGCCGGAGAGAAAGGCGGCGAGCAGCGGCTGGTCGCGGCTGCTGGTGCGCTTGCGCGGCGACGCCGGCGCCGGCGGAGCGGCCCGCTTGGGCGCCATGCTGCGGCTGCTGCTCGCGGCGCGGCTGCGCGGGAGCCGGGGCGCGAGCGGGACGGCGGCGCGGCGGAGCAGCGACACGGTGGGAAGAGGGTGGGTCGCGAGGTAGGCCTGTGGATGAGGATGTGGTCGGGAGTGAGGCTGGCGTCCGCTGGCCGGTGCTGCTGCAGGGGCCGCCTCCACACGGCGCCTAGTCAGCGGCTCGGGAGTCGGCGATGCGCTTGTGCCTGGTGCCTTGCGCTCTCGCCTCTCTCGCCTCGCCTCGCCCGCTCTCTTCATCACCACGCACACCATGGGCGCCGACAGCACGTCCTCGCTGCTCGGCGTGCTCGGCGCCGGCACGAGCTCCGCCGCCTACGCCTCCTGCCTCGCGCTGCTGCAGCAGGCGCCGGCGTCGCTGGAGCGCTCCGACTACCTGCGGCCTGCGCCCGCCACGTCGTACCGCAACGCACGCGCCGCTGGCGTCTCGTTCCAGTTCCAGGCAGACGGCACCGCGCCGACGGATGAGGCATGGCGATGCACCGTCATCGACGTCTACAATGCCGAGGCGCAGCAGGCGGCCGACAAGCGCAAGCGGGCGCCGCAGTGGGGCGTGTGTCCGCTGCTGCCGCTGCGCCTCGAGCTGCGCGACATCAAACGGCCATCTGGCGCAGAGACAAGCGCCACGGCAGGCTCGCTCGACGTCACGGCGACGTCAACAGGCGGCGACTTCGTAGCCGCACTCGGCGAGCCGAGCCGCAAGGGCGGCGGCGAGGCGCTGGCTGCCGGCGGCGCCAGCGGCCTGGGGCCCGGCGCGTGGCTGGAGTGGGAGGGCGAGGCGGAAGGCAGACGCGTCACGCTCATGGTCGAGCTGGTGGGCGAGGGTGCCAAGGGCGCAGGCCGCTGGGAGAAGGACAAGGCGGGAAAGGCGATGTGGGGCGTGCTCACGATTGCACTGGTGGGACAGCCGTAGGAATACATGTGCCGTTGCCGACATAGCAGGTGTGGGAAGACATGTGCAACAGGACAGCGTCGCAGACGTTCCCTAGGAGCTCCACGTCGTGCGTTTGAGCCTCAAGGAGAGGCCCCCATCGGGCTTCCAAGTGATGGCGGCGACGCTCTTGACAGTCTGGTCCGGCGACGTCTTGTGCAGCTCGAAGTTTGCGACCATCATGCAGCACAGCACCTTGAGCTCGTGCACGGCCATGTTGCGGCCCGGGCACGAGTGCGCTGTGATGAGCTTGGGGTCAGCAACTGGCTGCGCGGCGATGTGAGGAGCAACGACGCACCGCCGACGATGAAGGTGAGCAGGGACATGCTGCTGTTGTACTCCTTCGGCAAGTCGTCCCAGCGCTCCGGCCTGAACTCCTTGGCGTCGTCGCCTGCGCAGCCAGTGTCAGCACTTGTCGAGCGTCGCCGAAGTTGAGCACATACCCCAGACGTCCTTCTGAGTGTTGATGGTCAGGTTTGGGATGTAGATCTCGGTTCCGCGCGGGATGAAGCGGCCGCCGATGGTTGAGTCCACACTAGCGACGCGCGCCGTTTGCGGCGTCGGCGGACGCAGCCGCATCACCTCCATGACGAAGTTGTGCAGATACTTTGCGTCTTTGATCTGAGCGTAGGTCGGCTCGGCAGAGACACTCAGGATCTCCTGGCACTCGGCGCGCAGCTTCGCCTGCACGTCCTGGTGGTTCGCAAGCTCCCACATCGCCCACGCCATACCGCTCGCCGTCGTCTCGTGACCAGCGCCGAGGAAGGTCAGCACCTGCGCCTCGAGCAGCTTCTGGTCCATCTTGTAGGGCGAGTTCTCGTCGAGGGATGCCTTGGCCAAGAGCGAGAGAATGTCGATCTTGCCAGAGTCGAGGTCCGTCTGGCCCGCCTCGCGCAGCTTCTTGGCCTCGGCCAGCTTGGTCTCGAGCATCTCGCGGCTGATCTTGTTGACGCGGTACATGTGCGTCAAGAAGAGGCCCAATTCGGAGAAGCCCTTGCCGAGGCCGAGCTTGTGCACGAGGGCCATGGCGCCCTTGCCCGTCCATTCCTGCTTCACCGCCCACTGCACGACCTGCGGCCCAAAAGGCAGGCCAAGGATGGCTATGATACGGCCCATATTGAAACCGTTCTGCAAATTCTTTGCTCGTGGAATGCTGGTTCAGGAGCTGTTCACTAGTCAACGACTCCCTTTTCACCTGTCACTCACGACCAGCGTCTCGTAGCTCTCGCCGAGCGGCTCGTGCGGGTTGTGCAGGTGATCCGTCTCGTATCCTGCATGCGACCCGTCAGCAGCGATAGCCTCTGTGTGCAGCAGTCGTCACACACCAAATGCGGTGGAGCAGATGATGTCCAGGAGGCAGGCGTTGACGCCGTGCGTGAGCTCGATGACTGTGCCCTCCTCCGGGTCGCCCGCCTCCTTGAGTTTGTCCTTGTAGATTTCGATCAAGCCGTTGACGGGGCCGAGGTAGAGCGGGAACTGCATCTCGAGGTACTTGAAGGCGAACGCCGGGTTCATGAAGCGCCTAATGCAAGGCGTGAGCTCCGGGGAGTCGCGCCAGGGTCAGGGTGACTGCAACAGCCTCACCGCAGCGCCGAATGCTCTGCATTTTCGAGCGTCAGGAGACCGTAGCCGGCGGTTACTGGGGTTGTATCGCCTAGTCAGGACTGCGGTGGAGGACCATGCGGGAGGCCCGGGTGCTAAACTTACCTCCCAACAAGTGAGCTGCCCACTTGGGCTTGGGGAACCCTGAAGGCGGCTCAGCATGACACGCATCGCTCTGCAAACCTCACATCCGCACTCACTGTACGGCTCGTCGACGAGAATCTGCTTGAGGTCTTTATAGTTGAGAAAGCACACGCGCTCAACACCGAGCATGCCCATGAAGCGGATGCTGCGTCCGTACTGCTCCGTCCAGGCCGTCACCGCCGAGCCCGCCTCGCCCGTGACGACCTCCGGGAGGCGTCCCAGCAGCCAGTGCCCGTAGCTGGGGCCGGGCATCTTGCGCAGCGGCGAGAAGAAGCGCGCATAGAGGAACGTCGTGTAGACGAAGCGCGCGAGATACACGCCGACGATGGCGTACACGAGCGTGTGCAGCGGCGTGTGCGTCGTCAGCGCGGCCCAGGCGCGCGAGAGCGGGTTCTGGTCCAGCATGATGGAGCGTAGCTTGTGGTGGTGCTGAAGCAAGAGTGCCGAGCCCGCGGCGGATGCGGATCAGAGCGCTGGTGGGACCTTGGTGGGACCGTACGGCTCCGTGTCGCGTCCGTGCGCGCTGACGGGCGGAGTGACGTGGACGCGCGGCACTGATCAGCAGGCGCGAGGTGCGAGGCCGGCGGCGATGGTGGTGCGGAGGAATGCGCAGCAGGTGGTCGTGAAAGCAGCGCCGGACGCAGTGAGGGAGGTGGGTGAGATGGCCGCTGGTGGAGGCGGCGCGTCCTCAGGAGCTTCGCGCTGCGTGAGAGCGTCGCGGCGCCGCCGGAGCGCGGAGCTCAGCCGGACCGTGCCTCCGCCCCGCAGCCGCTGCAGTGCTGCGCTCCCGTTCCTCGCTTCCCCGCACTCGGGCCGCTGCACGGCGGCCTGGGCGCAGCGCAGCACATGGGTCCCGCTGTCGCTGCGCCCTCCGCACCAGCGCAGCGCCAGCATGTTTGCCTTCTCTTACAGATCTCCGGCGACAGAGCAGTGCCGCGGAGCAAGCTGCCCGAGCCTCCGTAAAGCGCGGGGGTGGCGTGGGAGCAGCTCGCTCGCTGTCGACGCGCGACGCGACGAGCCGAGCCGGTCACGGCGCATCTCCTCGCTACCGTGACAGCAGTGTGCGCCGATGCAGAGCCGCCGGGTTGGGCTCAAAATCTAGGGAGAGGCGGATGGGCGCTGCTTGTCAACTGTGGCCCGCTCTCGATGCTTCCGCAGATAAGAAGCAGCAGGTGTGGTGCACGCTTCGTCGTTCGCTTGCGAGCCCGCAGTTGCAAGCGTGGCCATCGTCATTCCATCCGCCGTTGCGCTACGGAACCCTGCTCTGGCACGTGGAGGGTGCGTCAGGCGCCTATGTGCACGACGGAACATGACAGCTGCAGTGCGTCAGTACAGCTGTGCGCTGGCACGTTGTGGATCTGCCATCTCTCGAGGCTGGCGCTTTTCGAAGCAAGGCGCGCGCCAGACGCAGTAGAGCCACGACAGGACGCTCAGGGGGCAGTAGAGCCACGACGGCGTCACTTCAGGTGTGAGCTTGCGGCCTCTCGCGCAGCATTTTTCAGCAGCAAGTTCCTCTCCAGAGCATGCGCAGCACACCTCCTACCTGTCAAGCGACAGCAGTGTCCCGGTCAACCACATACAGCGGGATCGATCGCATTAGCACTATCTCGTGCACCCTTTTCACGGCAGCAAGCCCTCCACATGCTCTCTACGACTGCATCTCCTCGTCCTTCTTCGCCGCCGGCACCGTGTAGCCAAGCTTGAGGCGCTCCTCGAGATTCCGAATCTCCTCGAGCGACGAGCTGCGCTCAATGGCCTCCTCCAACGCCTTGCGCTCCTCGGCCGTCATGAGGCGCCCGGCCGCGCCCTTGGTGCTGCCCACGTCAAACGTCTTGGCCGATGCGCCCTCGTCGGGCACAGCGGGCCCACCCTCGGCGGCGATGGAGGCGGCCAAGGCTGATGGCCGCCCGTCGGGAAGCTCCATCAATGACTTGGCGAGTGCTCGCTCCTGCAGCGTAGGAAGTGCGTCAGCTGCCAAAACGGGCGATGCGAGGGTTACGTAGCTAGACGCCATGGAGCCACGACCAGACGCGAGGCGCCAAGGTTACAGACGCGTGGACCATCGGCTGCCGAGCAGCGGCATTGCTAGGCAGACGCCCCCTTGCCCTGCACATGCACCTTCCTGCGCCGGTCGCATGCCGCGCTGTGAAAGGCAGCGCCAGACGCGGTCTGCCCCGGGCAGAACTCTCCACCTCTCAGCCGAAAATGTGTTCGCCCCAGGCTGATCGAGCGACCGACACATGGCCGCCAATCTGACCTGCTCGGCGCATGCCCGCACTGTCCCATCCACAAAGAAGCGCTTTCGTGTCGCCGCTACACCTCTCTTGCTCCCTGCACGCAGCCCTCGTCTTCTGCCGAAGATCTGTCTTCTCCACCGTACCGCCATCTGCTCGGTCGCGCCTAGGTTTCTGTCGATTTTGCACCTGCACCCGCCTCTCACATCTCATCTCTCCCGCCCCCACGCGGCACTCACCTTCTCCTTGACGCGCCGAAAGTCGAGCACCCGCACCTTGGGACACCTGCTGATGACCCATTCCCTGTAGTGCTCCTTCCGTGCCACGCCGTTGCCCAGCAGGCTGAGGTACTCGAGGCACGGAAAGCGCGCCAGCGGCTGCAGTGCCGCCAGGCTCTCGATGCGGTTGTTCGTCAGCACGAGCGTCGTGAGGCGCGGCGCGGCATTGGCGATGCGCGGCGCAATGCTGGCGATGGCGTTGTTGGAGAGGATGAGCGTGGTGAGGCGCGGCAGCGAGGGCAGGTTGGTGAGGCTGCGGATGTCGTTGTCGGTCAGGTCGATGCTGTCATGCTGGTCCTGCAGGGACGGGCGATCAGCTGTGGGACGGCATTCGCTGGAAGAATGGCCTACGCACTCGTGTGACACCGAGGTTGTCGATGGCTGGGATCTTGAGGCCGCGCAAGTCGAGCTGCAGGCAAGGGTGAGCAGTGCAGCAGCAAGCGAGCGGCGCGGCGCACCCACCTCGCGGTCCTTGAGCGGCGAGAGGTAGGAGTGCGCCTGCTCGATGAGCTCGGGCGTGAGCTTCATCGCCGCTGGGCCTGGACGGCGCTGCGCTGCGGAGAGAGAGAGGAGTGGAGCGGAGCGAGGGAGAGCGAGCGGGTGTGCTGTAGAGACTGTGGAGCGAGGCGAGGTGGAGCAGGTGGACGAGAAGGCCGCCCGCTCGGCGCGCGCATCAGCGTCTCAGGCGGCGCGTCGTCGCGCTGCTCCCACGCGGCACGTGATGCTCCACCTTGGCGGGCGGCCCCGGACCGGCGCGGGCGGGCGGAGCGTGGCTTGGGCGGCCAGCAGCGATGCGGCGCCCGGCGCAGACCGCAGAGGCGCACAGGCAGGGGCAGCAGGCGCAGAGAGGCGCACCGCTGTCGTCGCGCTCGGCGCACCCCGCAGCGACGGGAACGTGCTCCAGCCTGCTCTCCACCACCACCCACCGCTCATTCTCCACCATGCTGCGCACCCTCCGCTCCACCCGCGCCGTGCTGCGTGCGCCCGCTGCGCCGCAGCAGCAGCGCCGCGCGCTCTCCATCCACGAGTACCAGAGCATGGAGCTGCTCGGCAAGTACCAGATCCCCGTGCCGCGCTCCGTCGCCGCGCACTCGCCCGAGGAGGCCTTCAAGGCCGCGCAGAGCTTCGAGGGCAAGGGCATGGTCATCAAGGCACAGGTGCTTGCCGGCGGCCGCGGCAAGGGCCACTTCGAGGGCGGCCTGCAGGGCGGCGTCCACCTCATCAAGACGTGAGTCGCCAGGCAGGGCGTGGGCGGGCGCATGCATGCGCGGCACGGCGGCGCGAGCACCACTGCGGTACAGACATGGAAGAGTGGCTGCGCAGCGCGTGCGCAGCGCGAACTGCGGTGCGGGGCAGGGCAGCATGCGGCGCGCCTCGTGCTGGTAGTATGATGTTCTCGGTCGGTCGACTGCGAGGAGCATGCGGGGACGTGTCCCTGAAGGCGCCTGCAGCTGAATGGCTTTGCTGCTCGTGCGAGGGCCGCTGGATGTGCCATGCATGCTCTGCTCCTTGCCGCGCAACACGCAAGGGATGCCGTCGCGCGTCTCGAGATGTGCCGAGCTACCGCTGCAGCTCCTGCCTGCTGAAGCCTCCCACTGACGCCGCTGCCCCAGCGCTGAGGAGGCGCGCGACTACGCGTCCAAGATGATCGGCCACAAGCTCATCACCAAGCAGACGGGCGCTGGCGGCCGCATCTGCAACGCCATCATGCTGGCCGAGATGCGCGCGCCGGCACACGAGTACTACGTGGCCGTGCTCAACGACCGCGCCACGCAGCTGCCCGTGCTCGTCGCCTCGAACCAGGGCGGCATGAACATCGAGGACGTGGCGCGCGACACGCCCGACGCCATCATCACCACGCCCATCGACTTTGAGAAGGGCCTGACGAACGAGAAGGCCCTCGAGGTCGCGGCCAAGCTCGGCTTCAGCTCCAAGGAGCTCGAGCAGTCGGCCGCCGACACGTTCATCAAGCTGTACAACCTCTTCAAGGACAAGGACGCCACGCAGGTCGAGATCAACCCGCTCGCCGAGAGCAAGGACGGCGCCGTGCTGTGGTGAGTGTCCAGACTAGGCGGTGGGTCTGCGCCTGGCTGACATGCGCGCGCCTGGCAGCATGGACGCCAAGCTTGGCTTCGACGACAACGCCGAGTTCCGCCAGAAGGACATCTTCGACCTGCGCGACGTGTCGCAGGAGGACCCCGACGAGGTCGAGGCGGCCAAGAGCGGCCTCAACTTCATCAAGCTGGACGGCAACGTGCGTTGGTCTGCTCGTGCTTCCTGTGCGCCTGGCTGACAGTGCGCCCGCAGATCGGCTGCCTCGTCAACGGCGCTGGTCTCGCCATGGCCACGATGGACACGCTTAAGGTGCGTGTAGCTGCGGCTAGGCTCTCGACGCGCAGCTGCTCACGTCCGTTCTCAGCTCAACGGCGGCAACCCGGCCAACTTCCTCGACGTCGGCGGGTGCGTCATGCTGCTGCACGTAATGTGCCTGGCTCTGGCGCTGACGCTTCTCTCACAGTGGTGCCACGGCCGAGGCCGTCAAGACTGCCTTCGAGCTGCTGCTGTCCGCCAACCCGAAGTCGCTCTTCGTGAACATCTGTGCGTGCCGAGGCTCTGCGCTCAGTCTCCGCTCCGCTCCCTCTCCCTTGACGTCCGTTGATCGCGTTGGCTGACCTTATTCCTCCTTTCCAGTCGGCGGCATCATGCGCTGCGACGTGGTGCGTGCCCCATCTTCCACTCTGCAGAACGCACCGTCCTGACGCTCTGTCCACGCGCAGATCGCAGAGGGCATCATCCAGGCCACCAAGGAGCTCGACATGACGGTGCCGCTCGTCGTGCGGCTGCAGGGCACCAAGGAGGCCGAGGCCAAGCAGATGATCAAGGACTCGAAGATGAAGGTGCGTCGCGCTCGTTGGCGAGACCGCGGCGATGGCTGACGAGACGTGCATGTCTGCAGATCTTCGCGTTCGATGACCTGGACGAGGCTGCTGCCAAGGTACGCTGGCTCTGCCCTCGCTGCGCGCGCACGCCAGAGAGCTCACCTGGTCTCCTCCGTGCAGGCTGTCGAGGCGGCTGCCAAGGGCTCGCTCTAAGTGCTGCGCCCGGCAGAAGATCTATATTAGAGGAGGAGGGAATGAAAGAGCGATACAACAATTCTGCTGTGATGCTCGGCGAGTGATGCGGGGGCCTCTGCGCCGCGTCGATGAAGTCTGTGGAAGGAAGCAGTAGTAGCCGATGTGGAGGAGAGCGGCATGTCGAAGCCACGCATGGTGGGTGAGCAGCATGCAGCACAAGTGTTGGTGGCTCGTGCACATCGAGCCCACGTGCTCATCGTCCGCGACGGGTCAGTGCGCGATCCCAGACGCCTGTGGTTGCCATCTCGCATCCGCCACAGCGCGGGTACATACACGTGCATCGTGCAGCTTCCTCTTCACACGATGCATCGAGCCGCAGAGCAAGCGACGATAAGGGATTCAGAGAGCGCCCCTTCCATGGCACGCGCGGCGGAGCCTCGGTATTCTCCTGCGTCTTGCGGTGGCGGGGCGCCGACCTCCGCGCCTACGCCACAGACGTGGCGAAGTCGCGATGATTGCAGCAGATCTGAGAAGGTGCCACCTGCTGTGCGTGCAACGGCTGAGATGGCCCTCTGAGATCCAACGTCGCTTGCTCATGAGCGAACATTGCAGCTGCGCTCTGCATCCCGGCATGCGGTGCTCTGATGTGGCACGGAGTGTCGTTCGGGGAGCACGCTTGGCTGGGAGTGCTTCGATAACGCTGACCTCGAACGTCCGCAGAGCTGCTCTCAGACGCAGGCACGCCCGTTGCCATTCAGCACCAGACTCGCCACCACGCAGCCCGCAGCTGCAATCTTTTCTCTCACACAAGGGTTGCAGCGTGGGACATGGGACCACCATGGCGCTGCTTCCCGACGGGTGAACACACGCCAACGCACGCACCCGGCGGCAGCCGGCTGGCGGGGCCTTGGCGGCTGAAGAATGGCCGTGCTGCCCCGCGCTCTGCCCTGCCCTCTCTGTCGCGTGACCGTGAGCCGTCGTCGACGAAGAACAAGGCTGGTGCTCGTGCAGTGTGCAGCGCGCAGATGGGTCTTAGACTCTGGAGCTGGAGGTCAGGGCTTTCGGAGGCCTGCATTGGAGCGCTGTGCCTGCACCCGGGTCGCCGAGGCACCGACGATGCCGGGCGCGCACGAGGCTCTGCCAGACCTCGGCCTCGCTTCCTGCTTTCACTGTGCGTCTCACGAGGCTCGCTCGCATACGGCGCAACGCTGCAGCATGTACAGCGTCTCGTGGCTTGAGGCACAGAGCTCAGCATACGGTACGCTCACCTGCAGCCGCAGAGAGGCGGTGAATGGCCCACGCCTGCGCCGGAGCGCCGCCATGTTCTCCCTCTTCTCATCCTTCCGCGCTGTTGCGCCTGTGGCTTTGTCCGCTGCACACGAATGCACCAGGGGATGCATTTGCCCCCTTGAGCAGCGCGTCCGCATCCTCTGGCGTCGGCTTCTCGACGCGAGCCAATCGCGGTGTCCGTCGCGGCGTGCTGGCGTAAGCTGCTTTCTTCTCGCTCGGGGCTGGTGCACAGGCTGGCGCACAGGCTCGAGCACAAGCACAGCGCACACTGCACTGGTGTCAGGAACAGCTTGAAGCACGCCAGGAACGCCTCTCGCGCACTGCCTTCTGGCGCGACACAGCCGCAAGCAGGTGTGTGTGAGGCACGGCTGCGCTCGAGGCGCGGGGAGCCTCGTCGACTTGGCGGCAGTGGCGAGCAGAGTGCCGAGCTGCCGACATCGCTTGTTCGGCTTACCCGTCGCGGCGCGTGGCTGAGTGCTGCGTCCTGCATCCGCGCCGCTGCTCCGCTCACGGACGACGGCCCGGTGTCCTTCTCCTCTGCGCCGGGTGCTGCCGTGCTCGACGTGCCCGCCCGATGCTGCGTGCCTTGTGCCCAGGCAACCTTTCCTGCCGTCGCTGCACGCTGCATGCGCGCCTGCATGCCTGCTCGGCAGCAGGTGCGGCAGGGCAGCTCCGCTGCACCCTCGACTCCGCCCGTTGCCCCCTGGGCCCGACTGGACGGACATGCGTCCGCGGCACTGGCTCCCGTCCCGCTTCTTCCAGCGCGCCTCGCCACGTCCTCAAGAGCAAGCGCAGCACGAGGAGCGCCTGCGTCGTGCCCGCGCCTTGCTTTCTTCCAATCCGAGCGCTGCTGCAGGACAGGAAGGACCCACGCGAGACGGCAGCGGACTGCTGTCACCCACGCATCCACCCCCGCCGCTCACACGATGGAGGCAGCCAGCCCCATCGGCGCTCCTCTCGGTCGTCGTCGCCTGAGCAGCCACCCCTCTCTCTCTAGCGTCTCGCTGCGGCTCACCCTCGCCCCCGTCTGGCGTCTTCGCGGCGACCCAGCTGGGTGGCGCCTGCGGTCGTCTGTGCTCCGCGCCCGTCTCGGCTGCAAGAGCAAGGAGCGGCTCGACCGAGCCCCTCCCACGCTGCTCCGACGCATTGCGGCAGCGGCAGCCGCTGCGGCAAGCTGTCTTGCACGCGATGTACGATTAGAAAGCCGGCCTCGGCGCGATCCGGGAGGCGCTGCTGCTGTGCTCGCGCGTGCGAGGATGCAGGGACAAGGGTGCAGCGCAGAGACAGGCGAGCAGCCGGCGCCGGGCCGCCGGCTCGGGCTTTTCTCCGTGCAGCATGCTGCTGTTGCTGCGCCTGCATGCCGCGTGGTGCTGCCGCGCTGGCGGGGTGCTGCACGCTGCGAGAGCAGAAAGGTGCGACAGCGAAGGAAGAGCTCGGCCGCGGGATGGCTGCTCGTGTCGCAGGCGGGATGCCGCACGGCGCTCTTGCCGAAGCGTGTGGCTAGGCGCTGAGCAAGCCGTGGCTACCATACGTGCGGCACGCGGCGCAGGAGGGCTGTCCAGTGTGCCCATCTGGCGTGCCCGAGGCTTGCTGCTGCTGCCATGCGCACCCTTTGGGTGCCGCACTGCGATCGGCCGCCTGGCGCTGTCGAAAAGCCCGTCCTGCTGCGCTGGTGCAGTGAGGAAGGATGGTGCCGAAGCGACGGCGCAAAGTCCGCTTGTGCCGTGCCGTGCCCGCCTTGCTGTCTGCTGCACGGCTAGCGTCGTCTCGGCGCTCGGCAGCGCATGAGAGCCCTGCCACTCTGCATCGCTGCTGCTCGCGCGGCCCTACGCGAGACGGACTGACCTCCGTCCTCACCGCGTGCCGCGTGGCTCGCCCCTGGCAGCCGATCTCTGAGAAGAACGCCCGTCGACGAGCCCTTGCTCACACGCTTCAGTCACCGGCCCGAGTCGCAGCCGGCCACTCCTCTCCCTCGCACTCTCGCGTCAGCTATCTGCGAGAGGAGGCGTGATAGCAGATAGACGAGTTCGACAAGAGGAGCAGGACCGCGTGGCGAAGATGAGCGGATGCGGCATCGGGCAGAGACAAGCACGCGCCGGGCCGGATGGGCGACAGGAGCCGTGCCGCCTCGCCGTCCTTGTCCTCGAGGAGCGCAGCTCGAGCGTGGCGTCTTCCTTCTCGCGATGGCTGCCGGCTCGCTGCCAGCAGCAGGGTGCAGGCGACGGCAACTCGTCCGTCTGACCCCCCCTCGCAAAACGCGGCCATATGCAGCGCGCTGGTGGCGGGATGCAGCGCGACACGGCACCGCCGGAGAAGAAGCCGAGGCGCGGGCCATGCGGCGGGCGCGGAAGCAGCAGCCTGCGGCTAGCGCGGCCTGGGAGCTGCGAGTGTCGGGCTGCCTGGTTGGGCACTGCAGCAGCACACACCGGAGCCGAGCTGCCTTCCACGCGGCTCGCACATCGGCGCCGCGGCATGCGCATACAGACACGGGCGGACTTGGGAGGTGCGGCAGCTGAGCAGCATGCGGCTGGTGCGCGGGCATGTGTCCGGTGCCGGCACGCGGTCCGCTCGCTGCCGGGCGCGGCGCACACAGGCGGCGTGCCCCATGGGTCGCTGCATGAACACAAGCACGGCGGTAGCGCGCTAGCGTGCCGCCAGCGGAGACACGCGAGCAACTGCCGCGCCACACACGGAGAGCGCGGCGACGCCTCCTCGTCGTCCTCACCCCCTCCCGCGCCAGTGCCGCCGCAGGACGGCACGCCGAGCACCCCGGCGGGCGCACCCACACCGCATGCGCCGCGCTGCTGCATGCTGGGGTAAGGCGCAAGAGCGGCACAAGCACGGCACCTGGACAGCGAGGCGGCCCGAGCAGTCCTTCCTGTCCTGCCGCTCGCTCCCCAGGGCCCTTGAGCAGCGGCGCAACGGCACGCGCGGGCGCGGCACCGGCGGGCGGCGGGCGGGCGGTCGAGCGATGCTTCCACGCTGCAGCGGCGCTACGGCGGCCTTCCAGCCGGGCGACGGCACGGCTCGCTGGCGTGCCTGTGGCGTGAGTGGTGCCGTGTCGCGTGCGGCCTCCGACGCCGCTCGCCATCGCCGCACGCCGCACAGTGCCTGCAGAGATAACCGCCAGCTCGCTATCCTGCACCTGCACGCTGCAGCGTTGCGCCGTGTGGGGAAGGGCGCGCCGCGAGGGTGGCGCCAGGGGGCGAGACGCAGCTGCAGAGAAGGAGCAGAGCCGCGCACACCCGCCGCCCGGCGATGGGCGAGTCAGGGACGAGATTGCGCCACGCCCCGGCGGCAGCGGCGAGACGAAGCCGGAGACCGAGGCAGGCACTCAGCCCCTCTCGCACTCCCCTTCTCGCACACAATCAGCGAGATAGCGGCGCCGCTCTCGCACCATACGCGGTGGCCACCGGCTGCACCCGCGCCGCTCCTCGTCTATAAGACCCGCATCTGCATCGCCCTCGTCCGGTTCCCACTTGTGTTCCCCACCCAACTCCTCTCCCGCCCCCTCCCCGCCCCATCTCGCCCGCCATGCGCACCGAGATCCAGCAAGAGCCCATCACGGCGCAGCGCTCGCCCGACGCCGCGTCCGAGGAGAAGTACCTCGACGAGAAGGCCGACAGCAAGGCCGAGCCACAGGCACTCGCCTACGAGCAGGCCGAGGGCCAGTGGGACGAGAGCAAGGAGCGCTTCACCGCGCAGGACCTCATCGACGGCAACCCCTTCCCCGAGGACACGCTGCCCGAGGAGACCGGCCCCGCACTCACCGTGCGCGCCGTGCTCGTCGGCACGGCGCTCGGCCTCGTCATCGGCGCGTCCAACGTCTACCTCGGCCTCAAGACCGGCATCACCTTCGGAGGCGGCCTCTTCGGCGGCATTCTCGGCTTCGCCGTGCTCAAGTTCATGAGCCGCACGTTCCCCGCTGCCTTCGGCGGCGGCTCGTTCGGCCCGCGCGAGAACGTCACGGTCCAGTCGGCCGCCACCGCCTCGTCCGGCCTCGCCTCGATGTTCGTCGCCGCGGTGCCCGCCATGTACCGCCTCGGCCTCCTTACGACGCCGCGTCAGGACTTCGGCCGCCTCGTCACCTTCTCCCTCGTCTCGGCCTTCTACGGCTGCTTCTTCGCCATCCCGCTGCGCAAGTTCTACATTCTCAAGCAGAAGCTCATCTTCCCCTCGCCCACGGCCACCGCCATCGTCATCCGCTCGCTGCACTCGACGGGCGGCGCGGCCATCGCCATGAAGAAGGTTTGGGTCCTCGTCTACTCGTTCGTCGCCTCCATCGCCTGGGTCGTCGTCAACCAGTACGTGCCGGGCATCCTGCTCGACCAGCACGTCTTCTACTGGTTCTACACCTGGGGCTGGCGCACGGCGCTCGCCGTCGACAACTGGAACTGGTACACGGAGATCACGCCGGCCTACACGGGCGCGGGCATGCTTGCCGGCATGAACGCCTCGTGGTCGATGCTCGGCGGCGCCTTCCTCGCCTGGGGCATCATCGGCCCCTCGCTCATCGCCACCGGCCAGGCCACCGGCCGCCAGCTCGAGCCCATGGATCCGCAGTCGCGCTGGTCGTACACGTCGATGAACTACAAGCCGCTCACGCAGGACATCCACGAGGCCTCGCCGCGCTACTGGCTCCTCTGGCCCGGCGTGTTCATCATGCTGCTCTGCTCCGTCACCGAGGTCGCCTGCAACGCCCCGACGATCTACCGCGGCTTCCGCGGCGCCTTCCTCAGCGCCAAGGACATGGTGCAGCGCAAGCCCGTGCGCGAGTTCCCCGGCGAGATCCCCGACCCGGCGCCCAAGGAGCAGCAGGTGCAGTGGTACTACTGGGTCGGCGGCCTTGTGCTCTCCGTCATCTTCACCGTCGTCGTGTGCGCGGTGCAGTTCGACATGAGCGTCGGCCTCACCATCCTTGCCATCCTTCTCGCCTTCATCTTCTCGTTCATCGGCATCCAGTGCAGTGGCACGACGGACACGAACCCGCTCACCGCCGTCGCCAAGGTGTCGCAGCTCATCCTCGGCGGCGTCACCAAGGCCGAGGGCCGCCCGATCAACCAGGCGCGCCTCGAGAACCTCATCGGCGGCTCCATCGCCTCGTCGGCTGCCGCCCACGCCGTCGACATGGTCGGTGACCTCAAGACTGGCCACTGGGTCCGCGCCTCGCCGCGCTCGCAGTTCTGGGCCCAGCTTGCCGGCTCGGTGTTCGCCATCCCCTTCTCGGCCGGCCTCTTCGTGCTCTTCTCGTCCGCCTACCCGTGCATCAACGACGCCTCGATCGAGGAGTGCCCCTTCAGCGTGCCCTCGGTCGCCGCCTGGCAGGCCGTCGCCGTCGCCGTCACGGCGCCGAAGCTGCCCGTCTCGCTCTCGTCGGGCCTGACGGCCATCTTCCTCGGCGGCTTCTTCTCGCTGCTCATCGTCGCGCGCTACTTCTGGATCCCGACCAAGTACCACAACTACCTGCCCAACGGCAACGCCGTCGGCCTGTCCTTCGTGCTGCCGCAGATCTACGTGCCGATTGCCATGGCCTTCGGCGCCACGCTCGCGCACTTCTGGAACAAGAAGTACACGCGCTCGTCGGAGCTGTACATGTACTCGGTCGCCGCCGGCATGGTTGCTGGCGAGGGCATTGGCGGCGTCATCAACGCCGCGCTGACGATCGGCGGCGTCGACGGCGGCGTGTACGGCACGACGGTCGGCCTGCCGCCGTGGTAGTGGTCTCGCCCTTGCCTTCGCTTTGACCCTTCCCTCCCCCCCCACGCCTTTGACCCGCATTGGTCTTTCCCCGGTCACCTGATTCCCCACCTCTCCTGATGTACGACCTGATGCACCCGGGCGACGACGTGCATGCATTGAATGCACGCTGTTCCCTGTTCTTCTTTGTCTGCCTGACTGAGCTCCAGCGACGTCTTCGCCTCTCTGCGTGCAGCTGCGCACGCCGCTGAAGCAGCCGCACGGAATGAGGCTGTAGGGCCTCGGTGAGATGGCAGACGGCGCTGGCGACAGCAGAAGCACTGCGCGAGGCACAGCGCTTCCGGCATGACGGCGCACGCTTTCTTGCGCGCTGTCCAGCTCTCAGCCAATGCAAAGGCTCGGGCGAGAGCGGAAGCACGCCACGCACTCCTTGAGCTTCACGCATCAGGGCTCGATTGGGAGGAACGCGAACGGGCCGAACGTGACATGAGGCTGGTGGTTGGTTGGTATGACCGTGTGTATGGTATGAATGTGTGTGTGGGTGGCGCATTGACGATGACTCGGAACTCAGTGTGGGTGGGTGGCGCGTGACTTGAGGATGAAGGTGGCGATGCGGGAACTAGGCGCCTAATGCGGCCCAAGTTCTCAGCTCCGGCCTGTCTGCTGCTCATGGCGGTGTGGAGTTGATGTACAAGGCGAGATGTGAGAGGCTCGGCGCGGTGCGGAAGGGTGAAGTGCTCGGGAAGGGTCTGGCGGTGATGAAGGGCAGTGCCGAGGTGGCTACGCGCAGAGTGCGCAGCGAGAGCGCTAGTTGCCGTGCGCCAGCGTCTCGAGCTCGGTCTTGCGCTCGTCGTCGCCGCTCTTGGCGTCCAGCTCGGGCGCGGGCTCGAGCTTGACGGAGCGAGACGCAGCGGCGCGGCTGCGTGTGGCCGTGCCTCCACGCTCGCCACCGAGCTGGCCTCCACGCTCGCCACCGAGCTGGCCGGCAGGCTGCGCCGCCGGAGAAGCGACGGGCGCGCACACGGCTGACTCGAGTGGAGCATCACCGTCGCGCTCGACGCCGCGCGGCACCTCTTGACGGCCCGCCTCGCACTCTTGATGCTGTTGCGCATCGCGCTCTTGGAGAGGCGCGCGCTGCGCGGCCTGCTCGCGGGCGCCGGCAGGCTGCTGCTGCGTGGCACGCTTGGCGGCCGGGCCGAGCTCATGGTCGCCGCTGCGCTTCTCGCCGCGCGACGTGATCTCTTGACGGTGCGCATCATCGCGCTCGTGAGGACGCACGGGCGGCGCAGCATGCTTGTAAGTGTGAAACTCCTGCAGAGCTCGCGCGGCCTTCTCGTCGAGGGAAGCCGCATTCGCGTCGAGGAGGGCCGCCTTGCGGTTGAGTTCAGCGGCCTGCCCGCGGAGGCCAGCCGCCTGCTCGCGAAGGCCAGCCGCCTCTTGGGGGAAGCAGACCGCATCAGCAGCCCGGATAGCCTGCTCGTACTCCTTGTCGAGACGATCCTCGTGCTCGCCAGCCTGCTTGTGCTGCTCGCGGGCATGGGCTGCGCGCTGCTTGGCCAGCTCCACTCGCTCGCGCAGGCGAGCAGCCTCTTGATCGGCCTGCTGTTTGGCTTGCTGCTCAGCCTCGATGGCCTGACGCACAGCCTGCTCCGCCTGACCCGCAGCCTCTCCGATCTGCCGCCAAGCCCGAATGGACTCGGCCCAAGCCTCACCGGCCTGCTCCGCGACGCGATCCAGCTGCTCAGCCTGCTGTCGAGCCACGCGCTTGGCCTCGGCCTCGGCCTGCTCGCCAAGCGCCTGCTGAGCATTGTCGCGAGCGCGAGCAGGCTGCTGGAGCGCAGGCTGTCCTGTAGCGGCAGTCGAGTCGCCCATGGCGGAGCGAGGAGAGTGGGCGCGGGCGGTGAATGGGACGGGGTGACGAAGAGACGAGGCTGTGAAAGGGACGAGGTGCTGACAGGGACGAGGCGGTGAAAGGGACGAGGTGCTGAACGGAACGAGGTGGTGGACGAGACGAGGTGGCGGAAGGTGAGGCTGGTGAAAATGGCGCGGTGATCGGGAAGGTCGGACTGGCGGAAGGGTCGACGTCGTGGTGGTGGCAGGGACGGAGGAGGTGGAGAGCAACACCTCGCGCGCACGGCAGCGGCGCGCCGTGACGCGCTTCTAGAGCGCGCGTGGGAACAGCCTGCAGCCACGCCTTGCCCTCCTTTCCATCCACTGCCACCGCTCCTCTGCTGCGCCGTCACCAGCGCTGCTCCTGTCATGGCCTCCGCGTCCTCAACGCCGCGCTGACGATCGGCGGCGTCGACGGCGGCGTGTACGGCACGACGGTCGGCCTGCCGCCGTGGCAGTGGTCTCGCCCTTGCCTGGCGGCGCGGCGGCGCGCACGTGACGCATGCTTCCCCGCAGTGCTTCCGGCTCCGCTGCTGCCACATCCGGCGCATGCTTCTAGCGTGCGTGACAGCGGCGCGCGGGCGGAGCACACCGTGCACGCACCCGCTGCACGCCCACGCCGAGGCCCTCCTCCGCACCACCATCTCCCATGTCGCAAGCCACGCTCTCGCCGCGCCGCGCCCTGCTGCTCGCGGCGCTGCTGCGCGTCGCGCTGCTGGCGTGGGGCGCGTACCAGGATGCGGCGCCGCACCTGCCCGACTACTCCGACGTCGACCTCGACGTCTTCCTCGCCGGCACGCGTGCGCTGGCCGCCTGTCCGCGCAGCGTGCTGCTCGGCGCGCCGCGCGAGACGTACGCCGAGCTCGCGGCGCCGCTAGAAGGCGCCGGCGCCTGCGCAGCGGGCTATCTCGCCGCCCTGGCACGCTTCCTGCTGCAGCTGCGCGCCCACGTCGCCGCCCGGCCCGACGAGTACGCGGCGTCGGAGCTCAGCGAGCAGCTGCTGCAGCTCTCGTTTCGCGTCGTCGAGGTGCCTGCGACACTGCTGGCGCTGGCGGGCAACCCGTACGCGGCGCCGACGTTCCGCTACTCGCCGCTCCTCGCGCTGCTGCTGGCGCCCGCGCTGCTGCTGCCCGAGCCGCTGCTGCTGCGTCTGGCGCCGCGCCTGCTCTTTGCCGCCGCAGACCTGCTCTGCGGCGTGCTCATGCTGCGCATCTGCCGCACGCTGCGCATCTCGCAGGCCTGGGTCGCGCCCGCCTGGCTGCTCAACCCGTTCGTGGCACAGATCTCGACGCGCGGCAGCGCAGAGAGCCTGCTGGGCCTCCTCGTGCTCGGCTGGCTTGATGCAACGCTGGGCGCGACTACGCCCGACGACGAGCAGCTGCGCCTGGCGCGCCGCCAGCAGAAGGTCGTCGATGCCAACGTTGCGCACGTCGCCGACGCTGCAGCTGAGGGCAAGGACGTTGCGGCAGCCGAGGCAGATGCCAGCGACGCGCTGCTCGCCGCGGACGCGTCCTCCTCCTCGGCGCTCTCGGCGCTGCTGAGCACGCCGCTGCTCTCGCCGCTGCTGCTGGCGCTGGCCACGCACTTCAAGCTCGTGCCGGCCATGTATGCGCTGCCGCTCGCGCTGCACCTCGCGGCCGCCGCACCGACAGGCGCGCGTGTTGGCGCTGTGCTGCGGTATGGCCTCGTGTGCGCGTGGGCCACAGCGGCCATCGGCTTGGTGCTCTATGGCATGTGAGTGCGCTGCGGTGGAGGATCACGGCAAGGCAGATGCGGCTGGTACTGTGGCCACACGGCGGCATAGAGCTGGCCCATTCGCCCCGCCGCTCCCAATGCTCACGCCCTCCTCTAGCTGGGGACCGCCATACCTGCACTCCGCCTTCCTCTACCACTTCACGCGCCTCGACGTGCGGCACAACTTTGCGCCGCACTTCCTGCCCGCGTACCTGGGCCGCGTCGACGGCGCCATCTCTGCGGCGCCGGGCACGGCCGGCGCACTCGTCGGCTTCGTGCCGCAGGCGGCCGTCGTGCTGCTGCTCGGCGCGCTGCTCGGCAAGCACGACCTGGTGTTTGCTTGTGCGGCACAGACGCTGGCGTTTGTCACGTTCAACAAGGTCTCGACGTCGCAGGTGCGTCTCAGCTAGAGCGCTCGCTACGGCCGCCCGCTGACTCGCGCGGACAGTATTTCATGTGGTATCTCTTCTTCCTGCCGCTCGTGGCGCCGAAGCTCGCCTTCGCCTCACGGCGGGAGCCGTGGGTGCTGCTGCTGCTCTGGGTCGGCGCGCAAGTGCGTTTGCTCTCGCCAGCTTCCTCCTCGCTGCCTCTGACACCCTCCACAGGCGCTCTGGCTGAGCCAGGCCTACCTGCTCGAGTTCACCGCACTCGACACCTACGTGCGCACATGGACGGCCAGCCTCGTGCTGCTCGTCGTGCACTCGCTCATCCTCGCGCGCTGCGTCACGGCGTGGGGCGAGGGCCGGGCGCGGGCCGCTCGTCTGGCCGGCGCCGGCGCGAAGAAGTCGCAATGACGTGCCTGCTGCCGAGCGCCCAGGAACTCTGCAACTCTAGAAGAATCATACCCCCTCCTCAATGCATCTCAAGGGCGCCAGTCATGCTCAATCTCGCTGCTGCACGCCCGTCTATTCGCTCTTCTGCCGCTTGCGCGCGGCGGCCGAGTCCTGCTGGCCGCGGCCCTTGACCTTCTCTGGCGGGCGCAGCAGTGCCTCGCGCTCCTCTCGCGGCACGACGCCGCCGGCCTGCCACGCCTCGCCCAGCCACGCGGCGCACTCGGCGCGCAGCGCCTCTTGTGCCGCTGCGTCGTCGTGGGCTGCACGCGGGCGCGAGTACTGCCACGCGAGCACGCGCGTCTGGATGCGCGGCGTCAGACGGCCGAGCGAAGGCATGCCGACGGCCTTGGCGATCGAGTTGCCCTGCAGCAGAGCGTCAGCTGGCTTGCTGCGGCGCTGCTCTGCGCTACTCACGTCCAAGGCCGGCTTCTCGAGTGCGCGCTCCGTTGCGTCGAGAGCGGTGATGCGCTCATGGAATGCGACGTAGGCTCGTGTGATCGCCTGCAGCTCGCTCTCTGGCAGCACCGAAGCATGGTCTGCATCAGGGGCCTGCACAGACGCCGGACCCCACGCCTTGGCGAGGCGGGCAACGTAAGCAGCGAGGAGCGCCGTCGGCAGAGAGAGCTTCAGCTCCGGCAGTGAGATGCTCTTTTCGCGCGCCACGAGCACTGAGTGAACAGTACGTCAGCCAGATGCGGGCGACAATTTGATCTGCAGAGGCATGACTCACTCAGCACGGCATCGTCCGACACCTCTTCGGATCCCAGCCCCTTGAGCGACTCGACGTAGGGCGTGCAGTCGCGCACGCCCGAGACTGCTGTGTCAAGCAGATCGCGAGCGCTGTTGAGCGCAGCAAGCGGCGATCTCGTCGTCTTGACGCCCAGCTGCGTCACAAGCTCGTCAGCCGAGCGGATCTAGAGCAGATGATGAGACGTACCTTGAGGCCGTTTGCAATGACGCGCTCGCCCGCCCAGCACCACGCCGACTTGCCATCGACGACCGCCCGGCCCTGCAGAGGCATGGCGAATAGCATGAATAGCCGTCGGCGCTCCTCGCGGTCCGTCAGCGGCGCCAGGAAGCTTTGTGGCAGCTGCGCCAGGAAGCCCGCTGGGAAAGGCGACTCGGGCCGTGCCTCTGCGCCGGCCGCTTGTCGGCAGAGGGCATCGACGATGCGCGCGCAACGCAGGGCTGTCAAGGGTGCCTCGACCGGAATCGGCTCGCATTGGGGTCCCAGCTCTGCTTTTGTGCACTTTGACGTAGCGAACGGCAGGCGGCGCATCTCCTCGTCGCTCGCGGGGAAGGCAAAGACATCGTTGTACAGGCCGAGCTTGTGCAGCAGCTCCAGCGCACGCAGCGGGTTAGGCCCTGAGAAGAGACGTCAGCGCCACGCGTACGCTGGCAGGTCAGACGTAGACGCACCGTAGAGCATCTTGTCCACCTCGATGCCGACGCGCTCGCGCGACACCTTGGTGCGCAGCGCTGCCCGCACCTCATCGCCTGCGCCATCACACATCGACCCAAGGATCGCCTCGTCGAGCGTGTACCCAAGGCGCGCCGCAAAGCGCACGCAGCGCAGCACGCGCAGCGGGTCGTCGAGAAAGGTGCGCTGCGGCTCGAGCGGCGTGCGGATGCGCCGCTCGCGCAGGTCTGACAGACCTCGCTCGGTGAGATCCTCGACACGCCGGGTGTGCACGTTGTAGAAGAGCGCATTGATGGTGAGATCGCGGCGCACGGCGTCTTCGGAGGCAGTGCCGAAGGTCTGCAGTCGGGGTCAGACTGGAATGCTTATTCGCGCATGAGGGCGCAGAGGCAGCGCAGAACGCCCATGCCTGCGCGACGCTGCCAGCCAGCTCGGCCCACTGACCATGCTTGGAATGCGACTCTCTCCCTCATACACCTCCTTGCGCAGGTTCACAAAGTCCAGACTGAGGCCGAGCAGCTGCACCGTAGCCGTCTCCAGATTCTTACTCTGCTCCGGGTTCGCCTCGATGCGTGCAATGCTGCCCATGGCCGCATGCTGCAGTTCGGGCTGCTGCGCCAGGGATGAAGCGCGGTACTGCGGCGAAGCAAGATACTCGCGCAGCAGCAGCGCAAAAGTGTGGCCGGTCAGCGTCGAGAGTGCAATGTCGAGGTCTGCCGATGGCTGCTCTAGGAGCTGCATTGAATGGATCAGCGCGGCCCAGGCGGCACAAGGATGAGGCAGTCGGCAGACAGCTTCGCATTCCGTCGAGGTCGGCGGCAGCACACCAGCACAGCACCGGATGCCCAGCATGCTCCTCCAGTCACATACCGCCGCTCTCGCATCAGTCCGCCCGCTCCACTCACACAGTCGCGCACCCAGCCGCCCGCGATTCGCGCCTCGCACGTCCAGCCGGGGTGATAGTGCACCTGCGGCGCCGGCGGTGGCGGCTGCGGCTGCGTCTGTGCCAGCCAGTCGCACGTGTCGGCAAGGAGCTGCACGAGCACGGCCTCGTGGCGCTGCAGCGCCAGCGTCGGCGCCGCCGCGCAGCCGGCACTGCTCGCCTCGGGCGCAGACATGGTGCGCTGTGCCGACGTCGACGTGAAGCGGCGCCGCGGGAAGGAGTGTTGCTGCACTGGAACTGCAGGTGCTTTACTGCGCAGCCGCAGCGGCGCTTGCTGAGCAGACGAGGCAAGCGATCGACGAGCGGCCTGAGGCCGGACAGCGGTGACGGCGCGCGGCGTGGGGCGCGCGACGAGGAGCAGGGGATCGGCGACGCGCAGCGCACGCAGCATAGAGCGGCGCGCAGCGGCAGGTGTGGCGTGCGGGGTGTGGCCGCTGCAGCAGGCAAGAGGCGCGAGTGTGGATGTGCAACGTGGGACGAGGGCAGGCGGAGTGGAGGAGCGGCGAGAGGCAGGCGCGGCCACAGCAGCAGGGCGAGGTGCAGAGGCAAACGGCGCGCGCATGCCGCGGGAATGGGCGCGCGCTGCCCGAGTCCCGGCGGGCGGCACCTGGGCCTTTCAGGCCCGGTGCACGGTCCCACCTCCGCCGGCGCCTCCTCGCCTCGCTTCCCCTCGCGGCCGCTCGCTTTGCGGGGCCCCTCGCTGCAGCGGACCCTTATAAGGCCGGCACTGCTGCACCCTCTGCACTTGACAACTCACATCACCATGTCCGACATCCTCAGCCAGCTCTCGCACAGCGCGCCCGTGCAGGCGCTGCAGGCGCGGCTGGCACGCGTGCGCAGCCTGGCGCCGGTGCCGCTCTCGGCGCTCTGCTCCGTGCTCGCGCTCGCCGCCTGGCGGCTGGTGCGCCGGCGCAGCGTGCGGCGGCAGCAGCGCGCGGCGTGGCGCGACTGGAGCGCCGTCGTCGCCGTCGTCACCGGCGGCGCGAGCGGCATCGGGCACGAGGTGGTGCAGCAGCTGCGCGCGCGCGGCGCCCGCGTCGTCATCCTCGACCTGCAGGCGCCGCGCGAGCCGCAGGAGGGCGTGCTGTTCCTCAAGACCGACGTCACCGACTACGACGCGGTGCAGCAGACCAAGGCGGCGGTGCACAAGCACTTTGGGCCCGTCACCATCCTCGTCAACAACGTGCGTGTGGCCACGTCCTGCGGCACGGTTCATGAGCTGATCACCCGCACAGGCGGGCGTGGGCGAGGCAGGCGCCAGCTTCGTCAACGCCTCGGCGGCGCGGCTGCGCCTCACCGTCGAGGTGAACCTGCTCTCCTCGTTCCACACCGTCAAGACGTTCCTGCCCGACATGCTTACCGCCGACAAGGGCCACGTCGTCACGATCGCCTCGGCGGCCAGCTTCCTGCAGGCGCCGCGCGCCATCGACTACAGCGTCAGCAAGGTGGGTGTTGCCGTGCTGCAGCGGATGGCACACGCACTGACATCGCAACAGGCCGGCGTGCTCTCCTTCCACGAGGGCCTGCGGCACGAGATTGCGCTGCTGTACCGGCGCCCCGGCGTGCTGACGACGTGCGTCTGCTCGCAAGCCTCGGCCCTGCCGCTGCTCACACGCCCTCTGCAGCATCGTGCACCCAAGCTGGGTGCGCACACCCATGACCGACCACCTCTTTGGCGTCGAGACGGCCAAGAAGTTTCTCTCGCCGCGCCAGGTGGCCGAGGGCGTCGTGGCGCAGATCGACCGGGGCACGTCGGGCGAGGTGTATCTGCCCGGCTACGTGCGCATCCTGCCCTTCCTGCGCAGCTTCCCGCACGGCGTGCAGGACACGCTGCGCCTCGCCCTCTCGCGCGGCGTCATTGCAGACCTCAAGCCCGAGCTGCGTGCAGAAATGGACAAGCAGCCCACGTGGTAGGGCCGTTCGAATGGCATCGTTATTCACACAGCACGGCTTGCTCGTGCGGCGAGCTCAAGCTCGAGCACGTCGCGGCAGCGCGAGAGCACCTTGCTGCCCGCCGACCAGCCTTGCTCTATGGCAAGCAGCGCGGCGTGACACTGCAGCAGTGTGGCGAGCCAGTCGTCGCCGTCCAGGGAGAGGCGCATGGGCACAGCAGCCACGTCGTCCTTGGGCTGCGTGGCCAGCCAGGCGCGCAGCTCCGGACGCAGGTCGGCGCAGCGCTGCATCGGATGCGCCTCCCAGAGCTCCAGCACAGCAGACGGCGGGTCTTGGCGCGGCGGCACGGTGAGAGCATCGGGCAGCACGGCGAGGATGGCGAGCACGGCGTACGCGTGGCACACGTCGCAGGCCATCGCATACGTGACGATGTTGCTGCGCGCCATGCGCAGGAAGAGCGCCAGGATGGCCGCCGCATGGTGCGCTGCACGCCGGCGCGGCGCCTCGCTGGAGAATGGACAGCGCCAGGAGCCGGCGTGGCAGGTCAGGCCGCAGAGTTCGCCGTGCTTGAACGAGCGAGGCGCAGCGGTTGTGCCTGACCTCGCGAGGAAGCCGATGCCGGAGCGGCAGTGCTCAAAGTCAAAGTCGAGGAAGAGCTGCAGGGCATGCCAGTGCATGTAGACCTTCACGGCGCCTTCCTCTGCCGCAACCGCGCTGGGCAGTGCGCCAGGCGACGAGGCCTGGTCGGCACGCAGCGCCTGATACACAGCTGCAAAGTGGTCGAGGGCCGCGCGCACAGCCGGTGGCGCCGTGTCGACTGCGCTCTGCTCGCTCCTGCGGCCTGCGTCCCACGGCGCAAAGCCGCCGTCGTTGACCCATCCGCGGGCGGTCCACACGAAGCTTGCCAGTGCCTCGAGGATGCTGCCCAGGACAAAGTAGTCGCCGCGCTCGACGCCGCAGGCGCGGATGCTCTCGACCGGGGGAGAGGCGTTGAAGAAGAGCCGCGCGACGTCTCGCAGCGTCGTGCTGCTTTGCTCGGCCCACTGGGGCCGGGCTAGGCGTGCCGCAAGCGCGGCGGCCCAATCTTGCACCGTGTCGCACTGCCACAGGGCGCTTGCGTGCGCCAGCGGCGTGTCCAGAAGCGTGGAGCACAGTCGCGGGCGCTCGGCATCTTCGATGTACACCGTGATGCGGCGCTCTGTCGAGGCGGCAATGACGAGCGAGCGATGGTACTCTTCTGCATCGAGCCAGCTCTGCCACATGTCGGACAGGAGACTGTCGACGGGCGCGCCTGCTTGCCACACGTTGGCGCCGCACGTCGAGTCTGCGGCAGGCTTGGCAGCGCGCTGGAGCAAGAAGCTTCGCAGCTGCGCGACGTCGAGCATGCCGTGCGCCGCCATGATGTGACGCAGTGTCGAGGCAGCTTCTCCGCTTCGCATGAGATTGACGTACTCGCGAGTCATGACGGCGCCAGTCGGCGCAGCGCAGACGGCTTGGAGGTAGATGCGCGGGTCGCCGCACGTGAGCGCGTAGCCATTGGCGAGGGACATGGTCGCGACAATGTCCTTGAGGCGTGCCGGCTGCTCGGTCAGAAAGACGCAGCTCGACCACACGACGCGGAAGACGAGCTGCCACAGCTGTGCGCCGTAGGCTTTGACCTCGGGCACGTGCGAGCCGAGCGTGGCCAGCGTGGCGAGGGCGACGTAGAGCATCGGACGCCGTGCGGCCAGCTCGCCTGGGTGCGACATCCAGCGCCACGGCACGACGGGATAGTAGTTGGCAATGCGCCGCATCGCCGTCACGACGAGACGCGACGAGTCGAAGCTGGCAGGCGCAGGCGGACAGATGAGGCCGCGAGCGACGAGGTCGCGCGCCTGCTTGCCGAGATGCTCGGGTGCGCTTGCGGAGTCGTGCGGCTCCCCAGTGGGCATCGCTGAGGCGGCCGACTGCGCCTGCGGCTGGCCACCGCGGCTGCCGCCAGCGAGCTGTCCCGCTGGGTCGAGAGGTGCCTCGTGCCACACACATCCGCCTGGATCTGCGCCGAGAGACGAGGCGTCGAAGCTGAAGAGCGAGTCGGCAAAGAGCTGCTCCACCATTGCCTCGAAGCTCTGCATTGCGAATGGAGCCAGACCATCTGCCTGAGGCTGCAGCGTGGGCAGCCTTTGTGCCAATGCAGCGTCGTTGCCTTGAGCAGGCGGCACTGGCAGGGACGTGGGCGCAGCCGATGCTGCGGCCCGTCCTGCGCCCGAGAGATCTGCCTGCGGCTGGGCTGGAGGCATAGCAGGGCTCGAGGAGCTGCCTGCTGCCGGCGCGGCGAGCTCGCGCGCGATCGGCACGGGCTGCGCCGCCGCGTCGGCGTGCTTGCGGCGCGCATGGCGCTGGAAGCTGTCCAGGCGCCCAAAGCAGGCGCCGCAGACGCTGCAGCGCAGCGTCGGCGTGGCCGCGTGGCTGATCTGGTGGCGGCGCAGGTGCACGGGCTTCTCGAAGCGCGCCGAGCAGCCGGGCGCCGGGCAGAGGTAGCGGCGCAGACGAGGGCGGCGCACTGATGCTGGATCGGCCATGCCGACGGAGCGCCGAGGCGCGATGGCACGGGCGGCTACGTTGCCGAAGGTGCGCAGAGCGGCGCAGGGGATGGCGGTGGGACGCAAGAGTCGGCGGGACGCCGCCACGCGCACGTCTGCTGATGAGGCATCGGGTGGGCGTGCAGCTGGCAGCTCAGACGTGCCGAGCACCTGTACTGAGTCTCGCAGCGGCAGCGCTGAGGTCACTGTTGAATGCGCGAGGATGGTGGGCAGACGGAAGCAGAGCGGCGGCGCAGTCGAGTGCGGGGCAGACGCGCCGGCGGCACCTGGTGCTGAGCCGCAGGCGTGGGAGCTGTGTGGCGCCGCCGCTGCGAGGTGCCACCGGTTCCCACCGCGTCCCACCGCTGCCTGGCCAGACGGCACCGTCGGCATCCGCACCTGCACCCGCACCCGGGATGTGGCAGCCTGGAGGACAGAGAGAGGGTGAGAGAGACGGACATGCCATGAAGCTCGGTGATGCACGGCCTGCCAGTGACGCCACCTGCCGGCTCCTCTTCATAAAGCGGCGCTCGAGGTGCGCGTGCCCTTGCAGCGCCAGAGCACACACCTCACCGCCTCAACAGCACACACCGCCTCAACAGCACACACAACCTCAATAGCACACACCGCCCCACACACACGATGGGCAGTGCCGCCGATGCCGTGCGCGAGAGCCACCAGACCAGCGGACGGATGCGCTCGACGTGGTTCCTCGCGCCACGCACGCAGTGGAGCTGGGCCATGGCGCTGCTCAACGACATGCAGCCGCACACGACGCCCGCGCCGCCCGAGCACTTCGGCCGGCTGCCGGCCATGTCGAGTGCGGCGGCGCTGGCGACGTTTGTGCCGCGCGTGCTGGCCTTTGTGGCGCTGCAGCATGCCGTGCACCGCGCCTGGCGCCCGCTGCCGCTGCCCGCCGCCGTGCTCTACTGGAGCGTGGCGTACCAGGTGTGCGTCGGGCACGCGGCGACGCTGCTGCTGCGCATGGGCGCCAAGTGGGGCTTCTTCGACGGCGCACGCCCGCGCGACAAGGTGCCGGACCTCATGACGACCAAGATCGCCGCGGGCATCCTCTGGTCGTGCGTGGTGCGCATCGCCCTCGGCGCCCTCTTCCTCTACGACGCCGCCGCGCCCGTGCGCGTCTCGCTCGCCGCGCCGCTGCATCTCTTCGTCTTTGCCATGGCGCTCGGTGAGTCGTGCGGCGAGCTGCCACGTGCGGCGCTGATGATGTGTGCCAGACCTGTGCTTCTACACGTACCACCGCAGCTGCCACGAGGTGGACAGCCTGTGGGCGATCCACAAGACGCACCATCTCACCAAGCACCCGTCGCCCGCGCTCGGCCTGCTCGCCGACCCGGGGCAGGAGTTCCTCGAGGTGATTCTCTGCCCGACGCTGGCGACGCTGGCGACGAAGCGCCTCTTCCCGGCCTCCTTCGGCTTCTACGAGTGGGCGCTGTGCATCATCTGCATCAACATCATGGAGGTGCTGGGCCACAGCGGCGTGCGCGCCCACCTCCCCGCCTTCGCCACGGGCTGGGTGTTCGGCGTGCTGCTGCCGCGCGCCGTGCTGACCATCGAGCAGCACGACCTGCACCACCGCGAGGGCTGGCGCCGGAGCACCAACTACGGCAAGCAGAGCCTCTTCTGGGACTGGCTCTTCGGCACGCTCGGCGAGCGGCGCGAGGGGCGCGACGACAACGTCGACTGGAGCCTCGGCCTCTGGGACGCCGTGCCCGCGGGCCACACGACGCCGCCGAGCGCGTAGCTGCGGCGCCGCAAACGCCTTTGACGATGGCTTGAGCCTCCTGCTGCTGCGCTTGATGTGGTGTGCGGATGGCCTGAGCAATAGATGCAATGCAATCGTGAATGTGCTTGACTTGACGGTGTGCCTGATGGAACGCAAGGCGGCAGCGTCACGCGAGCGCGCCTCCGGTCTGCTCCGCGGCTGGCGCGGCAGAGGCCGGCGGCGGTCGGCTGCCTTGCCGCCGGCTGCTGCGCGTGTGCCGCGGCTCTTTCGCGCCTGCCTCGCATGATCTGAACATCCGAGGGGCCCTTCCCAGACGCGCGGCGTGGCTTCGCCTTGCTTCCCCGCTTCCACCTCATCTTCTCACTCGTCAACCCCTGCTGCTGCTCACCCCTGCTGCTGCTCCCTCCGCGCGCCCGATGACCGTCGAGCCCGACGAGGCGCCCGCGCCCAGCGCCCGCGCTGCGCCGCCGCCGCGCCCCTCGCGCCATGGCCACGAGGCGCCGCCGCCGCCGTCGCGCATGCGCCGCGTGGGCGCCACGCTGGGCCGCGTGCTGCGCCGCCATGCACACTTCGTCGGGCCGGGCATCATGAGCGTGAGCATGCCCCCGCACGTGGCGCAGCGCTCCTCCCGCCGCGCAGCTGACCCCCCGCGGCCAGTCCGTCGCCTTCATGGACCCCGGCAACTGGGCCACGGACCTCTCCGCCGGCGCGCAGTTCGGCTACCGCCTGCTCTTCGTGCTGCTCCTCGCCGCCCTCATCGGCATCCTGCTGCAGGTGCTCGCCGTGCGCATGGGCGTCGTGAGTGGCGTCGACCTGGCGCGCGGCACGCGCCTGCTGCTCCTGCCCGAGGAGCGCAGCGCGCGCCTGACGCAGGCGCCGCGGCGGCGCTGGTACAAGACTCGGCTGGCGGCGCTCTGGCTGCTCTACTTCGTCGCCGAGGGCGCCATCATCGCGACGGAGCTGGCCGAGCTGGTCGGCTCTGCCATTGCCCTCAATCTGTGAGCACGCCGCGAGCGACCGCCGGCGCATGCACTAAGCCCCTTCTGCCAGCCTCTTCCCCGCCCTGCCGCTCTGGGCCGGCGTGCTGCTCACCTCCGTTGACTGCCTCCTCATTCTGCTCGTCTACTCCGAGGGCCGCTCGATGCGCGTCTTTGAGGCCATCATTGCGCTGCTCGTCTTTGTCGTCATGGCCTGCTTCGGCGTGCTGCTGGCGCGCGTCGATGCGGACTGGGGCGATGTGTTCCACGGCTACCTGCCGTCGTCGACCGTGGTGCAGTCGGAAGCGCTCTACATTGGTGTTGGGTGCGTACAGATGAGCGGCTTGCGGCGCGCCTGCACGCTGACCAGCTCTCCAGCATCCTCGGCGCAACCGTCATGCCGCACGCCCTCTTCAATGCGAGCTCGTGGGCCACGGTCAACAGGCTGGAGTACGACGCCGAGCCGCCGCGGCAGAACGAGGCGTCTGCAGCTCCCAGCCCGGCGTCGCACTGGTGGCTCGTGCGCCGCTTCGGCTCGCTGCGGCGCAGCATGCACCGGCGCTTCGAGTCGCTGCCCTCGATGCGCCTCGGCGGCCCGCGCATCCCCTCGCCCGACGCCAAGGCTGCCGCTCCGGCGCCGTCGGTGGCGTCGATCAAGATCCACCTGGCGCACGCGACGGCAGACATTGTGCTTTCGCTGCTCTGCTTTGCCCTCGTCGTCAACAGCGCCATCCTCATCGTCGCGGCGGCCTCCTTCTACTTTGCGCCGCAGCGCCAGCAAGTAGGCGATCTCTTCGATGCATTCGAGCTCATCAAGCGCACCGTGGGCCACAGCTCGGCCATCCTCTTTGCCGTCGCCCTGCTGGCCGCCGGGCAGAGTGCCAGCTTGACCGTGACGCTCGCCGGGCAGCTCGTGTCCGAGGGCTTCATCCACTGGACGACGAACCCGTTCTGGCGGCGCGTGCTCACGCGCGCCATCGCCCTGCTGCCGTCGTTTACGATTGCCGCGGCAGTGGGCAGGGGCGGCCTGGACCGGATGGTGAGTTGCTCTGCGCGGGCTGGCCCAGCTCTTGTTCGATGCTGACCTCGGTCCTTTTCCTCCCCAGCTCGTGGCGAGCCAAGTGGCGCTCTCGATGGCGCTGCCCTTCGTCCTCGTGCCGCTGCTGGTCATCACGAGCAGCAAGACATGGATGACGGTGCGCGAGGCGCGCAACGTCGGCGAGGCCGAGGCGGCGGCAGAGCAGGCGGGCATCAAGGCCGACGAGCCGGCGACGCCGGCGGCCGTCAAGCCCGAGACGCCGGGCACTCCCGGCGCCGTGCTGCTCCCATACGTCGCCTCGCCGCCGCCGCTGCCGCCCGCCGACGCCGAGGCGCAAGAGCGCGTCGGGCGCTTTGCGAGCCCCTGGCCCGTCGTGCTGCTCTGCTGGCTCATCTATGCCCTCATCGTCCTCTGCGACGGCTTCGTCGTCGTGACGAGCGCCATGGGCAAGTCCTGAGCCGCTCTGCCTCAACGTCTCCCCTCCTCCAATCGTCACCGCTGCCTCCCTGTATCATCACGCCCCTATACATGCCTCCCTCCTGCCCGCGGCATCTTGTAACATATCAATCGTGCGCTGCTCCTCGCTGCCCGGGCCGCACGACGGCATGCACGGGGGCACTGATGCAACAGACCCGCATCGCTGGGCGAGCGGGGTGAGCGGGCCGAACTCCTTATGATACAGTAGGCCCGATGCGCGCGGCCAGGGTATACGAGCTTGGGGGCGAGAGAGGCACGCTGGCCATCGGCCTCCTGCTGCACGCGGAGCCGGGCGCTCAGTCAGGCCTGCTGCGCCGCTGCGGCGGCCTCGTGCGCCTCGGCGGCCGCGGCCTCGTCCATGTTGGTGAGGTTGAAGGCGACGTTGCGGCGGTACTGTGCGAAGGCGACGGGGGATCAGCGGGCTGAAGGGTTGCACGTCGCCCACCGCGTCCCGGCGCCGAGACAAGCGGGGGCAGCGTGCCCGCTCGGGCGCCCCACAGACAGTGTGCCACGCTGCCCGCCGCCTCCAACAACGCGCGTGCCAGGCCAGAGAGCGCGGCCAGCCCACACCACACTCACGCCCTCCCACAGCTCGGCGGCAATGGTGATGTCCTGGTTGTGCGCGTTGATCTCGGCGACGCTGCGGTCGAGCTCGAGGAGCGCGTCGTTGAGCAGGTCGACGTTCTTGATGATGCGCTCGAGCAGCAGCGACTGGCGCTCCTCGTGCGGATTCTCCATGGCCGCGAGAGAGGGGCGTGGTGGTGGGTGGGGTGCAGCGGGGCGCACGCGCGTTGTCGCGTCCAGCCGGCACGACCAACACCCGCGGCCGTGTCACGTGCGCGGCCCGCTGACCCGGCAAAGGCACTGCTCCCACGCGGCTCAGCAAGTCAGAGTCAAGCCGCGGCGCGCCCGCCATGCTCATCGGGCTGTGGCGAGCGGGGCGCCCTGCCCTCCCACACCCACACCCTTCGCTGCAGCAGCGCCTGTCGCGCACTCGCACCGACAGTCCTACCGCACCTGCCGCCGCCATGCCGCCGGCGGCGAAGCGCAAGGGCGCACCGACGGCCGCCGCACAGCCGAGTCTGCGCGCCTTCTTCAGCAGCCGTGCGGACAACGGCGTCGTCGGCATGCCTGCGCACACAGACGCCGGCGCCTCGCCGCAGAAGCCGCGCGCCGTGCTCCCGCGCTCGCCCAGCGGCAGCAGCAGCAGCTTTGGCGGCCGCACGCTGACGCAGGAGGAGCAGGACCTGGCGCGCGCCATCGCCGCCAGCTTGGCCGATGTCGTGCAGCAGCCGCCGCCCGAGCTGGCGCCGCCGCCCGTCGTGCTTGCGCCTGCGCCTGCGCCGCAGCCCGGCTCCTCCTCTCATTCGTCGCCTGGCGAGGCAAGCGCCGCGCCGCTGCGCTCAGACGCTGGGCCGTCTCGCCCGCCCAAGCCGCTCTTCATGGGCGACATCTCGGACGACGATGACATCGTGGATGACGAGCCTGAGGAGACGAGGCCCGGTCCAGCACAGGCTGAGAACGCCGCGCCGGGGCCCTCCCGCCTGCCTGCCGCCGCTGCTCCTGCAGCAAGCGCCAAGCCTAACGCCTTTGCGCGGCTCATGGCTCCTGCCTCGGACGCGCTGCAGTGGGCCGGCGCCGATGCCGTCGAGCAGAACAACTACAAGGGCGCGGGCCGCACGCGCCGCGCCGCCCGCACCGCGCCCTTCTACAAGATTCTCGAGGGCATGCCGATCTGCGTCGACGGCTTCCGCTTCGGCAAGATCCACGGCTGCACGGCATACTTCCTCAGCCACTTTCACAGCGACCACTACATCGGCCTCAGGTGAGGCTGCTACGCTGGCTTCCCTGAGCGCCACATGGCTGACCACCTCCCCCTTGCTTACAGCAAGGCATGGACGCACGGCCCAGTGTACTGCAGCGCCGAGACGGCGTCCCTCGTGCGCTCCTCGCTCTACGTCCCGCCCGAGTTCGTCGTGGCGCTGCCGTTCGACGAGCCGTTCGAGGTGCCGAACACGGGCGGCGTCATCGTCACGCCCATCTCGGCCAACCACTGTCCCGGCTCTGCGCTCTTCCACTTCCGCGGCCCCCAGACGCGGCACATCCTGCCGCCGCCGCCCGGCGGCCACCACCCGGCGCTGCGCAAGGGCATGAGCACGTACCTGCACTGCGGCGACTTTCGCGCGTGCCCTGCGCACGTCGAGCACCCGACCGTCAAGGCGCACAAGCTCGACATCATCTATCTCGACACGACGTACTGCAACGCGCGCTACTGCTTTCCGCCGCAGCCGCTCGTCGTCGAGGCGTGCGGCGAGCTGGTGAGCAAGCTGGCGCCGGCGCAGTGCCAGGGTCCCGACGTTGGGCTCGAGGGAGCCGAGCAGTGGCGTGAGCGCGCGCCGACGAAGCGCGAGGCAGCGGCAATGAAGACGGAGGCGTCAGAGTCGCTGGCGCGCAAGGCGATGCAGGGCTGGCTGCAGCCGGATGCAGAGGCGGGCGCGTCGAACCTCGCATGCATCAAGGACGAGCCTGTCGTCAAGGACGAGCCTCTGCTCGACGACGCCGGCCTCGATGAGGAGGACGCGTGGGAGTCAGCCCACGCCGACGTCGACGGCGGCTTCCGCGACGAGGTGGATCGCGACGAGCTCGACGAGGACGCCGAGGCCATGTACCAGGAGGCGCTTGGTGACCCGGAGCGTCCCGGCGAAGAAGCGCTGTGGCGCGTCAAGGACGAGCCCGTCGACGAGGATGAGCGCAAGGCGCTTGCTCTGCTTGATGTGAAGCCCGATGTCAAGCCCGCTGCTTCCTCTAGCGCTGCGGCTTCGGGCAGCACTCCTGCGGTGCGCTCGGCGTTCGACATGCTCGGCAAGTCGAACGCAGAGACGTTCCCCGACTCGACGACGCGCGGCCGCCTGCTCGTCGTCGTGGGCACCTACACGATCGGCAAGGAGAAGATTGTCCTTTCGTGCGCGCGTGCGTTGCGCTCGAAGGTATACTGCGCCGACCCGCGCAAGTATCGCGTGTACGCGCAGCTCGACGAGCCGGAGCTGCATGCGCGCCTCACTCGCAACCCGCTCGAGGCCTCGGTGCACGTCACGGGCCTGCGCATGATCAACGGCGAGGCGCTGCGCCAGCACGTGGCGGCGATGCGCAAGCTGGGCGCCGACTGGCAGCGCGCCGTGGCCTTTCGCCCCACGGGCTGGAGCTACCGGCCGCCTGCGGGCATCGACACTGTGTCGCCGGCGCTGGAGCGCGTCATTGAGGTGAACCAGGCGACTGGCTTCGACGCCAGCGGCCTGCAGCCCACGCGCGACAGGTGAGTTCGGGCCTTGGCAGACCGTTGCTTTCTGCTGCGCGCGCCCCTGCTGACTGACCATTCGCAACCTAGCACTTCGGAGTTCCGCATCTACGGCGTGCCGTACAGCGAGCACTCGTCCTTTGTGCGTTGCCCGCGCGCCGGCGCCCCCCTTCAAACACTGCCTCCTTCTCGCGCTGACACCTCCCATCACACACACCCTCACAGTTCGAGCTCTCCGCCTTCGCCCTCTCGGTCGACTACGAGCGCATCATTGCCACCGTCAACGTCGGCTCGCCGCAGAGCCGCGCCAAGATGGCAAAGTGGTTCGAGCGCTGGAAGGCCGAGCGCAAGCGCCGCGCCTTCGTCCCCGTCACGCCGCGCGCCAGCACGTTCTTCTGAGGCCCGCCCGCCGCCGCCAAGACCCGGTCCTCACCTCATCATCCCTCTGCGTTCATAGGTCACCCATGCATCTTCTGTAGCATCATCACTTTCACACGTCCTCACCATCAGCATTGCGACGCACAGCATCGCAATCTCATTCGTCGCGCCCCCAGCCAACCGAAAGCTGGCATGGCTTCATGGATCCGCCTCGGGCTTGGCAGCGTCGGGCCTGGGCTCTGGCAGGCGCTGGCCGTCGGGCGAGTAGATCTGGCTGGCGTCGCGCTCCATGACTTTGGGCGGGGCAGCGCGCATCAGCCTGGGCGACCCACGTCGCACCCGAGAGAGCTGCGGCCTGGCTACTCACGCAGCACCGGATTGTCCGTCGCGCCGCGCACCGTCGAGCCGATGGTCATGAAGTCGAACTTCTGCCCTCGCCGACCCCAGCGCTCTCTTGTCAGTTACGCGCGCGGATGCTGGCAGGCGTGGGCCTGCCACCACTAAGACCAGGAGGGCGCGCACCTGCTGATACCACGACTCGGCGATGTTGGCATGCAGCAGCCAGCGCCACTGCCCGGGCGCTTGTCAGCTACGGGCAGCACCCCCCACGGTCTCAGTGCCCGCACCTGCTTGCGACCGTCTTCGTCGAGGATCTGCGTTGTCCGCAGGGTCAGCCAGGGGGGGGGGGGGGGGAGAAGGCCAGCAACAGCTCACGATGCGCATGAACGGCGTGCCGAGGCCTTGCGAGCGGTACTGTTCGAGGATGAAGACGTCGGCCAGATACGCCAGCCTGTTTGCCGTGCCCCTTGCGGGCGTGCGTTAGCCATGTGTGTGGGGGGCGCCCGACACTCTCCTCCTCATGTGGCAGCTTGCCCTCCTCCTGCAACACTCTTACTGACGCGACGCCATCGCCCACCACGCGTGCAAAGCCCACGAGCTCGTCGGCGGCGCGCGACGTGTCGTAGACGGCGAAGCACTGCGTCGTTCATGGGCGGGGGCACGTCAGTCTGGCCTCGCGAATGGCACGCTTGGCGCGTCACTGGCGCGCGCTGACCAGATGTGCGGAGCGCAGCTGCTGCTCAAACTGCTGGCGCGTGCGCTGCCGCTGCCAGTACGCCTTGGTGTGGCTGTGTTGGAGGCGCAAGCGTGCGCGAGACAGGCGAGGCGAGGTCAGTGGGCGGCCGTCTCCCTCTCTTGGCCCCAACGCACAGCCAGTCCCACACGTCGTCGACGGGCAGGCGGTCCAACGACGTGTCGACCTCGAACGCCTGCCGCGGCGCGGGCAGGGAGCGCGGAAAGGCAGAGGAGCTCATTGCTGATTGTGTGCTGAGCGTGCTTGAGGTGCTGATGATGGGTGGGCGGCGGTGCTGCAGCAGCAGCAGCGCTTAAGAGCGCGACGCTCGGCTGCTTGTCTGTGCCTGCTGCTCGTCTCGTCTAATGACTCATTCGTTCGCGTGCAGCCGACCCCTTCTCTCCTTGCCGCTGGTGATGGCCGAATGGTCACAGGGCAAGCTTGGGCCCCGCGCTCCGGCAGAGAGGATCGTGACTCGCGCTCGTCGTGCCTCGTGCGACGCGCAGCAGCAACTCGACTGCCCTCTCTCTCTCGGCTCGCTGGCGACGGGCTTAGTGGCTTCGCGCGCCGCAGGAGGGCAACGCGTCTCCCGACGCGTCTCGCGTTAGAGTGCGAGCGTGGGAGCACGTGGGAAGCGGGAGCTGGAGCAGTGTCGGGCGCATCAGCGCCCCGAGGCGCGGCGAGGCAGCGCGCGACAGCGACGCCGTGCGGCGGCAGCGCGGCGGCCGAGCGTGCTTCGTGCGTCGCCGCCGTCCGCTGGCCGCCTTCTCCTTCTCACCACGCTGCACCACACACACACGATGGACTATCCCTCCTCCTCCGGCGCCGCCTCGTCTGGCGCGCCCTCGTCGCCGCTCGGCGCGCGTGCCGACGGCGCAGCCGCGCCGCGCATCGACCCGCTGGCGTTCGGCGCGCCCTCGACGCGCAGCGGCGCCACGACGGGCCATGCCGCCGCGGGCACGTCCGCCGGCGGCTCGGCCTTTGGCGACGTCGACATGCGCGGCGGCGACGACGACGGCGGCGGCGCCGCGCCGCAGGAGTACGGCGCCGGCGCCGGGCGGCAGGCTCGCCCGCGCGCCGTGCAGAACCTCGAGGACGTGCAGCCCGTCACCGACGAGGTGGGCGAGCGCGTGCGCGAGGGCTTCGCCGAGTTTCTCGAGACGTGAGTTGTGCGCCGCGATGCAGATGCACTGCAACATGCCTGAACACTGTGCTGCAGCTTCGTCGACGACGACGCCGAGCCGGGCCCCGACGGCGAGATGCGCGCCTACTACATCGAGCAGATCATGGCGCTGCGCGACTACCAGCGCACGACGCTCTTCGTCGACTTCACCCACGTGCTGCGCCACGAAGAGGTGCTCTCAAAGGCCATCAGCGAGCAGTACTTCCGGTGCGTCTGTGCGCTGCTGCGCCCGCCTGCCGCCGCCGTGCTCACCCTGCGCGCAGCTTCCTGCCGTACCTGCGGCGAGCGCTGCTCGACCTCGTCAACACGCACGTGCCCGGCTACCTCTACCTCAACGCACACGTCGCCTCTACCGCGTCGTCGGGCCTCGTGCCACGAGACTTTTCCGTCTCCTTCTACAACCTCTCGCTCATCTCTGGCATCCGCGACCTGCGCACCGACAAGATCGGCCGCCTCACGGCCATCTCGGGCACGGTGACGCGCACGTCCGAGGTGCGCCCCGAGCTGCTCTACGGCGCCTTCACCTGCCGCTCCTGCCGCGCCACGGTGCGCGACGTCGAGCAGCAGTTCAAGTACACCGAGCCGCCCATGTGCAAGAACGTCACGTGCCAGAACCGCAGAGACTGGGAGCTCAACGTCGACCAGAGCCGCTTCACCGACTGGCAGAAGGTGCGCATTCAGGAGAATGCAAACGAGATTCCCACGGGCAGCATGCCGCGGTCGTGAGTAGGCGCAAGCAGCGTAGCGGCGGCCGTGGCGCGTGGACTGACGTGCCCCACCGCTCTCAGACTCGACGTCATTCTCCGCGGCGAGATCGTCGAGCGCGCAAAGGCGGGCGACAAGTGCGTCTTTACGGGCACGTTCATCGTCGTGCCCGACGTGGCGCAGATGGGCGTGCCGGGCGTGAATGCGCAGATGCAGCGCGAGGGCGCCGGGCGCGGCGGCGAGACGAACCAGGGTGTCTCGGGCCTCAAGACGCTCGGTGTGCGCGACCTGACGTACAAGACGGCCTTCCTGGCGTGCATGTCGCAGAATGGAGAGGAGCGCAAGGGCGGCGACGCGGCGGAAGAGACGGAGGAGATGGATCCGGACCGCCTCATGGAGGGCCTGACGCCGGCCGAGCGCGACGAGCTGGAGGCCATGGTGCAGACCGACGACATCTACTCGCGCCTCGTGCACAGCATCGCTCCGACGGTGTATGGTGCGTTGTTGTCGAGGAGCGCCCGTGTGCCGCGCGGCCTAGGCTGACGCTCTGCGCGCGTTGCAGGACATGACATCGTCAAGAAGGGCATCCTCCTGCAGCTCATGGGCGGCGTACACAAGCAGACGCAGGAGGGCATCCACCTGCGTGGCGACATCAACGTCTGCATCGTCGGCGATCCCAGCACGAGCAAGTCGCAGTTCCTCAAGTGAGTGTCAGGCGCTGGCCAGCGCCGCTCGAGCCAGGCTGATCGCATGCGGCAGGTACGTGTGCGGCTTCCTGCCGCGCTCCGTCTACACGTCGGGCAAGGCCTCGAGTGCTGCAGGTCTCACGGCTGCCGTCGTCAAGGACGAGGAGACGGGCGAGTTCACCATCGAGGCCGGTGCCCTCATGCTTGCGGACAATGGCATCTGCGCCATCGACGAGTTCGACAAGATGGACATCAGCGACCAGGTGAGCGGGCGCGCTGCCCGGCTTTGCCTGCGCGCCGGCTGACACTCCGCGCAGGTCGCCATTCACGAGGCGATGGAGCAGCAGACGATTTCGATTGCCAAGGCCGGCCTGCAGGCCACGCTCAATGCCCGCACGTCGATTCTCGCCGCGGCCAATCCGGTCGGCGGGCGCTACAACCGCAAGATGACGCTGCGAGCCAACGTGGCCATGTCGGCGCCCATCATGTCGCGTTTCGACCTCTTCTTCGTCGTGCTCGACGAGTGCAACGAGAGTGTCGATCTCAACATTGCGCGGCACATCATCAACGTGCACCGCTTCAAGGATGCGGCCATCGATCCCGAGTTCAGCACCGAGGCGATGCAGCGCTACATCCGCTATGCGCGCACCTACCAGCCCAAGCTGACGCCCGAGGCGAGCGACGTGCTCGTGGAGAAGTACCGGCAGCTGCGCGCCGACGATGCGGGCGCCGGCAAGAACTCGTACCGCATCACCGTGCGCCAGCTCGAGTCGATGATCCGCCTCTCCGAGGCCATTGCGCGCGCCAATTGCCGCCAAGACATCACGCCGGGCTTTGTGCGCGAGGCGTACGGCCTGCTGCGGCAGTCCATCATCCGCGTCGAGAAGGACGACATCGACCTCGAGGGCGACGACGACGAGGTCATCGCCGAGGCCGAGCCCGCTGCTGCTGCCGGCGCATCGGCGGAAGCCGGCTCTTCGAGTCTGGCGCAGGCCGAGTCGATGGACGCCAGCACCGAGGATGGCGCCGCTGCCTCGACGGCCAACGGCGCGCAGCATCACGGTGCCGCAAACGGCACGGCTGCCTCCTCCTCGGCAACTGCGCCGCGTCGCGCGCGCGCAAAGCTGACGTACGAGCGCTACATGGAGATGATGAACCTCATCGTCATGCGCGTGCGCGACGCCGAGCGCGCGACGGAGCAGGCCATGGCGCGCGACGCGCTCGTCGAGTGGTATCTCGAGCAGCGCGAGGGCGACATCGAGACGATGGAGCAGCTGGCCGAGGAGCGCGAGCTGACGCGCAAGGTGCTGCGCCAGCTCGTCAAGGACCAGTTCCTCCTCGAGCTGCGCGGCGTGCAGCCCAGCGCAGACGACGACGGACAGGGCGACGAGCAGATGCAAGAGAGCAGCGGCGGCAGCACCGAGCACATCTCCTACCTCGTCCATCCGCGCGTCGACCTCGAGGAGCTGCCGGCGAGCAGCGCTGCATGAAGGGCATGCCCTTGCGCGCGCGCGCGCCCCCCGCCACCTCATTTCCTCTCTGCTGCATCTCTCCTGCCTTCCTGGGTCTCCACCTCGTCACGCACTGTACTCCTACCTCGCGCTCGCCTCGCATCGCATGCCAGCTCCTTCTATAAATCCCTTTCATTCTGCCTCTCGCGCCGCCTGCTGCAGCGTCCGGGCGTGCGCACGCTGCCAGCGACGAAGCGCCGGCGTTCATGCCAGGCCGGCCTCGACCATGGCCTTCTTCATGCTGGAGGGGAGAGAGAAGATGAGGGCTCAGCTCCAATGTCCGTGGCAGCGGCAAGGCGCGGGGCCAGGCACGACGACGACGACTCACAGCTCGCCGATCTTGGCCGGGCTGTCGGCCACGATGGCGCCGGCCTTCTCCAGGGCGCGCACCTTGTCGTCTGCGCCGCCCTTGCCGCCGGCAATGATGGCGCCGGCGTGGCCCATGCGTCTGCCGGGCGGCGCCGTGCGGCCGGCAATGAAGGCGACGACGGGCTTGGGGTTCTTACGCGTCTTGTTGTGCTTCTCGAGGTACTCTGCCGCATCCTCCTCCATGCTGCCGCCAATCTCGCCGATGAGCACAATGCCCTCCGACTTGGGGTCGTCGAGCAGCAGCTTGACGACGTCGAGCGTCGTCGAGCCCGGGTACGGGTCGCCGCCAATGCCGACGCAGATCGACTGGCCAAGGCCAACCTTGGTCGTCTGGTTCACCGCCTCGTACGTCAGCGTGCCGGAGCGCGACACGATGCCTGGCGCAAGAGCGATGCGTGAGCGCGAGTTGCGAGCAAGCGGGAGTGTGCGACTGCGCAGCGGCGCTCCAGTGCTGTCTGGCGTCGCCAGCAGCGCAAGGGTTTCAAACTGCCGCTCCGCTCCGCCGCATCTTCACCGCCTGTGCACACACCGCGCTGGTGCCAGCGCATTCTGGCATCGCCCGCCGCGCCAGGGCCCAGCGGCTGGTTCGCTCTCTCCTAGCTCCCCTTGCCCTGTCGTGTTGCAGAGACGCGCGCGCATGTCGGCAACTCACCGATCTTGCCGGGCGTGTGGATGTGGCCGGGCATGATGCCAATCTTGCAGCCCTCGGGGTTGATGATGCCGGGGCAGTTGGGGCCGACGAGGCGCGACTTGGACTGCGCCTTGAGTGCGTGTGCAACCTGAGCAGCGAGACGGGAGCAGGGTTTCAGCAACACGCGTGCGCCGAGCACAGAGAGGGCGAGGTGCGCTGCAAACGTCAAGCTTGCCCAGCCAGGCCAACGGCTACATAGGCGACGGCACTAGCGCATGCGACAGCGGCTCCTTCCCTGGAAGCCTCGCTCGCCGCACCGAGTCCTGCGACGTCGCTACAGAGCGCCGAGTGTGCCTCTCCGAGCCGCCATGGCCGCAGCAGCCAAGCTGGCCCGTCGACCACTGCACACGTGCTCGCCCGTAGCCTGTGCGTCTCCACTCACGCGGATCTCGTCGGCCTGCGGGATGCCCTCGGTGATGGCGACGATTAGCGGCACCTCGGCCTCGATGGCCTCGATGATGGCGTCTGCCGCAAACGGCGGCGGCACGTAGAGGACGCTGGCGTGCGGCTTCTCGGCGGCGACGGCCTCCTTGACGCTGCCGTACACGGGCAGGCCGAGGTGCTTGGTGCCCGCCTTTGCCGGGTTCACGCCGCCGACAAGCTTGGTGCCGTACTCGAGCGCCTGCTTGCAGTGGAACGTGCCCGTCTTGCCCGTGAAGCCTTGGCAGATGACCTGTGCGGCGGTGGTGCGGGGGGCGTGTGAGCCAGCTGTGCGGCGACGGATGCGCCAGGAGCGGCAAGGCTCGGCCAGCCAGAAGGCTTGCAGTGCGGCAGCGGCAGAGGCATGCGGGGCCTGGCCATGCCATGCCGTGTGCTGCGCGCTGCCGGAACGCTGCGCCTTGGCCCGCTGCCCCTCTGCTGGCCCTCGCGCCGCCATGCTGTGCGCCGCGCGCCTCACCTTCGAGTCGGCCTTAAGCAGCAGGTTCTTGATCGTGTCCTCGTAGCTCATGCGCGGCGCGGCCGTCGCAAAGGCACGCCGAGCGGTGACGGGCGCCGAGGCACGGGCAAGCGGCGAGAGGGCGGCGCGGAACATGCTGATGCGAGGGGGGATGGGTCGTGGAGAAGAAGGTCGAGGTGTTGGCGGCGACTGGCGGCGCTCGGCACGGCCCGGCGTCGGTGCGACGCGGCGCAGGAAGGCGCAGGGCGCAGCGCAGGCACGCCGCCTGCTGCTGTGGCGCGCCAGCGGGGCACGGCTCGCGGTCCGCTGCCCCGCGCTGCTCCGAGCGCCGAGCGCCGCGCCGCGCGGCGGCGACCCTCGAGGCGTGAGGGAGACCACGTGCGCGCCCAGCCGAGCCGCTCTCAGCCCTCGCGGCGCCAGGGCCGCCTTTGCCGGCGAGCCATCCGTGCCCCCCAGGTGCCTCTCGGATCCTTGCATGCTGCCTCGCACTTGTCTCGGCGCTGCCTGGCAGTCCATCATGCACAGCTGATGCCAGAGCAGTGTACGGCCAGCCAGTGTTGACTCCGCGCAGCCAGCCTTCGCAAGCGGCGCCCGAAGTGTCGGCTCACGGCGGAGCAGGCATATGGGCCCAGTCGAAAAGCAAGTCGTCCGCGCTCGCGCTCATACACCATCCTTCGTGCTGGACAGTCCATGTGAGCAGCGTCTGGTGCTGAGCGCCTTGTCAGGGATTATGCTTGCAAACGCGAGTGCGCTCTCGCCTGCAGCCTTGGCAGGGTGTATGCGAACAGTGCAGAGGTGGACCAAGCTGTTGGGTCACACGACGGACGCGCTGCTGGGTGCTGCGCGCCGCGCCCGGATGCAGGCGTCACCAGCCTGCTGCCCTGGGCCGGTGTGCACGTCCAGCCCACTCGGCGGGGCTGCGTCTTTGCAGACTGTCCTCTGTGTGGACGTCTCCAGCCTAGACGCTTGCTCGACCGAGAGCGGACAGAAGGGCGCAGCCCTGCACATCAGCTGCTGGGCGGCAGTCGCGACCGGCGGAGCGGGGCTCACGGCGCGCCGCGCACCGCGCACCGCGCCGCCGCCGCCGCGCGCGGCGCCGTTCTCGCGCGGCCGGCGCTCACAGGCTTCGCCTTTGCTGATGCGCCGCTCGTCCGTCTTTCTCTCTGCCTTGCTCCACTGCTCCTGCCTGCCCCTTGCCGGCGTCCGCCGCTTCGCTCGCACACGCCGCCTTCTCCTCTCTCGCGGCACTGCGCAGCGCACTGCTGCGTCGCTGCACGGCGCACCCAGCGGTCCCGCGCTGCGCCGCCGCGCGCCACCCGCCCCTTCGCCGCGCCGCACGCCAGCCCGGCCTCGCTGCGCTCCCCTCCCATCCGGCCCCCAGCTGCGGCGCGCCCGGCCGGCGCGCATCGCTGAAGCATGGCCAGCGAGCCGTCTGCGGCCGACGAGCCGCAGCGTCCCGAGCTCGTGGCCGAGTTGGCGCCCGCTGCCGACGCTCCGGCGGCGGCGTTGGCACCCAGCGACGGCGACGCCACTGCCTCTGCGGCGCCCGTGTCTGGCGAGGCGCAGCCACAGCAGCCGCAGGCCAATGGTGATGCGCCAAAGGATGCAGAGCCACCGGGCGCGGCCGTAGCTGCCGCCGCCGAGCCTGCCGCCGCCGCAGCAGATGCGCCATGCGCTGGCACTGCGCCGCCTGCGGCAGATGCGCCAGCAGGCGGCGCCGTCGCAGCCGACTCGCCGGCGCCAAGCAGCGCCGCCATGGCCGTCACAGCCTCCACGGGCGCCGAGAGCAGCGGCAGCGGCACTGCGGCCTCGGCGCCCGCATCGGCGGCGTCGCCCGCCACGAGCGCCGCTGCGGCTGCGCCGTCGGCGGCGACGAAGAAGTTCAACAGCCTCAGCGTCAACCGGCGCTTCCTCGAAAAGGCAAGCCCCTCGCCGCCGCCCAGTGCTGCGCCGGCAAAGGCAGCCGGTGCACCTGCTGCGCCGGCCAAGGATGCGGCTGGTGAGTTGCTGCGTGCGCGCGAGAGGCGCATCTGCGCACCCGCGACTGACTCCGTGCCCATCTTGCAGCACGCCTGGCAGCTGCGGCGCCTTCGCGGCTCATGGCAGCCAAGCTCTCAGCCGCCGCCAAGCCAGCCGCTCCGAGCTGGGCCTCGTCCGGCGCTCCTTCCGCAGGTGTGGCTGCGGCCGGCTCAGGCGCCGCACCTGCGTCTGGTGCCGCAGCGCCAGCAGCGTCGGCCACGCCTGGCGCTGCCGCCGCGGCGTCTCCGCGCCTGACGGCGCTCGGCTCTACGCGCGCCGGCTCGCCCGCTGGCGACCCTGCTGCTCCCGGGCGCAGCTCGCCCGGCCTGCGCAATGCCGCGCTGGGCAACGATGCTGCGGCGCGAGCCAGTCCTGCTGCCGCAGCCGCAGCGGCAGCCGCCACGGCCAAGGCTGCGGCGCCCTGGGCGCTCAAGTCCACGCCTGCGCCCGCCAGCAATACGCCGTTTGGGCGGAGAGCAGCGTCGAATCTGGCGTCTGACTTCCCGACCGCGGCCGAAGCTGCGCGCGCACAAGCCGCCGCCGAGGAGCGAGAGCGCGTCGCGGCGGCCGAGGCAGCGGCGCGCGCAGAGGCCGCCCTCTCGCAGCTCGAGCGCTTCCGCGGCTCCAACCTCGGCGCAGGACGCCACTGGGATGAGATGGAGGACGAAGAGGACGGCGGCTTCCTCGATGATGTCGTCGAGTTCGGCGACGGCACGCAGTACAAGGTGCCTGCTGCCTCCTCGACGGACAAGGGCCCCGTCAGCAAGGAGGACCGCTTCAAGGACCAGGGACACGACCGCAGCTGGCCGCCGAAGCGCGAGGCAGGCGCGGCGCCTGCCTCTGCTGCAGCAGGCAGGCCGGCGCCCTGGGCGCGCGCCGCGGCGGAGCGCGATGCTCCGCCGCATGCCGCAGGGACCACCTCTGCGGCACATCTGGCACCCGAGGTCTCGTCGCGCTCGCTCTTCCCACGCGCAGGCGCACGCAGCATCTCGGCCGTGTACGACGATGACGACGCCACGGAGCCGGGCAGCCTGCAGCTGCTGACGCGCGATCGCCGAGGCGGCGACATGGGCCGAGGCTCAAGGCGAGACCGCGATGGCTACCCGTCCATGTCTGCCGGCGGCGGAGGCGACGGAGGCGGCGCTTCCTCGGTGCCCTCTGCGGCCGCACGAGCATGGGGTCCCCTGGCGCAGCGAGCCTCGGCGCTGAATCCAGATGCGCCGAAGCCTGCTCAGATGCCTGCGCCGGCTGCCGCAGCAGCGAGCCCGTCGGCCTCGGAAGCGTCCGCTGGCCCAGCAGCCGCTGCCAATGGAGCAGCAGCAGAGGCACGGCCGCCGCCAGTCGGCCAGCGTGCGCCCTTGCCGCCTCCTCGCGCTCCGCCGCGCGCTGGTGGCGACCGCCCGCTCCCGCCACATCTGGCCGCTGGCTGGGCACCTGCGACGCCGCTGTCGCCCGAGCGCAGCAACGCGCCACTGTCGCCGCCCATCGCGCGCGCCACTCGCGCGCCCTGGGCGCGGGCAGAGGAGGAGCCAGCACGACGCGAGCCATCTGCTGCGGCCGAAGCAGCTACGTCGCCGCCAGCTGCAGCCGCAGACATTGGCGTCATCCAGCGTGAAGAGATGCTCTCTGCGGCCGAGCGCGCGCGCAAGCGGCGCCAGGACGAGGAGGAGCAGCGCGCCAAGGAGAAGGAGCGTGCGCTGGCCAAGGCCAAGGCTCTGGAGCAGGTCATCGAGGAGACGCGCCGGCAGCGCGAGATCGAAGACGCGGCAAAGGAGAAGAAGCTGCGGGAAGAACAGGCGGCGCGCAAGGCGGCGCAGGAGGAACGCATGAAGGCTGCTGCGGCCGCCGCTGCCGCTGCGCAAGAGGGCAAGCGCGCCGCAGCAAAGCCGCAGCCACAGGCACCTGCTCCTGGTGCGCCTGCCGGGCCCCGGCAGAGCAACGCTGCACAACCAGCACAGACGCCTGCTGCTGCACGCGCGCCAGTCGTGCCTGTGGCGCCGCCAGCGCCGTCCGCCAGCGACGAGGCCGTCTCGTGGCGGCGAGCGGCGCCCTTGCGGCCGACACCTGCACCGCGGCCCGCTGCTGCGCCCGCCACGGCTCGCAGCCCCGAACAAAGTGCGCAGCCGGCCCAGCGTAGCAACGAGGCGCCGCGCACCGTGCTGCAGCGGGACTCGGCAAAGGCTGCGCCGTCACAGGCCGCGCCTGCCGGTCAGGCGCCGCAACGCTCGCCCGAGACTCAGACAGCCGCTGCTTCGAGCCCAGGTGCGCCCAAGCCGACTTCGCCAGTAGCGACGCAGACTCTGCCGCCGGGACTCGGCGCAACGCCGCCGACTGGACCGCGCGCACTGCGCGCCAAGGAGCGTGCAGCCGAGTCTGCACAGCAGCAACGGCCACCCCAGGCCGCCTCGTCCTCCGCTCTGCAGCAGCAAGACAGCAAGCCTCCGCGCACGCCTCGCGTTGAGGTCGTGGCGCCTACTGATGCTGGAGCAGCTGCTGTGGCTTCGACCTCTCGTCGCGGCAAGCCTCTGCCGGAAGCCGCCGCGCAGCCCGCGGCGAGCGCCATGAAGCAGCCGCGCAGCCCAGCTGCGGCGCCAAAGGCTCCTGCCGTCGCCGAGGCGCCGGCGACGCGGGCCGAAGTGCCGCAGGACAGTCCGCCAGTGTGGAACAAGTTCGCCGTCAAAACGCCGAGCAAGGCGCCTGCGCACCGGCGGCTCAACAAGGCCGCGTACAAGGCGCAGCTGGCGCGCGTCGCCGCCTCGCAGAGCGCAGCTGCCTCGGAGCCCTCTGCGGTGCAGATCCTCACGTGGGACCCTCCGCTGCCCAACCTCTCGGTGCGCACCCTCTCGCGCGACGACCTCTTCTTCCCGAAGAAGTACCAGAAGGGCCGCGTCATCACGCCCGTCGCTGTGCCGACGAAGACGCTGCCACGAGGCCTGCCGCCACGTGTCTTTCCGAAGCAACGGCAACCTGATGCGAACGCGCCGCCCGCGGGCGCGCGCAAGGCCGTCACCCAGGGCCAGTCCGGCTCGCTCCCGCCGCAGTCTGCAGCGTTCGCCGAGCGCTCGTCGAGCTCTGCTGCCGCTCCGACGCCCGTCGTGAGTCTGCCGCGCCCGCAAGGCCTGGACGACGCGTGGCGCCGCGCGGGCGCGGACGGCATGTCTGCCGTGCCGACGGCTCCTGCGTCCATGCGAAGCGGCGCCGCTCTGCACGGCAACGTCATGTCGGCACCGCTGAGCGGCACGTCTCGCTCGCCCTTCCGCGCGGCCCTCATCGCCGCCACTTCGACGACGTCTGGGCCGCTCGACGACCCGCACTCGCAGAGCTCCCTCAACGGCCTGATGCACGGACAGCACCGCGGCTCGCGGCGAGACTCGGGCAGCGGCGTGGCCTTTGCGCGCTCCGCCGGGCAGCTGCAGCGCGAGCGGCAAGACTCGCCCAGCTTCCTCGTGGCGAGCGAGCTCGAGGTCGATGGCCGTGGCGCGCGCAGCAGGGGCACGAGCTCGACGCAGACACAGGTGAGTCGGACGCGGTCTCGTGCGCCATACGCTCAGCTGACCAGTCTCTCTCAGACGCCCGCGCTGCCCTCGCCTGGCCAGATGGACTCTTCCACCTGGGGCCAGGGCCCGCTGACGTTCCCAGTCCTGCCGGCCAATGCCAGCGGCGCCTCATCCAGCGGAGCGGCCGACTCCTCGCACGTCAAGAGCCTGTGGGCGCCGCCGGACGCGCGCGCCTCGGCCGCGAGCCGGCCCGCGCAGAACTCGCTCAAGGGCATCGCCGACGACCCGCTGTCGATGCCGCTGTCCATGCTCGACCTCGGCAATGCGCCCGAGGTCGACAGCCCTACGCACGTGCTGCCGCCCTCGACCGATCGACGAGGCAATGCCGCGCCTTCGGATGGCCGGGCAAACGGCTACGCCCACTCGTCGGCACCGTCTCCGCACGCCGGCCGCCAGCCGCATCGCCCTGCCACGGGCCCCTCCACGCCGGCAGCAAAGACGACGGAGCTCGGTGGCACCGGCGCGCCGTCACCGGCCGTGCAGAGTCTCAGCTCGCTCGATCTTGCCGACAACAGCGGCAGCGCCGGTGCCGCCGCGGGCGCGCACGAGCGCAGTGCCTCCCATGGCGCTTCGGCTCACGATCTGCGGCCCAGCGGCGGCCACGGCGCCACCAGTGCCGCGCAGGGCAACCCGTACGCCGCCTATTCGTATGCGCCGCAGAGCTGGAGCCACGGTGCCTACCAGCCGCGGCCGCCGCAGGGCTACACGGCCTACGGACCCGCCGCCAATGCCGGCTATGGCGCCGGCGGCTTCTCGCCCTTCCCCGTGCAGCAGCGCTCGCTCCTCAATGCCAGCGCCACGCCGTGGCTCGATGCGCCGTCGCAGCAGCAGCAGCAAGCGCAGCAGCACTACCAGCCGCAGCCGCAGTACTCGCCGCAGCTGCAGCACCATCAGGCACACTCGCCGCAGCAGATGTACGCGATGCAGCCGCAGCAGATGTATGCGCCCGCCAGCGGCAGCGTGCGATCCTCGCCGCAGCAGCAGCAGCAACAACAACAACAACAGCAGGCGGGCTCCACGGGCAGCGGCGCTCGGGGCCAGTCGCGCATGTTTGCCTCGCGCGCGCCGGCCGGCGGCCACCAGGCGCAGAGCCAGGCTCAGGGCCAGGGCTCGCCGGTGCAGCAGCAGCAGAGCCAGCAGGGCTCGCAGGCCCAGCAACAGCAGCAGCAGCACGGCGGCATGCAGCAGGGCATGAGTGCGGCCCGCGGCGCCACGTTCTACTCGGGCTACCAGAGCCACGTCTGGTAGCGGCTCACGCCGACTGCTCCCTGCCCTCCGATCTCCACCCACCTGGAGCCGACAGCGCGCAGCACCTCTCTCTGCGCGCTCGCGATGGCTCTGGACGGCTTGCTGCATGCGAAACTTGCCCTCTTGCAAATGAGAACACACACTTTGCTCACCCTCGCGCATCCGCCTCTGCTGCGTCCGCGTGCCAGCCGTCTGTCGCTGCGTCGCCTTGCGCATCCTGTGTGGCTTCGGCCGTGCAGTCGAGTGCTGTGCGCGACGACGGTGCAGGCGCAGAGAAGGCTGCACGTCGTTGCAGGGCGCACGCATGCATGGCGCCGATGCCGGGCGTCTGCACAAGGCATGGGTGCCGTCGCACGTTTGACCTCCGAGGCGGCTTGGCTGTGCCGCTTCTGCGTGGCCGCATGCGCTGCCAGCGCCAGAGAGCTGCGCCGTGGCCGCCGCACAAGAGGGCGCGGCGTGCTGCTTGCCCCAGCTTGGCAGCGGCGCGAAGAGCGAAGCTGCGCTCTGAGGGAAATGGCCGGGGCGCTGCCACGAGTGACGGCGCATGACGCGGGGGCGCGGCCCCCCCGATCTCGAGCCCACGCCAGGAGCTCGGAGCTTTGCGTGCCCCCCTGACGAACCCCTGTGACGCAAATGAGAAAGCGCGTGACGGCTCACGTGGGACCACCCTTTGGCACGGGCATGTGGAAGCATCGCACCTGGCTCATGGCTCGTGACCAAGCCTTGCTGTCCTCTCCCTCGGCCACTTGCAAGCGTCCAGAAGCCCGAGCAACGTGACGACGCTAACGCCCCTTTGCGGGGGAGCTGGCGACATGCGACAGCTGCGCTGAAGGCATGCGGCAAGGCGAGGCTGCTCTCTGACTGCGCCTGAGCCCGGTCCCCCCCTGACACCTCTCTGCACGCTGACAACTTCTCGTCGCGCCTCTCCCTCTGCGTCAGAGGCATTACAGATCAGCTTTGCCGCACCCCGGATGCTCCGCTGCAGGCGTCCCGGCACGGCATGGGCACGAAGCGCGCGAGCGTGCGCCGCTAACAAGGTCGCAGGAGAGCGCTGCTGCTGCGGCAACGCGGGAGCGGGTGCGGCGCAGAAGCAGGCGGCCTGGGCCTCCGAGCGCCGGCCGCGTCCGTGCACTGTCTACGAGCAGACAGCGCCCCCATGGAGTGGGCTGCACTCAGAGACGGCTGGCGGGGCGGCGCAATGCAGCCTGCAGCGTAGAGTCGTCGCCTCGCGCTGTGGTGCTGCATTCTATTGGGCAACTGATGATGAAGCGACACCAATGGACGCGCTGCCTCTGCCGCCGCCTCTGAGCGGCTGCAGCGCTGCGCCCCCCATGAGGCAGGTTGCTGCAGCGTAGACTCGCCTCGACTTGACCTTGACTTTGCTTTGGACGCTGACTGCCTCTCGGCGCCGGCGCCGCAGCGAGCAAACGAGTGGGCAGCCGTAGCAGACAGCACACCGCGCTGCCATTCTGTTGCAAGCGGCTGAAGAGGCTGCCGTCGCTGCCGCAGCTGCTGTGCTGTGCTGCCGCAGCGCTCAGCCGCAGGCGTGGCGATGGCGGTGCGCTGCGTCGCTGAGCGGCTGCGGCCGCGGTGCGCGGCACACGCAAGGGGCTCGCCGGAGCCGTGCTGTGGCAGAGGGAGCACGGCGCGCCGCGCAGCAGGCAGCGCGGCAACGCAGACCAACACCTCCGCGCTCTGCTGCGCCGCTGCTGCGCTCTGCTGCTCTGGTGCCTGGCGACGGATCCATCCCCGGCGTGCGGAGGGCGGCGCGTGGCTGCTGAGCTCGCATCTCAGCTGCAGGGCCGCGTGCGCGATGCTGCACGCGCCACGGCCCCGGCCGCGCGTGCTGCTGCACGCTGCCCCTGGGCCGCGGAGCGCAGCGCTGCGGTGCGGCAGCGGAGGAAGAGGGGCAGCGCCACAGCCGGCGCTCAGCTGCAGCAGCTGCAGCGCTGCCGTGGGCGGTGCCGCTGCGGTGCTGCCGCTGCTTGCTGCGCCGGCGGCAGCGGCGGGTGAGATGCTCTGGAGTGCGCGCCTTGCTTGTGCGCCTCTTGCCTGTCTCGGGTCACGCAGCGCAGTTGGCCCACTCTGCTGCACGGCCGCCCCCTGGCCTGCGACGCGGACGCACACGAGCGGTGCCGCATCTCTCGCCTCGTGCTGCCGCCTGTTGGAGGGGCGGCCATGCTGCAGCTGCTGGCGGCCCTTGCCGCCTGCCTCTCTGGGCGCGGCGCGCCGCCATGCCTCTGCTGTCTCCTGCCCATCTCGGCCCCTCGCAGCGACGCGCGCAGGCGGCAGCGGGAGGTGCGTCATGCTCCGCTCGCGGAGCCCCTCTGCTGCGCTGCCCTGTCCGCTGCGCTGGTCGCCGCTGGCCTGTGCCGCCGGCGCCTGCTTGCTCTTGCGCTGCCTCGTGTGCCGGCAGACGGACGGCTGCTTCAACGCCGATGCGGCGGCGGGCTGCGCTGCTTGCTGCCTCGGTGCGGCGTCACTCTACTGCTCATGCACGGCCGAGAATGTGCCTCGCGCCTGCCTCTGGCCTGTGCGTGCTGCCCCCCCTCCGAGCGTGGCCCCCTTGGTGGGCTGCGTATAAGGCAGCCCTGGCCGCCGGCTCCTCCGTCTGCACCTCCATCCTCATCTCCTGCTCCCGGCCTCTGCCTCTGCCTCTCTCTCTGCTCGCTCCATCACCATCCCCCACTGCTCCGTCTGCTCCAGCATCCCACCGCACGTCTGCTCTGCCCATCTGCTCTACTTCCAGCCCACGCCTCCGCCGGCCCTTCCGCTCTCTATCCCCAGCCTGCCCCTCTTCTCTGCGCACCATGCAGCCCGAGCTCGACGCGGCTGTGGCGCAGCTGTGCAGCCTGCTGCCCGCCAGCACGTCGGCGTCGGCGCGCACGCGCTTCGGCGCCAGCCTGCTCGCCTCGCTGCGCCCGCGCCTCGCCGCCTCCTCCTGGCTCGCCGCCGAGCCGGAGCGCGGCAGTGCGGCGCGCGCCCTGCTCTGGCACGAGCATGCCGGCGGCGAGGGCGGCGATGCGGCGCTGCGCCAGGCGTGCGCCGCCGCGGCCCTCGCGCCGCGCGACGCCCTGCCCGCCCTCACCCTCTGGATCGACCCCGGCTGCGTCTCGATGCGTCTCGGGCCCGGCCCCGGCGCCGCCGACAGCGAGCGCAGCGCCGCCGGCGCGCCCGTGACGCTCGTCTGGGGCGCGCTGCCCGCCGCCCTGGCGCCCAGTCCACGCTCCACGCACGCCCCGCTGCAGCGCTCCGGCGAGCACGCCTACCGCACACACACGCCGACGCCGCTGGGCAGCAGCAGTAGCAGCAGCAGCAGCTGGAGCGCCAGCGCGCCGCGTCCCGTGCGCATCGTCGACCCCTCGACGCTCTCTCGTCGTTCGCCGCCTCCGCCGCCGCCGCACATTCGTTCGCCGAGCGCCTGCAGCGTCGCCACATCGTGCGCCAGCTCGGCCTTCGGCAGCAGTGCTCTGACGCGCAGCGTCTCGAGCAGCTCCTCGGCGTACGGCACGAGTGTCTCGTCGGCCTCTTGCCCCAGCCTCCTGGCGCCCGGCGACGACGGCAGCGACAGCGAGCTCTCCGTCGACGACCTCGATGCCGGCAGCTGCTACGGCATCATCGATCTCATCGACGACGAGAGCGACGTGTGCGACGAGAGCGACGTCGGCGACGCCACGCTCATGTGCAGCACCACCAACGACAACGACGGCGACACGACCGTCGGCGCCAGTCCGAGCAAGGCGTCGGCCGTCTCGGGCGCCCATGCGTGGGCAGCGACGCAGCAGCAGCAGCACAAGCGGCAGTCGCCCAGCGGCGCCGCGCTCAACTACACCGTGCACGACAACGGCAACGTCGGCGTGCTCGGCGGCGGCGTGCGTCTCGGAGGCGCGCCCGCCAAGAGTGTCTCGTCGGCGGCGGCCGCCGCAGCACCGGCGCATAGCAGTCTGCTGCGCCACACGTTCAACGCCGCCGCTCGCGGCTTCCAGCCACAGCACCAGGCCGTCGAGTGGACGGTGCCGCCGCCGGCGTCGTCGCTGTGCATGCTCCCGCCGCCGCAGCACATGGCCCTCTCGCCGGCGACGTTTGGCAACAGTGCCTATCCTCAGCTGCCCATGCCTCCGTCCTTCTACGCGGTGCCGCCGCCGCCGCAGCTGCTTTTCAGCAACCACGCCGCCGCCGCCTTTCAGCGTGCGCCGCCGCAGCCCATGCTGCCCGCCATGCAGCAGCAGCAGCAGCAGCAGCAGCAGCAATATCCGGGCGTCGAGGGCCACCAGGCACCTCCGCCCTTCGCTGCCGCATACCACGGCCTGCCGCACGCCGGCGCCTTCCTCGGCCTCGACCCCTGCGCGCTCGGCGGCGCCGCGCCCATGAAGCGCGTGCGCTCGCGCGGCCGGCGTTCGCGCGGCCGTGGCGCCGGCCGCGCGGCGCGGCGCCAGGCGGCGGCGCTCAAGGCGCTCGCGGAGCGCGACGGCCTCGCGCCGCCCTCTGGCTCGGAGCTCGGCGACGAGTACGACGACGACGAGGGCGACGACGACGAGTCGGACGGCGACGAGTGCGAGGCACAGCAGCAGCAGCAGCAGCAGCAGCAGCAGCAGCAGCAGCAGCAGCAGCAGCAGCAGCAGCAGCAGCAGCAGCAGCAGCAGCAGCAGCAGCAGCA